GGCGCGAACCGGCTCCCGTCATTCACTTAAAAGAGCCGGCTCGTTCGCGTAAGTGGCGCTGTACTTCCGCCACAAAATACACCAAAAGCAGCGAAGAAGACCCCCCCGAGCATGGTTGCCATGGTTGCCCTTCTGTTTATTCTCTGCGGTGGATTTAGCAACATGTAGTTCATGTAGTTCTCCATGTCCACTTGTTGCTGATGGTTGTGGTAGAGGAGCAGTAGATTTTGCACTAACATCTGTAGCATGGTCAGTAGCAGTAGCTACTGACCATGCTACAGCAGTGAGCAGCAGAGGTGGGGAGAGGCGGGGCTATGGCTTCATCGTTATCAGGAAATTATCGTATAGGACGTACACACGGAGCCGTTAGGCCCCCCAGAGCGCTTCGTCCGCAGATATACCCACCTTGGGACCCGTTACCGTTTGAGGGCTCCGTTTCCGCGGTTCCGTTACGGCCTTGTGTGGCCAAACCATCCATACGATAGAGAACTGTAGCAGATACAATCCGTTTCGTGTCCGTGTGGACAGGGCCTAAGGCTGGAGCCACACGGAGACGAAAACGAAAACGAACCAAATTCGTTATCAAAAAAGTCTTCCGTCCACACGGAATCGGCACTAGAAACGTGTCCGTCCACACGAGACCGCTCGACCTGCTGGAAACACTGTAGTACATATGCCGGGCCTGTAAGTGGCGCTGTACTTCCGCCACAAAAATACACCAAAAGCAGCGAATAAGACCCCCCGAGCATGGTTGCCATGGTTGCCTGGTTGCCCTTCTGTTTATTCTTCGCGGTGGATTTAGCAACATGTAGTTCATGTAGTTCTCCATTTCCACTTGTTGCTGATGGTTGTGGTAGAGGAGCTGCAGATGTTGCACTAACATCTGGTCACATGGTCAGTAGCGTCTGGAGCACGAAAGCAGCCCTGTGATCCGCCATTGTTGTTGTTGTTGGCGAAACACATCAGCAATGACGCGGGTGACGCGGGGGTGAGCAGCAGAGGTGGGGAGAGGCGGGGCTATGGCGTCATCGTTATCAGGAAATGATCGTATAGGGCGTACACACGGAGCCGTTTGGCCCCCCAGAGCGTTGCGTCCGCAGATCTACCCACCTTGGGACCCGTTATCGTTATCGTTATCGTTATCGTTATCGTTATCGTTATCGTTATCCACGTTTCCCTGTCGGCCTCGTGTGGACGAACCGTCTATAAGATAGAGAACTGTGGCGGATACGACCCGTTTCATCTCTGTGTGGCTCCAGCCTAAAGTCCTCTCCCTCATCATTGACTCTAATTAACATGTATTCTATTTCAAACCTGATTCTATTTGTTGTCACCTGGAGAAGATGTAATTATTCATAATCTAAGGATAAATTAGTCAACCACCATAACCTCTCTTTATTGCTGCAAAGTCATTTTTCATATTTTGGGCAATTCTGTTTTGTCCTACAATCAGCATTGTCTTTGTAATTCAGGTACCACCAACCTTACCACTATGTATTCTATTACTTTTTAGCTAAATTACTAAACAAAGTTTCACTCCAAAATTACATGTAACATTTGTCCATGTCTCTGTTCAACATTTCCAGCATAAATGATCAGTCAGCAAGCTCATCCTGCAAAGCTAAGAAGCAGCTGTTGATGACTTTTATTTTTGTAAGGCTGTTTCTTCTCACACAATGTCGGGTCACTATTGCAAAATGTTTTTAACAACGGTGGAGAATAATAGGACATCCTACTGTTAGTTATTTTGAATTACAGTTAAGTGAGGAATAAACAGAAGATGTTGTTAGAATAGAATATAATAGAATCCTTCTAAAGTGTTAAAGTGTAAGATAATGTAAGTTATGCATTTGTTCCCTCATTCCTGACCCCACTTAATAATTATTGAGGTGATAGTTTTGCTAACAAGGTCCTCACTCAGAGCAACTTTCATATGTGTTTATTCTGGTTTGTGTGACAGGCAGCCACACAGTCAGGACAAACACAAACCAGCCAGACATTGTGTGATGACATGTGAGGTGTTTACAGTTGCGGCTGAACAGAATGTTTTTTGGCCATAGAGGGGTGCAGCCTGCAGTTATCCAGTGGCCATGTTCAACACAGTCTGCCATTGTATAGCCAAAATCAGTGGGGTGGAAAGGTTTATCAGACCGCTCACTGAGCAGGCAACAAGACAGTAGAGACTGGAGTCCATTTTAACTTGACCCAGAAAAATACACTGCAAATCTGGATAAAAGAACACATAAAATAAAAAAATGTAAAAATGCTACATTTAGCATGTCTTCATGTTCATGCATGTCTTGCAAGACATAAAGTATATGGAGAACACAGAAATGAACAAGTCTTCTCTGGCCTCAGGTACATTTCTTGATCAAAGTGAAAGCAATTGTCAAATTGAAAACCACAAAGCCAGGAGTGACAACCAGTCCCAAATCTCAGAATCGTACTTAAATATGAAAGGCTTTATATTTCAAATGAATTGCTTTGAAATGAAGTATCCCAGTAGGATTATTGTATCAGCAGTTTATCCAGCAGGACTTACATGAGTCACAGCAGCATCACAAACAAGGTTCGACATGTAGCCAAGAAAGTTTCCTTTGGTGAAAAATAATGTGGGTCCACCCCTTGATTTGGACAACATTCAATGGGTTCTTCCTCATAGCATGCTTTACCCCTCCACCAAGTATCATAAGAATATGGTCAGAAGTTGTTCTTCCATTAAACTGTGGATAAGCAGACCAACAAACACTGAACTATGGTGGAAGAATGCCAGTGCATTTTCTAACTGTGTTTCAGTTTTAGTCTCGCACTGCCTTTTGACCAGGAAGAAGACCCTTTTATGGTACAGTAATATACACTGACAACATCAGATCAATATCTTCTTGATTACAGGGACATATCTTTTCTGACTTAGACAGAAAACCATTGAAAATCAAACAACCTAGCTTTGCATTAATCATTCTAGAGATATTGGAAACACACACAAACTAGCTAGAAAACGTGTAAAGAGTTAATTGGAAGATGTTATCTCCAAATGTGGCAGCAGAAACAGCAATCAGAATCTTAAATTGGGTTATATTGTAACAAGTGTAAAATAATACGATACACTGCAGGTATGTTGTGCTCTGCTGCAAGGTGCCTGCTTTTATCACACTCCTGTGATCTGAGTCCAGGTTTGATGGATGAAGGCAGCAACTGCAGATGAATCAATGGCCATGTTAACATCCACCCATCCATTTCCTAAACAGCTTATCCTGTCAGGGTCACAGAGGGCTGAGGCAGCAGCAGAACAGGGCGAGAGGCAGCGGGGTACATCAGGTTTGCCCATTTGTCACGGGACCAGCACATACAGACAGACTCACCTAAGGAAATTCAATTTAAGAAGAAGAAAGAGGAGAAGGATGTCAGTGAGGGAAACCTTCAGAGAGGTTTGCATGGAGACTCGAAGATAAAACAAAAAGTTACAGTTTACAGTATGAAAAGTTTTTTTTTATCGTATTTCAGATTCCCTGCTTTATTTATCGTGTTTTTAATTTAAACATAAACTATGCTCTGTGGTACATGGGTATATTTCACACTTTGCTCTGTAGCATAAATAACTCCAGTAACCAGCAAAGCTGAATAAGTACCTCAACTAGTATAACAAGTATATTTATTGAACTGCATTGTTCAGTGTTATCTTGTATATGCTTAAGTGGGAATAATAATAAAAAATTATGACATCGTCAAATTGATTTTGCTTCATGTTGTACACAAAGTTCCATATATATGGTTTTTTTAAATGAATATTTCTTTAAAACTCCTTTCCAATATAAAATCATAATATTTTGTAACAGAAATAAAAGAATAATGAAGTATAATGGTTTAGAAATAACATACCAGTCTGCAACAAGACCCTGAAATCAACTGGTAGAGTGGAGTGTGTTCATTGAATAATCATTCCTATGTTTTAACTCTATCAATGCTAATTTCATCCTCATATCTTAAATTGTAATACTGCTTGGGCCCCCATATGTCCCACTTAACTTAACACGATTTTCCTAATCCCAAATACTTTTTTGAGAATGTTAAATTCTGCTCAAAGATGCAACTCTTCTGCTCCTCTCCTAAGAGATATGATGGTGATAATATACCATGCTTGTGTATTTAGTATGCACACGCTACTCATGACTTGCCTAGTGCTTTTCTGAGATTGTTATGTCTTCCTTAGAATACACTCATTTTTCACAAGACACTGAGAACTTGTTATCTGCCCCATTGTCGGGCTTTACCTTAAACAATATTCATTTGACTTCAAAGACCTTTCTCTTCTCTGAACAACCTATTTTCATTACTACTTTCATCATCTGCATTATGGTTAAACAAAATCTGAAAATGTATATCATTGTAATGCATCTTAACTATTACAAATAAACTGCCTTTTGTCAAGTATGTTTTATTTTAAAAGGAATTATTGAACAAAAGAACACTGTCTTCATTTTTATATTATATTATTTACAAACATACATTTTTATCTAAATTGTACTCGTATTACTGCAAAGTCTTGGAACTTTGATAAAGTATGGCAATCTTTGTCTTGATCCTTTTATCCCAAAATGTATAACTAATATTTAATAGGGGAGTACTTTAATAACCAGTCTCAGATTATAACCTCTTCTGCTCAGTGTTCACATTATTTTTTTAATTCGTATATCTTATAGTGCAAATGCATTAAAAAAGTGATACATTTATAACGGTTATAATGAGTATTTTCATATTATTTGTGGCAATTCTAGTCAATCCTAGGAGTAGCATTAGCAGTAATTGAATATGTTCATACAACCTTCTTGAGCTTGGCACTAATTGAAAAGTCCCCACTGAGCATTGATTAAGTGTTGAGGTGTCGCTGGTCCTTTAAGAGATGTTTTGACTCCGCACGTGCTTGCCTTATAAGGGAGCCGCATCAAACGGTGACCGTTAGTTACCTCTGCTCCGCATCAAGCAGCGATATAAAACCCTGCCGGAGGAGAGGAGAACAGCTTCTCCAGACACTGAGACACGGAGGACCATCACAGAGAGCAGCTGGTTCACCATTTATAAGTTGTTCTCCAAGAAGGTTTGCAATATATGAAAGGAGAAAGAGTGGATATTTACGTCGCTCGGGATTAAGGACGGTGAGTTCTGTTTTTTTGTTGGGGGGCTGTACGTTTTTTTGGGGGGGGGGGGCTTTATGAGTTTCTTTGTTGGACCAACAAAGAGATACTACATGCCACGGTGTACCAGTTAACATTTATTTTCTCCTTAAACTATTATTTCTTCATATGTTGTCAGCTACTACTTTTGGCTTTGTATAATTAAGCGACGATAACAAAACAAAGATTGGATTGGCTGTTGAATGCCACATTCTGTTGTTTTTTTTATTTTCTTCGTTTCAACGTCGCAAAGATAGTCAATACCTGCTATGAGATGAATGGACTTCAAATGTACATGGCAATACCGTCGTTTGAGTGAAATGACAAGCATTGTCTTCGCTGTTTTTCGCTCTTTTATCATGTTTTTGTCTCAGTATCCTCCTCTGTGAGTAGGACCAGTGTCAAGATAGCTATTGTTAAAATCAGTACTTCCGGTAAGGCATTACAAAAATAAAAGCCTCATTGTGGAAACGAATTTATTTATTACAAAACCTGAATCTATAAGAGAAACTAAAGGCACCATTTCACATTTTTAATTGACTGCACTTTTAATTGTAACGTTACAGACGTGCATATTACCGTTTAGTGGGAAGTATATTCAAGTTACATGTGTTGCAGCTTTACTCTGAAAGCACATTCACCGTACTTCCTGTCTCATTGTGGCTGAATTGACGTTAATTTGGGTCAGTATCGCGAAACTGAATGACCGACAGTAACCTTAATCCACTACTAGAACAATTAAACAAAAGTATCACAAATAGCATATAATAAGTCAGTCACTCGATTAATTTTGGCATGTTATCATCATTTTGACATTTGGTCACAGTGAAAAATATGTCACTGTGTATAACAATTAACAGTAGCCTGATTTTCTTTCTTTCAAGTTACAATGTTTTTTTCTTCATAATGTGTGCTGGGTCAGCTAAGTTATGTCTTGTTTTTAGTGATTTTATCAAAGTGCATGTCTGCAGTGTTGGTGCAATGTCGACGACATACATTTGCTTTGTTTTCGTTAGTGGTTTAAAGAAGAAAACATGTATTTGTATGCATAGAATCGACGATCTATTATCATCTTTTTGGGCAAAATTGCTTTAATTTGAACAGTTTTTAATTTTTTTAATACATGTCAAGACAATGAGGGTTGAGAAAAACATCCTGTATCAATGAGGTATGACACGTGAGCGAGAGTTGATGTAAACAAGTATTATAAAGAAGGAAGGTTTCAGTGTGTGCCACTAGAGGCGCCATGGCTCTGCACCATTTGTTCTGCTCAACACTCAGCTCCACATCTCTTCTTATTTCGGCATGCGATGTGTTTTCACCACCATGTTTACCAAAAGCAGACAATTCTTGAAAGGTTAACTCTGAAGATTCTCAGATAGTTTGATTGTGGAAAACATCAGTAACATCAAGCTGATCCAAGTTCTATAAATATCAGGTTTCTTAATGGGTATCATCAACATGTAAACAGTATGTTATGTAAAAATATCGATCCCCAAATGGAGGTGGGAGAGTTTTAGTGACACAATTTATTTCAGCGGTCAGAAATGATAGCCATGAATGTATATTATTTATTCATTAATTCAAACTTCTATATAAGATTCAATACATTAATTGAGGGAGACTCTTAATTTGCAATGATGATCAAATAAATCAAACTCATGTGAAACCTCTTGTTAAAACCAAATATAAGATCAAAGGAGAGAAGAAAATAACATTAAATGTCTATCAAATGTGGGGAAAGTGTAGTTGTCCTCCCACACATTGCAGACCACTAATGTGTTCCCCTCACTCATTTTGTTTGAGATGTGCACTAGTGTATTGCAATATCCATATTTGCCACGAAAATCTTAACATGTGATTTCAAACCTGTACTGATGTGTTGAGCTTTACGCCAACTACAATATAGGCATTCAAGTTGTTTCTGGTTCAAGTTTTACTGCATATGTTGCCCTTGTTTAATCACTTGCTTTGCAATCATGTGTTAAATCAAAGGGGCAGTTGTGTATTTTGTATTCATTATCTGTTGATTGGGTGTATAAAATATCAGAAAATAGAGAAAAATGTCCAATCCAGTTTCTCAAAGTTGATGTCTTACATTTTGTTTTGTCAGTCCTAAAGCCAAATACATGTTGTTTATATATGATAGAAAACAGAGCAAAGCAGAAAATCCCCATATTTTAAAGGCTGAAAAACAGAATATTTGCATAAAAATGTAAATACTACCATAACGATGATTTGATTATCAAGATAGTCTATTGGTTGTCTAATTGTTACAGCAAGAGCATGAATTCCTCATATCTTTTTGTTTAAGAAAGTCTTTGGCAGGAATCTTTCCGATAAAGCTGTGTGTGCCGTCACTGCTGCCATTTAATCAGGTGACTCATAGAGAAAACAGATGTACCAGTTCAGCAGATACTGAACGTGGGCCGCTGCGTTGTTTGGGCATCCCAAAGGTCCTGTTGATTTTTCTTGCGAAATTTCATACAATCTGGTGGATTTACTTAATTCAGCCATTTCCATGTATTCTGCGAACATTTGTGCAATAGTGCCAACGTACTGGAATATAAACATAGATGTTTTTGTCATCTGTATTTATCATCTCTCATGTTGTCTTTTTGTCATCTGCACTGGCAATTAGTTAGATCATTCTGCAAGTGATGGTACACATTAGTTTCACCCTGTAAGTAGGCCGAGACTGCTAGGGAAGTGGTTAGACTATGTCGTTGTTATGATTGCGATTGAGAAAATGTGGTGTAAAACCATAGAAGTCTAAATTAATGATTTAATCAGGGCAGGACTTTTTCTCAACCCACAAGCAAATGATTGATGTGTCCTTGATGTTGTTTTGCTGTTGCTTTCTACGACAACCAATCAGCTTTATTCTGTATAAAGGGCATTCAATAAGATAAACAGGATTGCCTTAATCCTTTTCGAACTTGAGTTTTACCAACAACCTAAAAAAATGGCCACAAAAATTAGGCAACAGCATTAGGTTATGTAAAGCATTGTTAAGACACGTAAAAAAGCATGATGACATTAATAAATAAGCTAAGTATCTCAGTCTTGAGTGGCTGATCTGATCTGATCCCAACATACAGGATCGAAAAGCAGCATTAAAAAAATAGTTTGATAACTCCTGAATATTTTCAGTATTACGGTATTCTTTCTGGAGTCAATAACAAGTCCGGGCACCAATCCAAGGACTTTTGAATCTGCAAATAGAATAAACAAATAGGCATGTAAACTGTTTTGCCCCAGAGAGGTTTTTTTATATGAGATAAACAATGTGCCATTTATTACATCTGACAAAGGCCAGTTCCTTGCAAAACAGTGAAAAAGTGTATCAGCTTTTTCCATTAGTTGAGCAGTAGACCAACTGCTTTGGTTTAATCAGTGGGTCGTTTGAACAGAGGGGGGTTGGTGATGTTGTCTTGTAACATTTACATATAATGCAGCTTATCATGTGATTCGGAGGTGTTAACGGGGTAAAAACGGTGATGATAAAAGAATGTCCGACAACTTTGACCACTTAAAAACTTCCCACCGGCACGCACTCATCTTGTCAGTTGGAGGCTGACCTTTGGACGGATGAGTCTACATGTAGTGAAGCTGCAGTAGTTCCTCAGTTATCAGGCGACTTGGTTTGCTGAGTGCTGCTGTACTTTTGGCTGGTCTGCGTGTCAGAACTGTTTAGTCCTATAGGTAAATCCATTAGAAAGGCTTTTGTCTTTGAGTAAGGCTTTTTTGTTTCTGATGGCAGCTGTAGTTTAGTTTTAGCATTTAGCATTATTAAGCAACCAGGTCATATCTGTTGTGTTCCTGATATGGTATTTATTTTTGATAGAAGATCTATTTCTGACTGAATTTATTTTCTTATCATGGCACAATTTACAGGTTGGCACAGCTATGTTTGGTCTAAGCATGCGCTAGGTTACGGATTGCTGATGTCAGGACTTTCTGTTCTGTATTCATATTGGTTTCATGCGTCAATGTGGGATGTACGCTTTTTTTTTGTTTTCTTAACCATGTATTTTTCCACAGGAACAAAGCAGCTGTTGAGGTTTTAGTTAGCTGACTGTGTTTAATCGGTGTCCTTTTAACAGAAAGGAAAGTGTCTTTTGTTTGTCTGGTCAACGTTTGCATGGTCTGACCCTCTTTCTTTGTCTTTTTGGGTCCCAGTGAGGAGCTGGAGCGTGCTCAGTGAGGTTGGGAAGACGTCATCATGACTGTCTCCACTCAACTGGGTTTACTGCTTTGGAAAAACTTCACCTACAGACGGAGACAGACTGTAAGTAGAAGTGCTTTAAATTACTGACATATTTGTATTAATTGAAAAATATAGATATTTTCCATTCCATATGATTATTTCCCAAACCAGAGGTTTTCACTAATCCTTGCTGTTATTTTGTGAATTTTATTTTATTTATGATAAACACATAAAGCTTTTTATATATTTGTTAGTGTTATACTGGTCTCAGTATCACATACAGTATTATGCTGCCAGTCAGACTCATTAGCTTGCCTTGCATTGTGTCTTCTTTGAAGTTAGCTCTATTTATAATACAATTAGGCACAGTTTTAGGTCAGTCCCTTAAAAAAAGACTAAAAAGCTAAAATGGAGGGATATCCGTTCTTTTGAGAAATGTCCCCTGAGTGCTTTGTCCCAGTCACATTTTCAATGCACTTGACTGGGAGATGATTTTCCCAGTACCACATGACTAGTCATAAGGGCAGTACAAAGACTTTATAGATGTCTTCCCTCATAACTACGCAGTCCAAATGATGTAATTCCCCTCTCAATCAATCAATCAATCAATCAATCAATCAATCAATGTTTATTTATATAGCCCAATATCACAAATGTTACATTTGTTTCAGTGGACTTCACAGCCACTCGTTCTGAAAGCATCACAGTTTACAGATCACTGTGAGTCATTAATGATGTGATGATGACATATACAGTATGTCCAGTTACCATCATGTTCTGGTTGGTGCCCACATACTCAAAGTTATGTAAATCAAATTCACTTCCAAGCAGTAGCACAGTGGATCTTTATACATGAGGAGGCTCATCTGCATACAATTGAGCCAGCTGACCATGGCGGCTGGACATAAGTCCAATTATTTCCAACAAAAGGATACAGTGTGTACTCTAAGACAGAGTCTTTATTCTTTATCCCTGTGCTGCTTGTCTGACATGCTGTTTCAAGCTGAGACACTGGCAGCTGAAGTAGAGGGGCCATATGGAGCAGATGGACATAGTTCCTTAAACCCTGCAGACCTCCCTCTGTCTCGCTCTGTCACCCCTTATTAACCCATATACCACCCCAGACTCATTGTGGGATGGATTACTGTGTACAAAGGACAACAGCCACCTCTAAATACAGATATTTTAGAGGGCACAGAGACACACTCACAAACTGATCATGTTTTGTTTTATAAAGAAGCAGAAATTACCTTAGTTGAACTGAAACATCCCAAAACTGATGAAAACTTGTCAGTAGATGATAGTATACTAAAAGATAATTAACTCATTTGTTTTGGTACGTTTTTGTTTCCCAAAATGCTTTCTTTTATTCATTTGATTAACACATATCATCATCCTTTTGTCTTCTTTTCTTAGGTCCAGCTGCTGATTGAGATCATCTGGCCTCTGTTTATCTTCCTCATCCTGATCTCTGTCCGAATTCATTATCCACCCTACGAGCAGCATGAATGTAAGCACACATTAAGACAGGGAGAGATATACACATTCATTTTTTATTTCACTCACATATATAACAAAATTAAACTTCATTGCTTTTTTTGTAGTATTAAAATACATAGTTGAATTAAGATGAATGAAACCTCAGACATTTTGTTCTAAGACATTGTCTTTATTCATCCAATATTTGTATCTAGTGATCAACTTGTTCGGAATTGTTTGCACTGTGTGGACCTTCCTGGAAAAGTTGGTTTCACAACGTTGACCATGTTTGACTCCAACAAATTATCATGGTCTAGACTAGAGCACAAACAAAAAAGGGCCTTTTAGCATTTCCAAGTCGCTTTATTCACTTGGGGAAGGAAAACATACAAATTACCTTCATTCTGTACATCTTAGAACATTTTATGCAGTTTCAAGCTTGTAACACAATTATAGATTACTGTTTTAGGATTAATGAAGTGTAGCTCTGTAATCGATAGTGTTTACATGTGACCGTTTTAGTATCCACTAAACAAGTTCCCTTATTTGGAACAAAATCATCGATATCTCATGACAGTGTATTACAAGTGTGTCCAATCCCATTAACCCAGTGAACTAAAGCCTCCTGACCCCCCTTTCATCCTCTACACTTATCTTTTCGACATAATAGCTCGTTAACCTCAGTAATGCAGCATTAGCAGTTAAGTTAGCTTATAAGTGTACAAACAATTGTAAAGATAATGTAAGTGCCGTAAAGGCAGTGGCAATGAGTGACACGTTATAGTTAGCCTAAGTTCAATGAGTTGGACATTTAGTAGTACGGGTAGTTTTATATGTTGGAGAGTAGTGGAAAAATGGAAGTGAATGGGACACTTAAAATGAAAGACTTTACCTGATTGGCAAGGATGAAAAATATCCTACTGGTTATCAGTTTTCTCCAGTGAGCCTTATTAGGTCTGTAAATGTAGATTTTTACTGAGATCCACACTTCAAAAACACATCATATAAATTGAATTATTTTCCTTTCCTTTCCAGGCCATTTCCCTAACAAGGCTATGCCCTCGGCGGGTACGTTGCCGTGGGTACAAGGCATCATCTGTAACGCCAACAACCCCTGCTTCCGTAATCCCACCCCAGGCGAGAGTCCCGGGGTGGTGGGAAACTTCAATGATTCTATGTGAGTACCGTGGCCCTGTGGCTGATTTATAGCTCAGGCAGTGCAATACTTTGAATAATCCAAAATATTCACGCAGTGCATTTTTGTATAATTTTGTATCTATATTATTCAATCTTTTAATCAATAGAGTGGCGAAGTCACGCCCATCTACTTCCGGTCCATGGGACCTTTTTTTCTGAAAAATTATGTATTGAAGTCAATGGAGAGAGAAAACGTATCTTTCGATCCCGTTTGAATTGTGCCATGAATTACACATATGATGTTTGTCAATCTTAACAAATAATTTCCATGTCAAAAAAGTCACAGTTTGTCGTAAAACTGTTGAAATATAAGACTATGAAAAATACGCAACTAGAAAGACTACAAATCCCAGAGTCGCGTAAGTGATGTCACAATTGTTTTCCTCCACTAAAATAGAGATAGCTAAGATAAGATAACTTTAACAAGATGCCTGTGTGCTTAGTACCAGGTTGTTATCATACCAGCAATGGGTCTTGCTCGTTCTTTCGCTTCCCGTCTGATGAAAGGACCAGGAGTGGCTGGATCAAGTTAGCTACCTAGCTAGTAGCAAGCACGTTAGTTAGCATTACAGCCGGCTTAGCCTTGTCATTTTTATTAGCCTTAACATAAAGTAACCCAAAATGTTAAACAGTAAGAGTAGTAGTCATATTTTGTGAACCCTTTGAAGAGTACTGTCACACCGGTGTGATCATTCTATAATACACCATTTAAGCCTGGGGGAGAAATGCTAACGCTAACGCTACATTAGCATCGGCGATCTTTTGTACTTCATGCTATCTGCACAAATGGTTGACATTAAACATTAAAACGACCAGGCAGTTCAGAGAGAATCAAAGGAAGGCAGGCAGCTTTGCATGACATTCTTCAGGACGTGTTTCATTGTGGTGATAGTGAGGGTAGTCAATCACTTTTTTGACAAGACAGTAGTGACGGCCATCTTGGTGACGTGTGTTGTTGTGCAAGAGATGTAGTTCATTGAGCGTTTCACACAAAAAAATGTGTTACTTCACAGTTTTACGACACATTCTTTTTTTTTTGACTTGCAAAATTATCTTTTAAATTGACAAACATCATATGTGTAATTCGTGGCACAATTCAAACGGGATCGAAAGATAATCTTTCTCTCTCCATTGACTTCAATACATCTTTTTTCCGAAATAAGGTCCCATGGAGGTTCACCGGAAGGGGAGGCACTTCGCCACTCTATATATGAATGTATAATGTGCCTTTAAAATAAATACTCAGGCTTTGAATTCTCGAGATGAAGATGTGTCTGATTTTGTCTCGTTCTGTAACATCCCCAGAATCTCCCGTTTGTTCACTGATGCCCAGAAAATCCTGCTCTACAGTCAGAAGGATAAAAGCTACGATGGCTACACGGGACTGCTAAGGGCTCTCAGAAAGATGCAGGAGAACACTGCTCGTAAGTACATACCTTTTGTTTTATTTATTTGTTACAGTTATTGAATGACGACCTCATTGATTACCAAGTCACCCACCCATTCACAATCAGTCATTTCTGCTGCCTGTATCATCATTCAAATGAGAGCTCCTACATGACCTCACATCCAGTCATGATTGGAGTCAGTGACTCACACCTATAGTTCCTTCACACATTGCTGATGTTAAAACTAAATGAAGTTACTGCTCAAGTTCCCCTCGCCGTGTAACAGCTGATTGAAGTCCTGTAAGGAACATCCTTATCACTGCCTGCCAGCCGCTGAGGCCCCTCTCCTTAAAGCCAGTGGGTGTAACTTCTCTTTTAATGAGTGAGCAGAGTGGTGGCACGAGACAGGAAATTGCACCACCCTGACAATCATTATAAAATCACTGCCCAGATCTGGTAGAACATGTCAAGTTGTTCTGACTGGAATGTGTCTGCTTCCTGTCATGACATTTAGCTATCTCTGCTCTCAGTTTAAACCTGAAAATGTAATCGTAATCTTACATTTTAATGCTAAGGTTTGCAAGTTTGTTTTACCATGACCATGGCAGCTCTGAGATTAAAAAGGACATCTTTCTAAAATAACATCTTGTTTATGACTTCACTGTGCTGAGTCGAAGTAACCTGCAAATGGCAAAGTGTTTTAAATCCTCACTTGAATAAAAGTCATACAATGCACTTTATCTTTGCTCCGTGTAAAAAAACGTTTTTAATTCAGCACCCATTACTCTGACATGGGAGGCATGATAAAAGCAATCTAGATTTGTTTAACATTCGATCTTGTGTGCAAAGACAAGCAGGAAAAAAAGGAAATGGAAAACATTAAGACAGTATAAAATGGAGGATACTTACACAGGACAGAGAACAATAACAGTAAACAGCAGTGACGTAAGTACTGTCCTCCGTTAATTGCTGTAGTGAAATGAGGGAGTCTAATTGGACGAGGTCCTTTTGTCTGTTCCATTAGTGTAGCTTTGATACTGCGATATTTCTCTGATACACAGTTAGATGCTATGAATAAAGGGGGTATTAGCCTGGTTTCACTCCGACCCTAATGTAAGGGTATATAGAGCAGAGTGTATTGTCAGACATTATGCAACGAAACAGAACAATCAAGGTTGTTGTTGTTGTGGCTACAGTCTGATTTACAAGCAGTTATATAAAGTCCCTACAGCAAAGCATGGCCTGAAAAAAGGACAGGGATTACAGAGCAAATGAGAAGAAATTCAGTTCTATAAAAAAAATGTATTGTAGAAAATCTCTACATTTGCATGTTAGGTTTATTGGATCTACAGATAGATTTTCATTGTTTCTAATAACTAAAGGTCATGCATTTTAACTGGATTTGTTTGGCTCTTTTTATTTTAACAGCACTGGTGCACTTCACCAAAATTGATTTTTAAATGCACTGCCTCATGCTCAATCGCATATGACACTGTGCATGTGCCTTTAATCCACGTGAGGGAATGCAACTGCAGAGGGATGTTATAGGAATAAGAGCAGGGATCAAAGAGTGTGGAGACCCACGTGTCGGTTAATAATTGAGCAACCGGCGGGGGTCAGCAAATGAGATTCACACTGACAGGGAAGGAGTGCCGTGAAGGGTCAGGGAGAGGGATGAGCTTTTTCCCGGAGGATAACTAGATAAATCACACAGCATACGCTCTGTCTGATGAGGACTGACGCATTCCTGCTTTAGGAGAGAAGACAGAATGACATGGCAGATAAATGAAAGAGAGAAAATCAACAGACATTTGAACATTTATTCAACATTTTTGAGACGAGAAAGGTGTTCTTTTTACCATGTAGATTGATCAGGCTTTTGTTCTTATCTGTGTACCATTCCTAGCAAAAGTGAAGCCTGAGTTGGATTCGCATACTAACCTTGCATTTGTAGGCTTTCACTTCCTTCATGTTTTATCTTGCTGACTCCATTTAATTTAAAGGCTCAATGTGTCTGAGCCTGATCTTTTAAAATGGACAGTGTTCCGCCTTGAATGATTGTAATACTGGAGAATTCATTACTTTCCTCGCCTTTAAATCAGCCCATGCATGTCTAGCCCAACCCTTACTTTAAGCTTTCCCTTTGTTTATCCAATCGTGTTAAAACCATATCCCACATTTAAAATATGTCCTTGAGGAGGTGAGAAATATAATCCCCTCACAGAAATGTCCTTTAGGACGTGTAAATCTCTGATGGCTCTCACAAACAAAGTCAGACATGCTCAGATACTATCCAACATGTTACTTATTTTCCTACATCAAAATAGTAATTTACATTCCACCTATTGCGCAGCTCTTTTGTGAGTTAATTTCATAGCAGTCAGAATTTCATTCATCCATCCACCTTTTCTTGCTCAAACTAGAAAAATCACCTGGCATTCAGGAATGCGCCTTAATGCTTGTTAGCATAGGTGCGCTATGCCACTATTATCAAATATGAAATAAACGAGGCAGCGACAGGAGCAAGCACAGACTTGTGTTGGTGGTAATTTTATGCACACCCTTTTACAGCAGGTCCTAACGTAGGAAAAACAAACACAAATAAGGATTGTTACTTTTTACGTTGCCACACTTCCAAAGACGTCTTTGCCCCTGATAACGGGGGGGGGGTAAACCACTTGGGCAGCGCAAGCAAAGACATACACTCACAGATAAGATAAAACACGTAGATTGACTACAGACACACAAGGTCCTTTGATGACTGCTGCTAGGCTTTCTATCAAGTCTGGTCTGTCCTCAAGGACCTTTGAATGCAATGCACCATGGGAGATATGACTTCCAACTGGGACACTGATTAGACCTTATTAGCACTCCCGTGTTGTTCACCCCTGAGAGTTGAGGTCACTCACATGCAATTAGATGCACAGGTACACAATAACACACACACACACAAAAAATGCACAGAGCAGGGACGGTAGGGATGTTTGTTTAACACACACTCACTTTAAATCACATAACACACTCTCTGGTGCACATATATGGAGGCAGAAAAAGAGCGTGACTTCCAAAAAGTGCACTCTGTACACACAGAAATACACTGTTCTCTCTCACTTCCTCCTTTGTGTGTGTGTGTGTGTGTGTGTGTGTGTGTGTCAATACAAAGTATCGCTTTAAAAAAAACAGTAAGACATAAAATCACATTGTACACACAGAAATACACTGTTCTCTCTCACTTCCTCCTTTGTGTGTGTGTGTGTGTGTGTGTGTGTGTGTGTGTGTGTGTGTGTGTGTGTGTGTGTGTGTGTGTGTGTGTGTGTGTGTGTGTGTGTGTGTGTCAATACAAAGTATCGCTTTAAAAAAAACAGTAAGACATAAAATCACATTGTCCTGTGGTATTGGTATTTTGACAAGCAATTTAAATTGTTTCGTTTATTAACGCTACAACATAGCGTTTCGTGAGGCAGTTGTCGTTGTTGGGTGAAAAGCAAACAGCCGTTTGCTGCGGAATAGAGCTCAGCGCGAGCAGGCTCCTGTGCGCGGGAGCACGCTCCTTCACTACAGACTTTCGCGGCACCTAACCATTCGCCAAAATGTTTTTAAAACCACCGGCCAAGCGCCTGGCAAAAAACAATCTTCAAATAAAAGAAAGTCACCGGAGGAGATATGAGAGTATGAGAAGAAGAGGGAGAGAAAGTTTCAGCGACACTGGCTTGATCGATGAAGTTGGCTTCAATATGATGCCAATATAAACAAGGTCTTTTGTCGGCTCTGTACATCAATGCCGACCTATGCTGACAAGTAAGTGAAGAGTAGAAAATATAAAGGTATATTCGCTATAGGGAAATGTCCCAGAAGTTTAGGATAATGAAGGTTCTAATCTATTACATAGCCATTACATTTCTAACTCCTGTTAATGACAGGAAGGCAAAAAGCGCATTATAAAAATAATAATACTCATAGCAGAAATGTCACCCTCCTTTTTTTCTTTTAACAATGACCACAATATAATAATTTTAATAAACCAAATATGAACAATTGAGGAAAATGAGGAAGAACTGATGATTCAAATGTTGTAGTTCAAGTAGTAATTTGAACAGACTAGTGGAGAGAAGTCATCAAACCCCAATAGGATAGGATAATATAATTCTTAGTTTTATGCATTAAGCCATGCTTAGTTTATCAGTTAGACAACACATAGAGACAGCAATGACAACTAGTGAGTGTTTGCAGAGAAATTGGTAAAGACTCAAACAAAGTGGGTGAAAGGTGAACACAGACTTTGAGGAAGAGAGCTAGAGAGGAACAGGAAAATTGGTAGGCAGAATGTGGACCAAAGTGGAGTGCCCTAAAGTAACCCCGCTGCATAAAATTCATAGCTGAGTATAAAAGGGAAGTGTGTGTTTGTGCCTGTGAGTGTGTTCTCAACCACACAGCTGACTCAGGCCAGTTTGAGAAATGGTTTGACGTCTTTGGAATGCAGCAAAAGTACAAAACGCTCTCAAAGTGCAGAGAGGACAGTGTGTTTCTTTGCTTGTGAAATTATCAGCATTCATATGTATAATTAGATTTGGAGTCATTTTGAGTTGAATTGGTGTGTTTTTGTATGTTCTCAGTTTGTATGTCATGGACCTCTTACACTGGGGTTTCCACTGTTTAAACAATGTCTGAAATATAAAAATGTTAAGAAGCATAATAAACAGTATCTAATTTTGTTGGTTTATTCCATCTTAACAATAGTAAGTCTCATGACCAAACATGTATAGACTGAGCCTTAGCTTATAACATCGACCCTTATATTATTATTTATACACATTTGATGTAATGTTATTGTACATCTCTCTGCCAACACTGCTGTGAATCCTGGTTTTAATAGCCACCAAATGAACCCTATCTTTGTGTTTCTTTTCTAGGTTTCAAGCTGAAGGACTTTTTGCAAGACAATGAGACCCTTTCCCACTTCCTTCACAACAACGCCTCCCTTCCTCGTTACGTGCTGAAGCAGATAGTGGAGGCTGACGTCAACCTGGAGAAGGTAGAATATATACCATTGAAAAGTTTAATAATAAAACCTCCTTCAGTAAATGATGATTTTTCCCTTTCACTAATGATTCCCATATTGCCCATAGCGGTCAAAAGTGCAGTATGTTTTGTGTGCAGCTATTTTGTTTTGTTCTTTTCACATAAGCTGATCATACTGTCCTGGACGTAGTACATGCATACATCCAATAACCTTGGCTTGACAACAGGATACTGTACTACTGCACAGCTAAGCCCTTAATGCCCTCCAGAATAATCACTGTGGGAGAGTTTGTAGTTGGTAACCAAAAGCCCCCCTATTTTTCTGTCTCTTCCTAACATGTATTCTCCCACAAAAAAGGAAATCATATTCTCTTTCTGACATCATTTTTCTTTTGAAGACTGAAAATTGATTATTTTTTTCTAGTTTATCCCCCACAAAGCTCTCCCATTTAAATCGATTAAACGTACATTGACAGATTCTGCTTCCTATAGAGCCCCCATAACAACAGCTCCCAGCCCGGCCCACCACATCATCCCTGCTTTGCAATTGGATGGCTCATGTCACATGACCACTGCTCTCCCAGCTTCCCTTCCCCCTAGTTCTGCTCACGTGCAGACACAGGCTCAAAAACAAACTCACGTTACACCATCGGATTCTCTTCTACTTTTTTCCCGGGCAACTATTGATCAAAGGAGATGACTCTCCATTAGTCTTCTATACGGTCACTATAGACATTCACTATAGTCACTTAAACATTATTTAAGGAGAAAATTGAGGAAAGCTAGTTAATGCTGTGCTTTTAGTTATATGCAATGAAGGTCATTTTGTCAATTGTCAAAACATCAATTAAGTGCACGAGACTAACACACAAAGATGGAAATCCCCCAAGGGAAATATTTGTTTTGAGTTCTTTTGAGACAATAAGTATGAGATTCCCACTCGTCCAAACTTGCTGCTTTAAGCCCTTGTGTTTTTTACAATGAAAATATTACCAGCTGTGGTGTGTGTACAATTGGCACAAAGCAGACTATTCATGGACATCTTGACATATCATAGTCACTCTGACAAAGACATAGTGTCCGAACATCTTGAGTCTTCTTCAGAGAAAACAGAGCCTCTGTCCAGTCCTTACATGCTCCAATGTCAAAGGAAAGAATTTTCTGTTACTACACCTGCATAGGTGAAGCTGTACTGCCTCTTCCAAATAATGGGTTGAATCATATTAACAAGATAAAGCATTTTCTTAAATGACACAGACGGTATCATCACCAGATACATAGCTGGTGGTAGAGTTTTATCTGGATAACTTTTATCGCCATAAAGTCCTTGGCAGGCCCCAGCTTTGAGATATATAACATTTTGTTCCCTCATCGTTGCTTGGCGATATCTTTCTGTGAGCTTCATTGTTTTGTTCTTAATGTCAGGTTTTAGGAATCTAACTATTCCGATACATAACGATCTTTAAAAATCCAGGACAAACCACAAAGGGTTCTCTTTGTTTTATCACAAACAGTGATACTCACCACATATGGAGATCAGTCTGTTGCTCCACTATGTTGTTACATTAGCATTTGTGCCAAAACTAAATACTGAATATATTTGATGGATTTTATATTTTGATACATTTCTCTCCACCTCTACTCTCTCATTGTATCTAGCACACATGTGATCATAATATTGTACTCTTTCTGAACCACTCTGCCTATTTTTCCCATCCAGGTGCTGACTAAAGGTTTTGGCTTCCATCTCAGAGACCTCTGTAACACAACGTCCCTGGAGGAATTTGTCCACATTGCTGATCACAACGTTTCCCGTCAGATTCAAGAAAGTATCTGCAATTCCACCAGCGATTGGCTTGACAAGGCCCAGAGCCACTTCCTGTCCAACTTGGACTTCTTCAAACCCATTCGGGTGAGTTTGTCCTTTGAGTCACACAGCGGAAATGTGTGGTTTAACAGTTCCGATAAAACGTTGTGCTTAGCTTGTTTCCTTTACTAGTTTTTCCCTCCAACTCTCCTCCGCCTGTTTCTTAACAAACAGCTGGCCCCTTTCCCGTAAAAACCCGTGACATAAATGTGAGTCACGATGGTGAGGGGGGGCAAGAGTTGGAGGAAACATTGTGTTCTGCTGTACTTATCTGTAGGGGGAGAAACAGACAAAGGAAGAGAGACAGGGTATCATTATCAAGTCAGCCATTCTCAGTAACCTAGAGGCTTTCGCTGATTGCTGAGCTGTTGAAGTGATTAAAGAGTTGCTCTCTTCTCTCCATATGATATGAGGATGAGATCATCTACTGGCAAACCTTTGACCTTTCACCCAAAAACACAATCCCCCCCTTTTCGAGAACTCAATGTCCAAAATGTTGATGCAATAATCACACGTGATAACATTGTGCAAAAAGTGGGAACAAGAACTTCTTGCATAACCCAAAATGTGCCCATAGTTGCTCTGCGTGTGGGTGTATGTTTGTGAGAAAAAGAGGGAGAGAAATTGTTAGGGAAAGAGAGAACAGGACCAGAGAGTGTGAGAGAGAGAGAGTGTGAGAGAGAGAGAGAGAGAGAGAGAGAGAGAGAGAGAGAGAGAGAGAGAGAGAGAGATAGCCGAGTTTAGGCATATAGATCACGTCTCTCGATCTGTGCCTCATCGAGGAGCGCTATCGCCTATATACGTCTCTCTCTAGCCGCTCTCTGGCATCTAGTATAGAACAGTAGAAAGCTGTATCTCTTCAGACTGCTGTCCTTTCTTCATCAGCACCTGTGCTTTGAGTGTCAGGCTTTTCAGCAGCTGACAGCTTAGTGTGATAGTCGACACACACACACGGACACACACGGACACACACACACACACGGACACGGACACACACACACTCAGTTTGACAGACGGGAACATGGGAGTTCACAGCTCTGCTGACCTGTTGTTCTTTCCTATTTCCCTCCTCTCCACACCTTTGACCCCGTTGTTCCCAGACTTTCTCTCTCATTCCTCTGTCACAACAACATTTAGTCACTTTCTCAATTGTATCTTTAGCTTTAAACTGAATAAATATTAATACTTTTTTTCAAATGGAAGTAAACATACATGTTAATACAAATATTCATGTTTAAAAACATAACTAACATATTAGAGATGATCAAGATCAAGACAATATGCACTCAACAAGTAACTGTCACCAATTATACTTTTTCTTCATAATACACATTCATTTTTAAACTGGTTGCATTTGTAATGTTCTACTGTTTCTAGATGTTTTGTTGTTAAGCAGAAAAGGTTTATAAGCTGCCATGGCTGCACATTAATTGATTGGTTTTTTTCAAGGATGTATTGATTGTTTGTACACACCAAATGTACTAAAATCCCTGCAACGTAGTAAAGATGCCCTCTCTCTCTTATAAGGATGTGAGGTCGGACCCTAAAGTGGTCCAGGAAGTCTCAGCAGCGACCGACAGTCTTCTGGAGAGCCTGGGAGCATTGGCCACGGAGGTACATACACCACGTTTACACACTGATAACACAACCCACTCATGTTATGACATTTAACATCAGGACTTCCGAAATATTTACTTCCAAAGTGCAATCTTCTGTAGAAATGTTTGCAAATCCAATCAATTTTTACCAAGAATAAGCTTTTGGTTAAGTCAACTTACTACACACAGGTCAATTGTGGTGATACAAACCGTGGCAGTTGGGTCAGGGTTGTATTGACGTATTGACACATCTGTATGCACTGTTTCATGGAGTCATGAAATATGTGTTTAACAGGTGGTTCTGATGAATAAGTGCATGGTGTAAACGAGAAGAAGAAAATTGTGTTTCTTAGGGGAATCAAGACAGACTGCCTCATCGTAAAAAATATTTTTTAGAACCGTTTCTTCACGGTTTCATGATAAAAACAACACCGACGCATACCGGCTTGGTTCTACCACAGTGGGCTGAGATTTTCTGTGGATACCATTCCTCTTTTTCTGAAGCTCCACCTCAGATTACCTATTTGAATGAAGACAATAGATAATACAGTCTAAAATGACATCATAAAAAGTCAGCAAAAGATCTTTCTCTCAGGCTTAAATAAGAACATGCTGTTCTTGTAGATGGTGGCACGAAAGCCTTACTCAGCCAACCACCAGGTGCCCGGTTTTTTACAAACACACACACAGTATAGGATTACAACACGCATCACATACACTCACATGCCGGACCTAAACTCATGTAACCCAGTTTGAGCTGCTGGAATGTAAAAGAGGGGGCTGCAGTCGCTGGTGTAAAAATGTGCACAACCCCCCCACCCCCTCCCTGCTCTCAGGCTGCTGAGTATGCAAAACATAAAGATCCAGCTGAGTGTGTGTGTGTGTGTGGGTGTGGGTGTGCATCCTGTCTATGCGGCTGTAATTACATCAATGAGCCTGCAGTCTTTTCTTCTGTTCTCAACCACTAACATGCAACATTCATCAATCTTTTTATCCCTTAAAATGTTTTGTTTTTATATACATACATAACATTTTAAGAAGGACACACGTTTAAAAGTGTTAACCAAAATACACTGCTTAGATTAAGACTGTTGGTACTTTAGGTGTGATATGTGAACAACAGATTATGGTGGTTTTCTTAGCAGGCTGATGGGTGAGGTAAGCGTCTGGCTGAAAGGAGAAAAACACTCATGTAACCGTCCTTACCAGTGATCATCATGAAGCCGTGTCTCAACCCTAGTTAGAGATAAAATAAATAAAAATAAAGCTCATTTTCACATAGACTTAAAAGAAAATGCTGATAGTGGAGAGAATTTGTTAAACATGCAACTTTGCATGCACTATGACAGACCTGTTTTGGGAATTTTAAGCATGTTTTTACAGTGTGAATGTCAAGGATAGGTTAGCTCAAGTGGCAGATTTCATTCTTTTTCTTCATTTACAGTCGTCAATGCTCTTGATTGATGTTTTTTAAAGGGTAATTTGTTGCGTCATTCTCCTAGACCTTTTCTCAGAAGTTTCTTTTTAGCTCAGAGAGCTGGCAGTGTGGTGATTTTAATTCCTAATAATCTGCACTCACTCATACTCAGACTTTACTCAGATGTATACAAAACCCTTTATTATGAGTTGTGGTAATGAAGGGAAAACATTTATTAAATGTCTCCCCTCATAAGCCTCACAAATGCATATTCTTTTGAATCATTAATTCTAATTTAAACCGACATGCTTCTCAGAAACATTAGTGGTATTTATCTTCTTTGTGTTGTTTTCTCTAAGTAGCTTAAGCGGTTGCTTGGCAAAGAGGTAGAGAGTGTGAGGATAAACTCCAGTAACCTCTCTGTTTCAAGACATTACCACCGTCATCACAGAAAAATCTACAACCAGATATAAATCGACCAGTCTCTAACTTCAACTGAACTTCTTGCATATATAAAGTGCATATGGTTTAAATACAAATATGTCATTTTAACTTCATCAGACCCCGAACATTTCCAATTAAATATTACGATTTTTGTATCGGTGCGAGGTCATTTTCTGAATTATTAATTAGATAGAGCAGGATTGGACTCCAGTAACCTACAGACAAACTAATCCTACTCTACAGATAACATGAGTCTTATAATATTCAGGTCACCCTGGTTAAGGTGTTAAATCTTTGCTTGGTAACAAATCATTAAGCATTGGCCTCTGAGCTGCTCTGATTCAAATAGCTGTGTGCTGGGGTGGAAATCTGAACTTTAGTAACCTCACACAGACTCAGCTACGACGAGGTAACTCTGAGACGATCCTGTTCTGCTGCCTGTCTGTGTGGGTGTGTGTGTCCTTGTTTGTGTGTTTTTCCTCTATTGTCACACAAGTTCATATTGGCATCATCTTTAAATGACTTCACACTCTTGCACACTGTCGTCAAACAAAAACATACTTCAGAGGATAATGTGTGTGTTAGAGCTACTGTAGCCTGTGGCTACGAAAAGATGAAGACACATATTTTGAAGTACATTATGTAACACACACCTTACTGGACCCAGTTCTTTGCATGTGACTGAGCAGGAAGTTCATGGTTTGTTATGGCTGCGGGCTCAGCTGCAACACAACCACATGCAGAACGATCTCAGCAGTGTTTTTTTGTTGTGAGTGTGTGTGTGTTGTGTGTTTGTGTGTCAGCGACCTGAGACCCAACAGTTCTCTCCGTCTCACTTTCGCTTTGTTGGAAAAGAGTGTTGAATATTTCGTCTACGGGCAGATTAAGAATGACCTGCAGTAGACTGGTCACAGTTGACAAGGAAAACATTGTTATTTGTATTCAAACAGCTATTCATGACGTGCCGTCAGTTAATGTGTTTGTGTGTGTGTTTGTATATGAGAGTGTTTCCTCAGTAAGAATCGTCAGTATAATAGCACTCTGCCTCGGGAGCCTGCGGAGGTTTGCTTGTTAGGAAAACGACCGATAGTAACCTCTCTTTGTTCTCTCGCCTTCTGCACTCATTTCCACCTCGTGCTCTACTGCAACAACCCATTTTCTTTCTTTCTTTCTTATTTTCCTTCTCTCTTTCTATCTTTCCTTCTTAATTTCTTTGTTGTCTCTGAGTTTCTTTCACTTATCTCTGACCTCCTCACATATTCACCTCAGGAAAAGGTGTGATTTCCTAAGCCTCCATCCCTCACACTCTCAGAGCTCAAGCTTATTTGAAGTCCAAGTCGCCTCCTGCGGTTCACACTTAGGAAACAAAAGCTCCCCTCTTCGTCTGCCCTTTCTTTGTTTTGCTCACACGGAAAACACAAAACCCCTCCTTTCAGTGCTTGCCGATCACGAGGAAGTGACATAATTGAATCAGGAGTTGACCAGTTTGCAGACATGAACAGGGAACTTGTGGTGACTTGTCTGATGACCTGCAGCAACCCCTTTGTGAACCACACTTAAAGTCAGTGAGACTTCAGGCTGAAACACCATTTCAGCCTGAAGTCTCACTGACTTTAAGCTGATGTCGATAGTCGATCAAGAGCAGTTTCTCTGTGGACTTTCTGTGGACCTTTAAAATGACCGACTATAATAGGACTGTTAAAAGTAGCTGAGAAGCAAGTATTTCATAATATGATAATACAATACTGTGCTGCCCCTAAGCCTTCAGCATTTAGAATGTAAACTTATTAACGCTAGTGAATACAGGACAAAACTTCCTAAATAAACTCAGTGAACCTTCATCTTAGTTGTTTTTATTAAAAAAACGGTCTGATATCATTTAATTAACACGCTCAATTACATGATATAAGCTGTCTGACCTTTCCTGTAAAGAGACATACAACCCCCAACCACACACACACACACCACACACACACACACACACACACACACACACACACACACACACACACACACACACACACACACACACACACACACACACACACACACACACACAGGGGGAGGGAAAGAGAGATAGGACTGGGCACAGCAGTTACATTTATCTGAGTCAGGCAGACGGCTAAGTGCTAAGTGTCTCCACCCCACTGTGCAGCACTCACATGTCTAGAATACCACTCAGAGTGCAGTTGATAAGCATTACTAACTTCAAACCTGCAGCATCAAAACCAACTGGTTCATATATCCTGTCTGTTGTGAAAGGGGATAGCTTTTCAAATGTACATGTAGACATATCCATTTCACTTTCCTTAGCTACAGTAAATGAGACATGTGAGACACCCTGAAGGAGAAACATGAGCACAGCAGGTTTAAACACAGATGAAGTGGTAGATCAGTCGTATGTGGCATGCAGTAGATTCCACAAATAAAAGAACATTAAAGTGAGACCGTGTTCAGATTGAAGCTGATGTCATGTGATCTTTTCAAAGACATGGATCTCTATATTTCAGAATCAGAATACCTTTATTAGTCCCTCAGAGGGGAAATGTACATTGTTAATGCAGAAAAGAGCCAAAGACAGCTTAATGTTACTAAAGCATGCATAAACAATATTAAAGATACAAAAAATTATAATAAAGAAAGTTACACATTTTACAAAATACACATACACAGTTCTGAGGATTTGGCAGCCAGGTATATATTGCACAGTTTTTAACGGCATATATATATATATATATTGCACAGATATTTCCCAGACTTAGATCATTTTTTCATTAGATCAAGGCACTTTCTGCCACACATCCATTAGAATATCAGATTGTATGATGTTTAAATTCAATTTGTTCTCATCTGAGTTGAGCTTTACGGGTCTGGTAGATGTCTCTCTGTGTATTTGTATCCCCTAGCCTGTCAACAGTTGGAATTGATATGTTTATCGTCATGCTTAAATTTCTGTTTGTGTCTCTCCGTCCAGCTTGCCAGTATGAAGAGTTGGAAGGACATGCGTAAGGAGATCTTGTATCTAACTGTGAACGCCACAGGATCTCCAAACCAGATGTACCAGGCCGTGTCACGTATCGTCTGCGGACACCCCGAGGGAGGCGGCCTCAAAATCAAGTCTCTCAACTGGTATGAAGACAACAACTACAAGGCCCTGTTCGGAAACCATGGCAACGACAGTGACAGTGACCACCCCTCATCTTACGACAACACTTCAAGTAAGTCTGAAGCACCTAAAACGCAAATGTCATGCTTTTTGATATGGTTCCTTGCCAATAATTTCCCGTATGAGATAAACCAAGACTCAAATTGTCTCTGTTTTTATTTTCCAGCTCCCTATTGTAACAACATGATGCGTAGCCTGGAGTCCAGCCCCATTTCAAGGATGATCTGGAGAGCTCTGAAGCCTCTGCTCATGGGGAAGATCCTGTACACCCCAGATACTCCGGCCACACAGAGAATCATCCACGAGGTACAAAAGGCCCCTCTCATCTTTGAAAAGCCCCCATCAGAATAATGAATTAAGCCTCATTGAACGAGACTGAACGCATCTCTTTGTGTTCCAGGTTAATAAGACCTTCCAGGAACTCGGCCTGCTGAGGGACCTCGGAGGGATGTGGGAGGAGATGAGGCCCAAAGTGTGGAATTTCATGGAAAATGGAGAGGAAATTGATATGGTCAGGGTAAGTGAGATGCCCCGCCAACACACACGTACTCACATCAAGGCTGCGTCTTCCTGTTTACATGAGGGGGTTTAAAGACGGTAAACTGTGCGTCTTTGTTACCCAAATAAGGAAAGAAAGGTGCAAGCAGCTTCTGAAGTTTCTGTAGATGTCACCACCCAAACTAACAGAATATCTGACCCTTAATGTCACAAAATCATATGACTCCTTATGTGGGTTCACAAGGAGGAACTGGGAGAGTAGGACAAAGGCCAAGAAAAGTAAACTGTTCATACTCGCTGGTGTCTTTTGGGTAAATGCAAGATCAACAAAGCATAGAGGCATTGACAGCGTGGTATTAAAATACGATCCTGGCAGCAGTGTGAAGCCATAAAGCAGAACAATTCTTGCCCTCATTTAAACCTTTTGTTGATTCTCTGATCAAATCACAAGGGAAATATTGTACAAAGGGTTAGATTTCTTGCACAGAGAATAGATTAATGGGAATAAAATGACAGTCACTCTAACAGAAGGAGCCATTGAATGTCATATTGTTAAGATTGAAGTATTTTTTTAATGGTATATAGTTCATGCATGGCCCTCCTGCTGGCATCAAATGTGTTTTGTTTTTTTGCCAAAACGTAATTACATAAGCACCACTTCCACCTAGTGGCCAAAGGTGATACTGTGAAATAACTTTACAATGAAGAATGTTCCGGAGACCATTTACCGTGTAAAAAGAGTCCTTGCTGTTTTGAAATAGGGCTTGATACAGTTTTGTATTGGATCTGATAAGATGGCTCTCTCTGGTGTTTCTCAGCCTGTTTGTGTCATGACATAGTTTTAAATCTCGTGGGAAAAGGAAAACGGGTGTGAAGATAGACATAATAAACTTGAGAAAGCCTTGAACAGGGTTTCAGGAGATTTAAGACAGTGAAATAGGTCACAAGCCACACAAACAGACAGGAAGACTTTGAGCCATCTGTAAATGTTTATCTGTATCTGCTTTAACATTTGTAATATATACTTATAACAGGTCTCTTGACATTAAACTCTCTATAATAAACCATAATAACCTTCCTTTTTGCAGACGCTGCTCCAGAATAGCGCCAGTGCCGCATTCCTTAACAACCAGCTCAGTGGGACTGAGTGGCGTGTGTCAGATTTGTCCGCCTTCCTGTCGAAAGTCTCAGAAGACAAAAGACCTGCAGGATCCACCTACACTTGGAGAAACGTCTTCAACGAAACCGACCAGGCCATTCTGACCATCTCACGCTTCATGGAGGTTAGTTCAGGATGCATCACACCATATCTGTTTTTCCAGGAAATATATTCAGTGCATAAAGTTCCATATCAGTTTTGGCTTTAAGGGCAAGAATACAAAGAAGAGTATGTATAACATTTTAAATGCAGACGTGTGAAATAATATTCCGACATAGCTTAATCCTTAAGGGGGTTTAGGGGCATGGCCAATAAATCCATAATTGTACGTGTTTCAAGGTTTGTCTGTAAACAGCTGTAATCGAGTTTCTTCCATTTAGGTCAAGCTGCAAAGAAAACCTAAAGGGGAAAAATAGGTTATATGCTAATTGTCCAAATAGGTCATCACACTAAAGAATCTTCCAGTATCTTCAATTTTTTTAAATGCACTTTAAAAGGCATTAAGCTCCAGGCAGGACTATTAAAAGCCTTGAAATCAAATGTTCTTTCCACTTCCACTTCCTGTAATCATTGCTCTGCTGAGACTGTCTCTGCGCTTCGGGAAAATATGCCAGAGCCGAGCCTTAGCGATAAACAACTACCTTCAACTCCTGCCAAATGTTAATCAATATCAGTGCCCTGTTGAGTTGTCTTGCCTATCTGTGTCAGGGAATTTGACCATTCTTAAATGCATATTGAATACATTTTATAACATTAGATTATATACATAAATAATAATATCAAATGAGCAAATGTTAAACCATAACTTAATGGCAACAACTTAGAACACAGAATTGAATAATAATGACATTTCTTAGACTGTAAAAATATCTGCAAACAACTCAACTGACCTACTGACTGTCTCACCCTTTAAGGAGGTCATATCATGTGTGTAAACTGAAATTCCTCACAACCAAAACTATGTCAAGGCCATACACGACCATAAAAAGCTGTCATGCCTTTAGCATTAGGAGTGCCTGTGCTGTATTTCCATCATGCCTTCTGAACTCGTTGGCCTCTCACAGTATGTTGCGAGGAAGTGCAAGTCAGCTTATGTAAGCATGCGAGAGGTTTATCTGCAGGAGGTCTCATAAAATCAGCTCAACAACTCTGGGGTGGTTACTCAGTGTTCAGGCACATGAGTTTGTGTAATAGGGTATTGAGTTCATAGTCATTATCAGCCTCTGAACACACTCTGAGGAAAGCATGGGAATGTGTGAGCAGGAATTTCAGTAATTTGTGTTAAAAATAAGATAGTATATCGGCATACGACCTATATCCCTGACATTCAGCTTTTGATTAGATAAAGCTTGAGATTGTTCTTCTTCTGTCCCTCTGAAAAACAATGTCATTACATGTTTTGTTTTCTTTGTCCATCCCTCCAAACGCCATTTAAAGTCTTCATACACTTTCTGGAAATGCTTCTCTGAGTAAAATGTGCCCTCTCTTTTCCTTTCAGTGTGTGAACCTGGACAAGCTGGAGCCAGTAGCCAATGAGGAGCGACTGGTCAACAAGTCCATGGGTCTTCTGCACAACCAGAAGTTCTGGGCTGGAATCGTGTTTCCTGACATCGCCCATGGCAACAGCACTGAACTGCCTCCCAACGTCAACTACAAGATCCGCATGGACATCGATAATGTGGAGAGGACCAACAAGATCAAGGATGGGTAAGAAGCTACTTCTGAATGTTATTCTATTGCAGAGCCATTGCAAATTCTTCTCCACTTGTTTTTATGAAGTGACTGACTGTAATCTTGATTTGCAGTTATTGGGACCCCGGTCCCAGGGCAGACCCCTTCGAGGACCTTCGTTACATCTGGGGCGGATTTTCTTACCTGCAGGACGTCATCGAGCAGGGAATCATCCGAGCCATCACTGGCACAAAAGAGAAGACAGGAATCTACATCCAGCAAATGCCCTACCCCTGCTTTGTTGATGACATGTAAGGGACCACAGTGCAAAGCAAGAGACTAATTGCAATTTTCACTGTATAAGTATCAAAAACACGTGTGACCAATTTTCCCTCTTTTTCAGGTTCCTGAGGGTGATGAGTCGGTCCATGCCTCTCTTCATGACCCTGGCGTGGATGTACTCTGTGGCCATCATCATCAAGGGCGTCGTATATGAGAAGGAGGCCCGCCTCAAAGAGACCATGAGGATCATGGGACTGAATAACGGAACCCTGTGGCTGAGCTGGTTCATCAGCAGTTTGATCCCACTTCTGATCAGCGCCGGCTTGTTGGTGGTGTTATTGAAGGTAAGTCTTATCCCAGACACTCACAGATACATGTCAGCACTGATCATGGCTGATGTTTAACATTTTAGATGATATTCACTCTGTTTCCCTTGATCCCTATTTCCAATATCTGAACATGTTGAAAACAAGCTGCTGTAAGGTGGAAACTTTATAAACCTTTATTTTTCCATTTCTTTCAGATGGGCAACCTGCTGCCTTACAGTGACCCAGGCGTAGTGTTTATTTTCCTGGCATCCTTCGGCATTGTTACCATCATGCAGTGTTTCCTCATCAGCACTCTCTTCTCTCGCGCCAACCTGGCAGCCGCCTGCGGTGGCATCATCTACTTCACCCTCTACCTGCCCTACGTGCTGTGTGTCGCCTGGCAGGACTACGTGGGCTTTGGAGCAAAACTCATTGTGGTGTGTGGAAGAATAATATAAATATGTACATTATTACAGGAAGTATTTTGTGTTGAGTGTTGCATTTTCCTCTCATCTAAACTCTGGCTCCTCTGTTGTTCTCACAGAGTCTGCTCTCTCCTGTGGCGTTCGGTTTTGGCTGTGAGTACTTCGCCCTGTTTGAGGAGCAAGGGGTGGGCATCCAGTGGTCCAACTTGCTGGCCAGCCCCCTGGAGGACGACAGCTACAACCTGACCACCTCCATCTCCCTCATGCTGTTTGATGCTGTGCTCTACGGAATAATGACCTGGTACTTTGAAGCTGTGTTCCCTGGTGAGTCATGGATATGGTTTACAACTTTGGTATTTGTTCCTGTAAAGAGCTAAATCAACAATGCGCAGTTAAATAATTAGGGTTCTTTCGGTGGACTGCACTAAATAACTAACCATTTCATTCTCTTCCAGGTCAGTATGGGATCCCCAGGCCGTGGTATTTCCCTTTCACTAAGTCGTACTGGTGTGGAGAGAAAGAAAACCCCAACATCTCCACCCCTCTGTCAAAGAAGGGCAACGCTGAAGGTACAAATCATTATCCTTACAATTAATTGCATTTCTGTTTAAGGATTCATTTCCAGATATAAAACCACTGGTGAAATATTGTCTTAAGTTTAAAGAACAGATACATGATCCCTTCTTTAATGTGTATTTTCAAACATAAGCTCACCTCATGGCTAATATACCGTTGTCCTTTTCTTTATTTTTATCCAGTTTGTATTGAGGAAGAACCAAGCCACATCGAGCCAGGTGTTTACATCGAGAATCTGGTGAAGGTGTACAGCCATGGAAACAAGCTGGCTGTAGACGGGCTGTCCCTGAGGTTCTATAAGGGACAGATTACCTCCTTCCTCGGACACAATGGAGCTGGCAAGACCACCATTATGTAAGATAATACACAGATTATCCGCTGTACAATTACATTACTCTAAGCAAATGATGGTAATTGACTGTTATGTTCCTACCTGTTTTCCGATAGGTCAATCCTCACAGGGTTGTTTCCACCCACATCTGGCACCGCCTATATCCACGGGAAGGACATCCGCAGCGAACTCAGCACCATCAGGCAGAATCTGGGCGTCTGTCCGCAGCACAACGTACTTTTCAGCATGTACGTATACACAGCATCAAGAAGTCTTTGCACAGTAAAGTTGCTTTTTTTGTGCTAATTGTGCGATTTCTTGCTGTTTTGTTATTCAGGCTGACAGTCGAGGAACACATCTGGTTCTACGGCCGTCTGAAGGGGCTGTCCGAGGAAAAGGTGAAGGCAGAGATGGAACAGATTGTGAACGATGTCGGACTGCCTCACAAACGAAACGCTCGCACCCACACCCTGTCTGGTCAGTCTCATCACTAATTTATTTTCTTTTAGTCATCTCACAAGTCATATAAGACAGGTTTTACATTAGATAGTCCTTTTTAAAGATGTCATTCTGACTTTTTCATCGTGTTGTTTTTGCAGGAGGGATGCAGAGGAAGCTTTCAGTGGCCCTGGCTTTTGTTGGGGGTTCAAAAGTGGTGATCCTGGATGAACCTACTGCTGGAGTCGATCCCTACGCACGCAGGGGCATCTGGGACCTGCTGCTCAAATACAGACAAGGTAAACTAACCTGAATTTGGTGCTTACTCAGTAACAGTCATTCTTTCCAACAACTTCTGAAAGGACTACTGTTTTACAAACTACATTTTCCACTGTGTTCCTCCCTCAGGCCGCACCATCATCCTCTCCACCCATCACATGGACGAAGCTGACATCCTGGGTGATCGCATCGCCATCATCTCCCACGGCAAGCTGTGCTGCGTAGGCTCCTCCCTCTTCCTGAAGACCCAGCTGGGCACGGGCTACTACCTGACCCTGGTCAAGAGAGACTACGACCTGGCGCTTCAGTCCTGCAGGAACTCTGCCAGCACCGTGTCCTACATCAAGAAGGCCGAGAAGGTAAGAAAGATTGCTCGGGAGAACCTGTGTTTTAAAAAAAAAAAGATACACAAGAAGCTGTCTCATTTCCATTGTTTAAGTACAATTTACTTAGACCTTTTTGTCTTTGGTTAAGGAGGACAGCGTATCAGAAAGCAGTTCAGATGCTGGTCTGGGCAGCGAACCGGAGAGTGAAACCACCACTATTGGTAAGAACTGACAAAATGGCGGTTTATTCCTAAGGCATATAGTATGTTAATCTTATCATTTCCCCTCACAAACATCTCACTCTTTTCTGCTAATTTCTTCCCTACAGATGTGTCGCTTATCTCCAACCTGATATTCAAACATGTCAAAGAGGCTCGCCTGGTTGAGGACCTTGGCCACGAAATCACCTACGTCTTGCCCTACGAATCTGCTAAAGACGGAGCCTTTGTCGAGCTTTTCCACGAGCTGGATGACAGACTCACCGACCTTGGAATATCCAGCTATGGAATATCTGATACCACCCTGGAAGAGGTGAGAAGCAGTGAAGAGCTCTCAGTTTGCTGAATTAAACTTAGAGCAGTTATATACTTTGTCTAGATGGAATTTCTCTGTTCTTCTGATGTTCTAATTGTGTTTATTTCCACTATGCAGATTTTCTTGAAAGTTGCTGAGGACAGTGGAGTGGATGCTGTTGAGCTTTCAGGTAAGATTTGTGTTGCATTTGCCAGATTTACAGCATGCACACTCCTAATATCTCCATATTGTTATATTAACATGTTGACCCTCATGTGATTTCAGATGGAGTCGTTCCAACCAGGACTCGTCGCCATCATGCATTCGGAGACCACCAGAGCTGCCTGAAGCCCTTCACTGAAGACGACTTTGATTTCAATGACTCTGAAGGTAGGCCTTCACTACCCAGGGTTCAATTCAATGGTAGCAAAAATCTTATTGTTAACAGAAAAATATTTTTACACATTTTTGAATTTGCAGTAAAATTGCAATCTTAAATATTCTGTGGTTACTGACTTATTTGAAATATTACAAAATCAGGTCACAAGACAAGTTGGTTATATGTATCGTGTCTTCTCTGTCCAGAATCCCGTGAGACTGACTGGCTCAGTGGGTCAGATGGAAAAGGCTCATACCAGGTTAAAGGCTGGAGTCTGAAGAGACAGCAGTTTGTTGCTCTCCTCTGGAAACGATTCCTCTACGCTCGGCGCTCCAGGAAAGGCTTCTTTGCTCAGGTACGCTAATGCTTTTTAAAATATTTTACTGTTTGCAAAAATAGTTCTCCTGCAGAAAATATACACCCTGTTCAAATTAGGCAATAGTTCTGAAGTTAGTTAGTATTCATGTGTGCAAGTTGTGATAAATTGTCATGATGTTATTTTTCAGATTGTTCTCCCGGCCGTGTTTGTGTGTATCGCCCTGATATTCAGTCTGATTGTCCCTCCGTTTGGAAAGTACCCAAGTCTGTCTCTGGATAACAGCATGTATGGAGAACAGTTTACCTTCATTAGGTGAGATACCATTCTTTATGTCTGAAGAAAATTGCCTTCTAAACATTTTCTCCATTTATCCTTTAAAAGCACTTTTTAATCTTAAATTCACCTCAAACGAATCAGTCTCTTTCAATGCACATTTTCTATATAAATGTGGTATTTCCATCTACAAAGTGCACCACTCATTAAATATGTAAGAGGTTACCTCAGTTCACAAAGGGTTGCATGTTACATAACTGATGTATTTTAAATCCACAAGCTAGGCAACGAATAAGTGCTGAAAACTGCACTGCGTTCAGTATTTATTTTAGTACTCTGTGAAACTTTAGAAACAAGTTTTAAGAGTGGTGGTGTGATAAATTGATGATAAAGCTATTTTAAATGTCAATCTATTATTGACTGCAATCTTGTTCAACATAATTGTTCTATGTATTTCCGTTTCAAGGTAGTTAATAAATGCTTTGTGATGTTAAAGGCAATGTGTTCTATGTGTTTGCAGTAATGACATACCTGAAGATCCTCACATCAACAAACTACACAGCGCTCTTACAGAACAGCCAGGATTCGGGACACGTTGCATGGATGGACAACCCTCACCGTGAGTTTTTAGAAGAATTTAATCATTCATTAAAGAAAATAACAAACCATACATCTACAGAAGAAGCGTTGTAACACAACTATGGTAGCCTTTATTAAGAATTGTCTCTCTTTGCTCCAGGGACAGTCACTGCACTGAAGTTGGGGACGAGTGGTCGGCCCCTCTGGTCTCTCAAAGTGTGAAGGAAATGTTCGACAATGGCAACTGGTCTATGGAGAATCCCTCCCCCATGTGTGAGTGCAGCTGTGAAGGACGCAAGAGGATGCTCCCCGAGTGTCCCGCTGGAGCCGGGGGGCTTCCACCACCAGAGGTTGGTGACATCACATCATTAGAAAGTCAAAACTGAAGTGTAAACCAATGTAAAATGACAAATTAAGACCAGTTACACAAATGTTAATACATATTTTGTCTGTTTGTGTATCCAGATGAAGATCAGTGAGACGGACACTCTTCAGAACTTGACTGGCAGGAACATCTCAGACTATCTGGTTAAAACCTACGCTCAGATCATTGGCAAGAGGTAACACTCATCTTACATTTCTTAATTAGTTCTTGTCCTGTTGTATTATGTTTCATTGAACTTAATCTTTTCTTTTGTTTCTTTTTCAGCCTAAGGAACAAGATTTGGGTCAACGAGTTCAGGTAAATTATCATAGACCCATTTTGAGCTAATTTGTCGATAATATCAAACTGAATGCCTCTCTGCTCTTCGCTGATATTAACATTATTTGTGATCTTCACAGATACGGTGGGTTCTCGCTGGGCGCCAGGAGTTCTCAGCTTTCATCCCATGCAGATCAGGTTGATGAAGCGATCGCTCAGCTGAAGAGACGTTTCCGCCTGGAGAGAGTAAGAGATTTCATTCTATGATTATTTATAAACTGCACTAAGCTCATGCCAAAGTAGACACTAATGAGGTCAACTGTACTGAGCTTGTTTTAGTTAAGGCTAACTGCTGAGGAGATTGACTCATTTAATTTGTATGTTTTTATAATAATGGCTGTAGTGTAGCTAGATGGTATAGTCTATTATATATTTAGCAGGTTTAAACATTGTCTACTTACCCATGTGCTAAAGAAGACTTCCTCCCTCTCCCACCCTCCAGGGAACTGCAGCGGATCGTTTCTTTCATAGTCTCTCCAATTTTATGCAAGGGTTGGACACCAAGAACAACGTCAAGGTTAGCAAACGCACACGCACACGCACACACACACACACACACACACACACACACACACACACACACACACACACACACACACACACACACACACACACACACACACACACACACAGTGGTTATACAACAACACGTGGCCCTGCCGGTTACCTTCAAGCCGCCCTCACCACATTATCCAAAGTAGACACAATGGGCTTCTTTCACTCTATTCATTCTGTGTGACTTGATTACTCTATAATTGGTTCCTGCTTTGTGGCAGAATAGAAGATCTAAAGCTTCATCTCCACACATTCAATACATTTCTTGTTCTTTTTTTCCCCTATATATGAATTATGCATAATGTATTTCTCTCCATTGATCAAGTATTTTGGACAGAAAAAAACGATGGCTATATAAGGAAACAGATTTGAGGTCACCAAGACATACCGTCATTTACTCCAATGCAGATTTGTGGCACTCATCTGATCACCAAGTTTCTAATTTACTCACAGACTGCTCTCTATTTACTCTGAGCTAACAGACACTAAACATGCCTCTCTATCTCCAGATCTGGTTCAACAACAAGGGCTGGCACAGCATCGGTTCTTTCCTCAATGTGATGAACAATGGCATCCTGCGGGCCAATCTGCCATCCGACAAAGACCCCACTAAGTTTGGCATCACTGCCTCCAATCACCCGCTCAACCTCACCAAGGAGCAGCTGTCCCAGGTCGCATTGTGAGTATAACTGTTTAACTGTTTATACCAGAGTACACTTGGGAATCAACATCTCTTTGACCCTTTCTAAGACAGCACTTGTAATTCTCACGTCTTCTGTCTCTGTGTCCTCCCTCCCTCAGGATGACGACATCAGTGGACGTGCTGGTTTCCATCTGCGTGATCTTCGCCATGTCCTTTGTCCCTGCCAGTTTTGTGGTCTTCCTCATCCAAGAGAGAGTAAACAAAGCCAAGCACATGCAGTTCATCAGCGGAGTGCAGCCTCTACTTTACTGGCTGGCCAACTTTGTCTGGGATATGGTAAGACATCGCAAACCCCTCATTCATTAGCCCCTCTTCAATCTAGATTAAATACAATCAGGAAAGAGTGATAGGACTTACTAAAGCATATGTTTCTCTCTCTTTTGCAGTGTAACTACGTCGTCCCAGCCACACTGGTCATCATTATCTTCATGTGTTTCCAACAAGACTCCTACGTCTCCTCCACCAATCTGCCCGTGCTGGCGCTGCTGCTGCTGCTCTACGGGTACATTGACTCGGAAATAAATACATCTTTTAGCTTCTCCTTTCCTTATTCTCTCAATGTGTGTATCCTTTTCTCCCCTCTAACCTGATCTTTGTATCTCTTTTCCAGATGGTCCATCACCCCTCTGATGTACCCGGCCTCGTTCTTCTTTAAGATCCCCAGCACGGCCTACGTGGTTCTGACCAGCGTGAACATACTGATAGGAATCAATGGCAGCGTCTCCACATTTGTACTGGAGCTGTTTGGAAGCAATGTAAGACATTTTGATTCAGATAGTTAAAGAAGTTAACGATTGTGTAGAAAAAAGAGGCTTTTGAATGACTATCAAAATCAATACTAACTTCTAATATTCACTTCCTATCGAAGGAAATCGGTGGCATCAACGACATCCTGAAGAACGTGTTCCTCATCTTCCCTCACTTCTGTCTGGGCAGAGGACTGATCGACATGGTGAAGAATCAGGCAATGGCCGACGCTTTGGAGAGATTTGGTAATTACTGCCAACTTTTTTTAAATTAAATCGTTTTTTTAATCCTGACAAGGGAAATAAGTATACACATTGTTTAAACATGTTTTAATGGATTGTGGTTGTGTCTCTGTAGGTGAAAACCGGTTCCGCTCCCCTCTGGCCTGGGACATGGTGGGCAAGAACTTGTTTGCAATGGCTATACAGGGAGTGGTCTTCTTCACCATCACCATCCTCATTCAGTACCACTTCTTCTTCAAGGCCAGGTGGGTGAAGCCTTTAACACGTGTGACCCTCACAAAGTGTCCATACAAAACTTTTTGTTTCTCTATAACAACTTGGATTTAAAATATCTCTGGTTGAAAATCTGTTTCTGTCCTGAGTGTGACCTCTTGTCTTCCTGCCTCCTGTGCTGCAGGTCTTCCACCAGTCATCTGAAGCCTATTGGAGAGGAAGACGAGGACGTGGCCAGAGAGCGGCAGAGGATCCTGAACGGAGGAGGACATTCAGACATCCTGGAGATCAAAGAGCTCACCAAGATCTACAAGAGGAAACAGAAGCCGGCAGTGGATCGGCTGTGTGTTGGCATCCCCCCCGGAGAGGTATGACACAGACAGACAGCATGCACCTGATACACACTTGATGTTAACACAGGGCCACCAGGAAAACCTTACGTACAGATAAACAGTTATGTTTTGTTCAAATGTTCATGTGGTAAACATGGTTCCCAAATCTCTATATTTCTGTGATAATAAACATTAGTTTTCCCTTTTTTCCTGCAGTGTTTTGGATTGCTAGGAGTGAATGGGGCAGGGAAAACCAGCATCTTTAAAATGCTGACAGGAGACTCCACAGTCACCGGGGGAGAGGCCTACCTGGCTGGCAAGAGGTGAGACACATCTAACCTCAAAATATGCACATCCAATCCTTTGCATTATAATGTATATAAGCCTGATTGGATAAAAGTACAGTCATCTTTTTCTTGTCTAATTTTGATTTGCAATTGGAATATTATAGCTTTCTTTTATTTTCTAGAAAACGTCCAAACAGGGCAACATTTTGTTATGCTTTGTATGAAACGTAATAACGCTCTTCTTTATGTGCTCATCTCCCTCCAGTGTGACTTCAGAGATAGACGAGGTGCATCAGAACATGGGCTACTGTCCTCAGTTTGATGCCATCAACGACCTGCTGACCGGCAGAGAGCACCTCGAGTTCTACGCCATCCTGAGGGGAGTGCCCGAGAAGGAAGTCTGCGAGGTCAGTTACAAACTAATGTCATTAACACACATGAACCCACTCCATTTATTATGACATATTGTATTAGTTAATCAATTGTATCACACTTTCAAATCTATTTCAAATCAAATGGTATAATACATCATTGTGTATGCACAAAAGAAAAAGAAAATGGTGGACACTCATGACATCTTCATTATGTCCACTAGGTGGCAGAGTGGGGCATCCGTAAGCTGGGTTTGGTCAAATATGTGGACAAGTCAGCAGGCAGCTACAGTGGAGGCAACATGAGGAAACTGTCTACTGCCATCGCTCTCATAGGAGGACCGCCTGTAGTCTTTTTGGTGAGTAAATGTTCATTCTTAAACAAAATACTTCTGAATGAATTTGCAGTGAAGTAGTGTGATCCAAAGTTACTGAAGCCAGTGTGTGTTCAACAGCAGCAGCATCTGATCATCTGTTTCTTTCTTTTCACAGGATGAACCAACGACAGGCATGGATCCTAAAGCACGGCGCGCTCTGTGGAACGCCATCCTGAGCATCGTCAAGGAGGGACGATCTGTAGTCCTGACCTCTCATAGGTTAGATTATAGCATCTGAATTTGACATATTCTCAAATATGTGAACTTTATACTGTTGTTGTGAGTTTACCTCAACATGACAAAACTCATCCTGGTGTGTTTCTTTGCAGCATGGAGGAGTGTGAAGTGCTTTGCACCAGAATGGCCATCATGGTCAACGGCAGGTTCCGCTGTCTGGGCAGTGTGCAGCATCTCAAAAACAGGTAGGAACACATGATGCCAGACAAACACATATCTAAAAATATAATACCAGATTTTTAAGATTAGCACTTAAACAGTTCAGTTGAATTAAATGTGTTTTGTTGTGTTCTCATCAGGTTTGGGGATGGCTACACCATCATCCTGCGGGTGGCGGGCCCAGACCCGGACCTCCGGCCGGTGATGGAGTTCATCGAGCGGGAGCTCCCAGGCAGCAATCTGAAGGAGAAACACAGAAACATGCTGCAGTACCAGCTGCCCACCTCCCTCACCTCGCTCGCCCGCATCTTCTCCCTGCTCTCTCAGAACAAGGACACCCTGAGCATAGAGGACTACTCCGTCTCACAGACAACTTTAGACCAAGTAAGAGTTCACCCAATGCTCTGTCTACAACTGGATGGTGACTTTAGTTTAGGCTGAGTCTAATTTCTCCTCCCTCTTCTCTCCTTCCTGCAGGTGTTTGTCAATTTCGCCAAGGACCAAAGTGATGAGGACCATTTGAAAGACGGCCTTCTACACAAACGGGACGCTGTGGTAGTGGACATTTCACAGCTGAACACTTTCCTAAAGGACAACACGACCAAGGAGAGCTGCGTCTGATTCCACATACCATCAGGGGGAGTTGCTACGCTTTCCCCCCCCTCCCCCCTCCCAGCAAACATTGACCACTAACCTGCAGGGGGGAGGAGAACTTTGTTCATTTTTTATTTCAATTTTTTAGTCTTTTTTAATTGTTATCATTTCTCAGTGGACCTGCACTTCAGCGCACAGCCTCTTAAAAAAGGCAGAGGCTGCAGGTATTGTGACACTGAAACAATGCAAATCAATGCAAGAAATATATATGAATATATTTAAGAAGATATTCCTGTGAGGGTCGAGACCGGTGCTTCTCCTTCACTAGATGGACAGAAAGAAAGAAACACTTGAAGCGACAGCAGGATTTAAATGCTGCACAGGACTGAAGGCTTGGAGCCGCGCTGGTCCCTCAGTGGACACGGCATGTGGGATGAAGGAAGGAAATATCTCTAGGTTTTTTATCTCAGTTCCTAAAAGTAGTCAGCAGTAGTCCGTGGGACTGTGTATGTGCTGCTCTCTATCGTGAATACACGACAGCGTTAAACAAAAAACTAAAAAAACTGTTCAGATCATTCACTGCCAACGGCTAAAAAGACGGAATGACTATTTTTATATTCAGGGTCAAAGCTCTCTCGGTCTCTCTTTATTACCAAGTGCAGTTGTTTTTATCTTGAAAATTATGGTAAAAAAAAATCACAATCCAATTACTTTCAATCATATACATTTTTGCTAATTCTGTTATTGAAAATAATTTAATTCTAATAGACAAATGTAACCTCTTTGGAGTTTTTATTTTTCCTTTCTTGGATAATAATTAAGATTGATAACCAAGTTGTCTTTTTAATTTGTTTTAATTTGTGTCCTTGACATTGTCCAGAACAGTGCCTATACTGTACCATGGTGGAGAGAGAAATCTGAGCACTCCATTAAAACAACAACAATGTATGTAGGCTGCCCAGGAATGTATAAGACAGATACCAACAGGCATCGAAGCACAAAAAAGGGGCTTTTTGTGAAGATGATGAATGATGCTTGACTGTTCAAAAACAAAAAAAACTAAAATATTGTGGTTGCTTGATGTCTGTACAAGATGTGCAGTTTGCTACACTGGCTTGTTTTTACTCGCCCTGCTCTCTTCGAAAGAACTGAATGCTAAACAGAGTCGATTGCAAGATGACCATCACAAACTTGCAGCTGTGACTTCAAGAGAAAGTTGAAAGGAAATGTGAACTGGTTATGGAAAGTTCCTTGGAAATATTATACTGCATGCTTTCCACTGGGCCACACACTAGACTATCAGCACTTCTGTGTGTGTGCCGGAGCATGTCGTGGGATCAGCTTGTAAATGGACGGGTAACAACTGAATTGTGCTTCATTGTTGTGAGATTACTGGCACATATAGAGTCTAAATCCAAAAATATGTTGTAAAAGAGAAATAGAAAAGTCTGTATCAAAATGTGGCTTCACTGCTACTCGACTTGTCTAAGATCTAAAGATGGTAACTGGTGCTTTCATGCTTGCCTGTGTGACGGCAGCATGGCAGCATTTCAGACCTGAGCCAGCACCGATGTGGATATTATGTACAGTAGCAACTTTGTGATGTCAAGTCAGAAAAAAACGTTACCAGTGGAGTGAACAAACAGTATCTGTGCCAAATGGAGCTGAATATATATCTTTGATCAACCAGCATAACATGGAGGATGCGACTATTTTGTAAAGTTTAAGTTGTGCTTTGATTTAAGTTCTCTATCCATTGTCAGCAGCTCGATACAGAAAGCACATATTATGTCCAATGTGTGCTCCATCGTACAACTCTATCCGTTTTTCTATCTATTCGTCATGTTGCCAAATTCTAAACTTCCTGTCTGTCCTCATTAATAAGCTGCCACACTTACTGTACTGTCAAAAACTCAAATGTTCAGGCTTGAGGTTGAGCTACTTCAAACAAATGTTGTTTCCAATGCTACATTAAAGAAGCCAGGCTACACATAAACAGGGACCATGTGAATTAGAGTTGTGCTTGTAATGCTTTATAGTCCAAAAAATCGTATCCATGGTTTCCATTAATGACAGATTGTCATTACGGGTCATCTGTGTCATATACAAATCGTGGAACGTACCAAAATCCTCATCTAAATGTGAGCACTTTATAGACTTCATAGCCTGTTTTGTCAAAGATGTAAAAGTAGGGATTTGGGTATGTTAAATTAGGCATTTTAAAACAAATCTCTGAACTGGAACACAGGTATAATCCAGATGCAATGATGCTACACCACTGCATTAGGAACATTTAGTTTGAAACTTGAAATCGAGAACGAAGGCTTATATGTTAATGAGAAGATAAGTGGAACAGCGAAACGCAAAGTAAGATAGAGACAAAACTACAGTCGGGATTTTTCTCTTCTCGTGCTCAATATTATTATTTGTTTACATTTTTAAGTATTAAACAGCTGTTTGAGTCTGTTACGCATTGTGTATAGTTACTCTTTACATTGTGAAATAAAAAATTCATACATTTTGAAAAAAATCCTGATTGTTTTGCATTTTGTTTGTCTGATCTGTGTGCGCTCCCACAAAAAGCTTGTTGTCATATGGAAGTTTGTAGCTAATGACTGAACAAAAGGAATGTTTACTTTGTGTGTGTGTGTGTGTGTGTGTGTGTGTGTGTGTGTGTGTGTGTGTGTGTGTGTGTGGATCACTGTATGTTTCTAGAGTGTGCATGTGTTTGTGTGTGTATTTTCACCTGCTGTGTTCCCACACACAATTATGTTGCCAGTAAAACAGTGACAGGTTCAGAAGTTTCTGTCACTCTTAGTTATTCATCGACCAGCATCATGATTGGAAGACTTGTTTTTCTGGGACTCCTGCTCATCTGCGTGGCTGCAGGTAACAGAGAAAAACACTTTATTTGAGGTATTTTTTGCATTTGAAGGATGTTCTAGATTAATCTTTATGTCCTCACAGGGATTTTGGTTTGGATGGCAAAGAATGAAAAATAAAAGTATTAAAAGCTTTGAATTAAAGTAGCTTTTTTTACATTGAACCGCTACAAAAACGACATATTGTTGTCAAAGAGAAAACAGTAAGTAAAAATGAGAGAAATATAAAATAAAAAATACTTTGCAGACTGTTTATAGCCACTTTACAGTATAGTAAAATAGTTACCCAAGAATATACTCTACTCTATACTGTAATATCAGCATTAGCTATGTTAAAATTCTTCACAGGTAGAATACTACGCTTTCTTCATTCCAACATAAATTCATGCAATTTCTAGTCTATTGGTGTAAATCTACACATCTTTTTGATGCTTTTTCTTTATCAGGTGAGTTGTTTATGAACTTGCTCTTGCACAGGAATTTATCACAAATGCAGTCAATTATTTCCTTCTTTACAGATGCTGAGGAGGACTATGGACTCCTGAGAAAGGTGTGTGTGTGTGTGTGTGTGTGTGTGTGTGTGTGTGTGTGTGTGTGTGTGTGTGTGTGTGTGTGTGTGTGTGTGTGTGTGTGTGTGTGTGTTCAAACATGTGCAAGATAAAAAAGTAATGGACTTAGTTTTTCATACGTTTTTTATTAGATTATAAATATAAATATGTATCAGATAAAATAATAATAATGGAGTTAAAAAATGTATAAAAAATAAAACATAACATCTAAATAAATATAGATACATTAAGTGACAAAACATGTTTTAACACAGGTCAAGTTTTCTCTGCAGTAAGTCACCGCAGATCCTGTGTTTTTTTTCCCGCCAGCCCTCCTGTCCTGACACGGAGGAGATCATGGCGTGCCCCCTGAACCTCGCTCCTGTGTGCGGCAGCGACGGGAACACTTATGCCAACGAGTGTACCCTGTGTGTCCAGAGGCAGTGAGTACACACACACACACACACACACACACACACACACACACACACACACACACACACACACACACACACACACACACACACACACACACACACACACACACACACACACACACACACACACAGCTGCTCCACTCTCAGGGCCTTCACACTCAGTGGTTCTCAAACCTTTTCTGTCAGGCCCCCCCTTTGGAGAAAAAAAAGAGTCAGGCCCCCCCAACACAAATAGTCACGTAATGGGCCAAGTTAACATTTATTAAAATACATCAATATGAAAGTGAGCATTCCTTTCAAAAAAATAAAAAAATCACTTTGCTAGAACAGTGATAATAAAACAATGCTCCATAATTCTGTGTGGTCAACAAAATTATTACATAATACAATTGTGCAATCCCTTTGCTAGAACAATAAGTTATAATACTTTGCTCTCTCTCTCGCTCGCTTGCACACGCACACAAAATGGCTCGTTCCACACACACACAGAGCCGAGCTTGAATGAAACACAGAGACCCAGACGTAATTGTACTACTGTATCATATTATTTTCGAATCAATAATCTTTCAAAATTTGGTTTGATTTAATTTATTTTTGAATAACCATTTTTCCTCCTGGTCTCTCGCGCCCCCCTGTCATGCCTCTGCGCCCCCAACTTTGAGAAACACTGCACTAACTCCACATCATCCAACATGACTGTGGAGGTGATGGAGTCGCCCTCTGCTGGTGGAGAAATGTTAAGACTGCAGTCACAGTACTGACTCCTGATTGGATGACAGCAGGTCCTGGTTAAAATGACTGAGAAGCTTTACAGTTCTTTCTATTATTCACCTTTTTAGTCCTAAAAGGGAATAAGCCTATGGTACATTTTTGATACTATTTTGTCCTGAACAATTCTAAGAAAAGCCAAAAGCCAAAAGATTATTCGTGCATTAAATATTTTATTCTGAGTTAAAAAGATCCTGGCAAAACAATTGAGCAGATTCTTTGAACAGTTGAACATTTCTTTTTTTTTATCAAGGCATTTGTATTGATTTTAAGGACACATAAGATACAATGATCAGTACAATACAGTATTACATTCCAAATGACACAACACCCCATCCCCCGCCCGCTCCAACAGAGCCCCACCCCTATTTTGGTTTACTCCAACCAACATTGATAGGAAATGTACCTAAATCCCATCAGACAAAAGTTGAGTGATTCACAGCCATGTCTTGTTATGATCCTCTCTGCAGAACAACCAAGATGAACATTTTGATTGCTAAAGAGGAGGGCTGCTGAACTTAGCAGGGGATGATGTCATCGCTCAGGGAACCAATCAGGATCTGATTATGGACCCTCCTGTGGATCTGGGAAACAATACATCCTCAATGTTTGTGTCATTGCAATGACCAATACATGTATTTCAGCATTAAACTAATTTCTGTTCATTTCTTATGAATAAATTATACCACAAATAATTATTGATTATGTTTATAGAAGGACAAACACAGATGCTAAAAACTAAAATCAAGAAGAGGAAGCTATACATTTGTTCTTTTGTGTGTGTTTTGTGATGGAAGTGAAGTAAAGGAGAGAAATAATGGATTTATATCATCTGACCAAATTCCTTTGTAAAGTGAAGGCGGGAGGTGAATGATCGGTTGCTTATCTCTGTGAGAGACACATGTTTACACTCCTTGTACTGAGTAACACATAGGTCAATACTGGCCAGGTGTGTGTGTGTGTGTGTGTGTGTGTGTGTGTGTGTGTGTGTGTGTGTGTGTGTGTGTGTGTGTGTGTGTGTGTGTGTGTGTGTGTGTGTGTGTGTGTAAGCATGATAAAGACAAACAGGGAGAGTGTGAGCAATAGCATCGACAAAAAGCCACACACAAAAATATAATTAAACAAATCGTTGAATTCTACGGTCAAAGGTCACTGTGTGAGTCACATGCTCGAAACCAGGAAATGAAGAGTTGTAATCCAGTGACTTCCCTCATCTTTACAGCAGAGCAGGAACAAAGCTTTTTGGTCTTCAGTGAACCGACTTATCTAGGATGATAAGAAACCAAGTGGAAGACTTGTAAGTATACCAACTGCTCTCTGCTACCGCTCTTTACTTTCACTACCGGTCATAATGTAACATTGACTTTAGGAATAACAACCTGATATAACCATGTTTCAAATCAAGATAGGGTAACAGTTAACATACACCTGAACTTCATGATGAATGATCTTGTACTCAAAATAATGTAGCTATTTAACAATGTATAAATAATAATTTTCTAAAGGTTCTACATTCAAAAAATGACTTTTAATACTTTTAATTTTGTTTATTGGGTTATTGGTTCCTACTTTTGGATAATTATCTCACGCTGCAGCTATCTATTCTGCCAACTATTAAATTGCTCCAAAGGATCAAGAATATTATCTTCTGTTTCTGCACAGCAACTAGATTAATTACACAAGTGTTATTGAATTAAACGTGTAATATTTGATTTTGAAATGTACTGGAATTATGTGGAATTATGAAGGACCATTAATAGGAAGTAGACTGTCAGGGTTGAGCGAAGCAGGCAGGACCCAAATGCAGATTTCACAGAAAACACCTTTATTAAAAGGCTACAAGAAAAATACAAAGCTCTTCCCAGTGAACACAGTCAACGACAAACAAGGATCTAACAAAGACAGACAGAAAAACCAGAACTTAAATACACATAGGACTAATCAAAGAAACAAGAGACAGGTGAGGAGGGAGGAGAAAACACAGGGGCACCAGGTGAACACAATCAGGAAAACAGGTAGGAGGGAACACAACAGACAGGAAACCAAAGACAGATCTAGACAAGACAAAACACAACGCACACAGATCGTGACATAGACTCAACTTTATTGACCAGGTTTGTGTACATAAATTAGGAAATTATTATTTATTTGTGTTGCTTAAGTACGTTCAAAGAAATACATATGAACAATGACCAACACCACACAAACTCTTGAGTAAATTGTAAAAATGCTGAAATGTGTCAGTGACATCCCAGAACAGAAGAGTCACCAGAGGATCACCTCAGGGGTTGATGGTCTCTTGTAGTTGTAATGTCCTTTAGGCCTGTCCACACCTACGTAGGTTCATTAGCTAAATACATCAAAAGGATCCTGTCATCCTGTTTCCAACACTTGAGTTATTTATTTCTGTTTGGTTTCATTGTGTTTCCCTCTACTCCATCCTGCTACACTCTGTTTGTGTTGTCACTGTTTCTCCAGGCTTTCCACAGTGCAGGATTGTCAAAATGGAATCTCTATGGAGATCTTCCTGCATATTTCACTCATACCAGCAGTAAGTTGTCAATCTATTTAGCCCCAAATATCAATATTTTTGCTTTATTTCTCCAGAGAGGGTGACATACTAATGCACTTTCCATAACTTACTACCAATCCAATGATTTATTTTGTCTTTTTTTGGGTGGCCGCCTTGTGAGAAACATGTAACCATGAAAAATCATATATCACAAATATGGAGATACATGATTTCACAGGATGAGAACAGAGATCTTGTAGTACATAGCAATGCCATATGCATTTTGCTTTTACAATTAAAGAGTTAGCCTTGTTATGCATTCACCATATAAACAAATGGAGAATTTCTAGGAAACCAGAATAACCTAATTAAATCGTGAAATCTTTAGTACCATTACTACATCCAATGAATAAGCAGATACTAAAGCATATTGTTCAAAACCAAAGTTTATAATGTACTGATTTCTTGTCTTCTAGGTGTTGATTGCAGGGGTGCTGTCATTCCTCCAGAAGAGGGCCCACAGACTGGCCATCGATCACAGACTGCCCTTTCTGGGGGGACGTTTTGCTATTGTGGTGTAAGTCAACAACAGCAACAACAACTAGGATGAAAATAAGTTAGAAGCAATGTTTCAATATCACAACTAAAGTATTTAACATATAGCACCATGGATGTTATAGGCAACAGAGTTATTTAACATGTACCCATATTTTTTAGACATTAAACAGGTTAATTTAAGCAGCCAAATCAGCAATATCAATTTGTATTTCTGTCACTATTGTGTCCTAGGCCTTTGGATACTATAGGAAGCCTGAGCAATCGCTGGTCCTATGGGTTTGCATTTGGTGCCGTGTCCTCGAGCGTCATGCTACTCTTCTCTGAAAGTTACATCCCCTTCAGTGTGCCTTCCTGGGCCCGAGGTACTCCCACTGTTTGATATTTTTATCCAGGCTTAATTTTAAACCTATTTACTTTGCTACTAAAGGAAATAAAGATAGTTTCTAGGTGGTGACCCCAGAAAACTATTGGAAGAGTTGCTGCCCAGCAGTCTATACCATTCAAGTACAATGCCTAACCTTACCCATCCTAAATCTTCACAGCTTTGAGGTAACCATCTAGACACAACTTTAAAAAATGACGTTGATTGATGTGATGTTTTCTGATTCTTCTCCTCAGCTATAGTGTATCTGGTTGGAGCTTTAGAGGTGGGCCTGGTCTATTTTCCTTTCTTTGCCTGTCTATCCACACCCTTCAGAACAACTGGTGCAGTGCTGGGAATACTCTACTCTCTGTCCTGGTAAATGTCTATATGTCTCAAAATGTGGATTAGTACAGCAAAGGGTTTCTTTCACTGGTGTGTTTTTTATGTTACTCAACATTGTAAAAGCATCCAACAAGTTGGCCTGTTAGACAAATGAATGATGTCATAAGCATGTAATCATGTCTTGATGCTTGGTTTTTAGGATAATGGTCACACTCTGGGATACATTCACCTGTCCAGATGGCATGGTAAGTGAGTACTACATCCATAATAAAAGCTATGTTGCAGTCTGGCTTTCACCAAGGATCCAGTCCCTTCCCAAATCTAAAGAAATACGGCTGTACAAAACAGTGTTTCCTGTTGGTTTGTTGAAATAACTCACTTTTTATGTGTGGTTTTAAAGATGTTGGGTAAATACCAGAAGTTAATTATCCAGTGGCCCTGCATCCTTTCCCTCATCTTCCTCTTGGGACGATTTGTCTACATACTAGTAAAAGCAGTTCGTATACACCTGCAAGTGGAACAGGTCAGTATCCCTCATGAATAAAACCTTTGATCTTATTTTTGCTGTGTATTTTCCATAATACCTAGTAATTTACAGCTTATGTGATTTTATTGTCACATTTATTAAAACAATGGTATATAATTTTATTCTATGCTGTATTTTATTCTCCTTCACAGTTAGGTCTGCAGTGATTATCAGTTTTTTCCTGAACATTATGTATAATAAACTCTGTGTGACATACTCTGAATCTGTTGCCAGGACACTGAGGAGATGACTGAGCAACACCAGGTGCAGCATGTTAAAAGACTGCTGTGCAAAACACCTGTTCACAGGTAGAACACACATCCATGCACACCTGCACTGGTGCTGCTTTCAAGCGGACCGTGAACAAATGGGATTTACTAGTTCTGCTGTTTGAACCAGTTTACCAAAAAAAAAAAAAGAGATCTCGGAAATGTCAACCGTTTTCAAAAACACATTTTACACATTTCTTTTACACATTTTTAAAAATGTCAGCTTCTCACTATTCAACATTTCAATAACAGATTAGTCTCTCTTTTGCAGTAAGCCTCTCAGCTGGTTCCAGAGAAGAGTGTATGAGTGGGACCCTTTCTTCAAGTTCCCCAACAGGATCATTGGCACCGTCATTATATCTCTTATAGGCCTATACATGGTACAGCAGGACAGCTCTCATGTTTAATTATGGAAAACAACTTCTCTCATCTACAAACTTTGTTATGGAAACACAAAGCACTTCATCTGTGCATCCGCTTAATTTTTCTCTAGATGACCCTGGCAGACTACAGTGTCAGTGATTTGGCTTTTGACCAAGTTGGCAGGTGGAAGGATACACTTAAACACCTGGTTATTTCTTGTAATGACACTGAAGCTCTAGGATTCATGATAACACAGCTGGAAGAGTTCATTGACGTGTCTAGAAGTGAGTTATTTAACTGTTATTAATGCAATATATGGGTACATTTACACTAAATATGCATTGCTTCCTTACTTCTTCATAGTTCTGGTTTAAGAAAAGGCAAAAAAAACAGCTCCACATTGATACACTGTGGCCTGATCAATTAAACAGAGTAAATTTGTTGTTATTTCTTTAATTCCAGAGGCTTGGTTGGCCACCAACATCTTTGCTAGTCTCAACTCTGTAGCCTACTGCCTCCATGTCTTGGCATGTTACAGGTAAGAGACCTAAAAAAAAAACTAAATATGAAAATGTAGTTTAAGTTATGATAAACAATAATTGACATGATTCATCATAGGAAACACTTGAAGAGGCTGTGGAAAGGGCAGAAGGGTTTTCTTCCTGAAAAGTTTCACAACCCTAGCTCTGCTGTCAGCGTCGTAAGTAACACACACAAGTTTGACATTGGCTGTTAATCTGTTTCAGGTCACAATGTGAATGTCGTGTGCTATCGACACATTTTTCTGTTTCAATTTGTTTACAGGCTTCCATTGCAAGATACTCTGGTTGGCAAATAGCATTTACACTGTGGGGTAACTTTTTCACCTCATCACTAAATGCTTTCAAAACAAAATCAACAGCAATTACATAGGCTATTTTGATGTACGAAGCCTTACAACCTAGAAACCTGATAAAACAACAGTAGCGTGTAACAATAACACAGTCCTTCTTTATGAGCTTAATAAGAACATAATCAACATGTGTGTGAAGAGATTATGTGAAATATTTGAATGTCTCATTCGTATTTTCTCTCCAGGCTACGTGATTGTCCATTTTGTCCACTTCCTGTTTGCTCTGCTTTTGGTCTATGGGCTGATTCTTCCTCTAATGCACGGAAGAGCACTGAGCATGCTCCACAACCTGGGAATTATAGTGTAAGGCATGTTTTCCCTGTGGTTGTGGATATGTGATGGCTTTTGAATGGACACATTGGTTGATTGATATTTCGTGTGTCCTTCAGTCTGACCATGAGTCTGGTCATCTCCCTGGTCATTCTCCAGGTAGTTCTGGTTCAGATGTTCTTCCTTCAGGACAAAATGTGTCCAACTGATAAACAAAAACCTCTAGCTATCAATAACAGGTGAGTATATTTTAATATAAGAACATCAAGTCTTTTATTTGCCAGAAAACCCTGACTGTTAGAAATTAGCATTTATGGACTTATATTTTTGGCATACTTCAAAAGTAAATCTGTAGCTTGAAGTTCCAGTTTCTCTACCCCCTCTTCAGAAAGGCGTTCCATTGCTTCAACTACTTCTTCTTTTTCTACAACGTGGTGATGGGGATCGGTAACTGCATTATGAGGCTGCTGTCCAGCATTGTGGTGGGAACATGGCTGGTGTCCCGCATAGACCGAACCATTATGCAGAGAGGATATGAAACCATGGATCCCGGTAAGCTTAAGTTCAACAGAGACGTGTGTGAGACAAAAGTACAATATTAGTTTAAGTTTATTTTTTTACAATAAAACATCACAGTTAAAGTTCTATTTGTTTATACACTATGTTGGTAGGTCAGAACCACAACTGTAACTTTATCATTACTTGGGGGTGGGGTTTATTTATTTCAGTAGATGGTAGAATTTCACAAAGCATATATTGTTTATCTCTCATTATGGTGTGTAGAGATGACAGTACTTCTTGCATGTTTCAGGCTATGCTACTTGGATTGGGATGATCTTTGCTGACCACTATCATAACAATCCAGTCATGGTGTGTTTCTGCCAGCTGCTGGTCTCCAACACATGGGAGAGACACACTGCGTCTGCATACTCCACATTCAGCAACGTGCAATCAGGTCAGTATAGTGTGAGCGTGTAGTTCTTGTATAAACAAGTATCTTATATATAAACCACATTCTCCATCTGTCTGCAAACTAGAATGCAACAAGTGACTAAACTATGTTCTTCAAATTACCTTTAAAATTCACAGTTTTTGTGTGCACATATTCACATGTTTTAGCAATATTAATCTTTTTCCGTTTTGTTTCATCGTTACTTAATTTCCTTCTTCTTTCCAGTTCATTAACTTTTCATTATTTTTTTCTAGAATCCCCTGTGAACAGCCGGGCCAGGAGGCGTTGGATATTGTTTTATACCTTACTGAGGAACCCTCATTTAATTCTGCTAAGAAAACACCACCTCTGCTCATCTTCATCAGTACACACATCATCATCTCCACACTCAGACATGGTGGTGCAGGCTTGCGTCATGGCTTCTCAATCAAAGAGCTGCCAAGCAGAGTCACAGTCACCTCCAGTGGTCATAGTCACACCAACAGAGGATTGATGAAGGAACAATTCTATAGATTAGTATCATATTTAAAAAATACACGTGTATCAGTCAAACAATGTTGTTTATATCATTTTAAATTAAGATAAGTTTAATGGTAGATCCACAAGTTGTAGAAGTAATTCTGTGGTGTTTTCAAATGGTCATTTTCAAAAGCTTCCGTTTAGAAAGCATGTTAATTTTGTTAATATGTCAACTTTTCTATCAGCACAGAAGGAGTCTTCATTCTTAAGGATTTACTCATGTTGGATTTAACGAGAACCTATACAGAGATTGAGTGTTTTTAAGTGAAGCTGAGCTTTGAACTGCTGTACAGTATTTCTGTCTAATATTTGTATTAATATCCTAATAACGTACACTATATTTATATTATAATATAATATTACCAAGTGTCATGTAATGAAATGGTTTAAAATGTGTTTGCATAGCCTCTGTACTGTAGGCCTATACTGATTCTGTAGTTGTAAATATTTGGTTACTGTTCAAACAAAAGTTTTTAGTTGGAAATAAAAAACTAATTGTGAACCATGCATGGGGATGATTGATCTAAAAACAGTCAAAGTACTTTAATTTATGTTTAGAAACATTCAGGTTGCTACCTTTATTGTTGAATTCACTGTCCTAACATTGAATCCTAAGATTTCCCACGGTGCTTAAAAGCAGCATACTTTCTACATTTAGCTAACGTTTGACAAAACGACCGTTTTCTGCAAGATTGCCTTGTTGATCACCTAAAATGCAAAGTATTTAACTACCTAAATGTTCATAAGATTAGTGTTAGGAAAACATTAATCGTTGCATCACGTGCTTCAACGGAGACCCTTCCCATTCAATTTCCGGCAGTAACCATTTGAGACTGTGGGCGACTGGGCGTTAACGTGCACGTGATTTTGAACTCGGCAACACAGAAGAGACCACGGCAGTTCGCTAACAACTTAAAACTAAAGGTAAGTCCATAGAAACACAATGGAGACATCTTTGTCCGTCACAAAACATGGGCTAACGTCATTGCACATTGGAAATAATTATGTCTGGAATGTAACGGCTCAGTTGTGGGCCGAAATAACACAGTTTATTTTACCGCTAGCTGCTAACGAACAGCTATCCATTAGCCTCTGTTCAACACCTAGGCCATGATCCAACCACTAAGCGGCGGACAACCGGCTAACTACGTTGGCTAAGCTAACAACCACATTGGAAGACAGAGAGGCGAACACAATCGTAATTTACGCAGCTATGTCGTATACACAATCATCAGCAGCTTTATTTGAACAGACTCTAGGTCCATTTTTTAAAAGACATACAACACTCAAATATAATATACACATTTATGATTTACGGTATATAAAAGATCAGAGCAATGTAACGTTAAAGGTCTGCCTGTGGCCTACTACTTCCACGTGTCCCCCACCTGTCGCTTTGCAAAGGTGGAAGTACTCCAATACATTATTGTCAAAAATACCAAGTAAAGGTCCTGCGTTCAAATTTCAAAAGTAAAACAATATTCTCAGCAAAATGTAACTTAAAGTATAACACGTAAAAGTGATCAATGTGCAGAAAAATTGCCTTTTTAGTGTGTAAATGTGTTTATACATGTGACATTTCTAGATTATATTGTTGCATCAAGTAGCATTTTATTGTGTTAGACAAAGTTCTGATTTAGTTTGTTAAATATTAAAATAATTTGACTCTTGTGTTAAAGAGATAGTCCACTGACCACTAGTTTAATTTTTAAAGATGTATTTTGTTAAAGGTGGGGTAGGTAAGTTTGAGAAACCGGCTCGAGATATACTTTTTGTTATATTCCATGGAATGCTCTTAACATCCCGATAGCAATGAATATCTTAAGTGCTTTGACAAAAAATCCATAAAAAAATGTCATCTGTGGAAGCCGTAGTACTGTAAAAAGCACGACCAATCATTTTAGCCGGCCCGGCTAAAATAACTGGATGGCCTACCTGCCTGTCAGCCTTCCATCTGTGCACAAACTTATCTTGTGCCCTCATTGGTCATGTGTGCTTTCGTGTGTGTTGGAGGAGGGGCTCTGTAAGGAAGTGGCAGATTTTTTCCGGTTGTGTATTTTCACATTCTAGCGCACTCGAGCTGGTTTCTCCAAAATGACCTACCCCACCTTTAAGAGTAGCTAAAGCTGATTAATAAATGTAGAGGAGTACAATGAGATTATTTTTTAGATGTAATGGAGTAGAAGTATAAAGTAACAGACAATGGAAATACCCAAGCACCTCAAAACTGTGCTTAATTACAGTACTTAAAGTAAATGTACTTGGTTACTTCCCACCTCTGCCATTAGGGAAAGTATATTCCTGTTTAATGTTTCTTTTGTTTCTTTTTCAGTGTGAATCTATCAGGATGTCAGACAGCGAGTCCATTAAGAAAATGTTGCGGTCTGTACTTCAGTCCAGCAAACACGGGGTGTCTTTTAGCACCCTGCAGGTAGAGTACCGGTCACTGTGCGGAGAGAGCATCCCGCTGAAGAAGCTGGGCTACTCCAAGCTGGAAGACTACCTCACGAGCATCCCCTCGGTCGTCCGCATGGATTACCGCATGGGAGAGGTGAGGACATTGTCACTAGGGCTGTCCCGAATACCATTTTTCGGGCTCCGAATATTTAAGCAATAGCTCACGACAGGCCGTGGTTTATGCTCATTATATCACAGCTAAGGGGCGTGGTTCGGCCCGACACGAAGCGTCCCTAAACAGTGTCTCAGTTGGCTAGCATCAATACAGAACTGAAAAAGACTGCGGCAAAAGTTCACTTTTACAAAGCACATTGTGAATAATAAGACTTCAACACATGTGCTCTTTAGGTGAAATGCTTTGCTGCAGTGTGTGGAGAGACGGCCCACATTGCTGAGCTGGTGGCCAAGCAGAAGAATGCCAAGAAGGCTGGCCGCTCCCAATTCGTCAACTGCAAGATGAGATTCAAACCGTCCAACTCGTACATGCTCAACGGTAAGAGATGCTTGTTGCTTGTCTCTTATGTCAGACCTCTTATATCGGCAGTAAGAGTTTTTTTTATGAAGATAAGGGATGAGAGTTGCACACATTAACCTCGTAAATCATTATTTGTGATTCCATATAGTTCCTCAAAGCTTTCTCTGTGTCTCTGCTCCTTTTATCAACCTAAACTAACCTCCCTGTCCATGCATTTAGTGAGGCCACGGTCTAGTCTCCGCCAACCCATAGTTGGTGGTGCCTCTAGCTGGATAGCAAACCGCTCTCGGTCCGCTGCAGGCCACGGAGGCTACAGCGCCTCAGGAAGCTACAGCGCCTCAGGAGACTACAGGTAAACAATAACAGATTAAATCAATAATGATGAGCAGTGGCTGCACTTACAGCGTTATGGGGCAACATTGATTATACATTGTCTAGCCACTAAAAAGCAGCATTATTATTACATTTTTGTCAGTTATTTAATTTCAGTTCTTGGAAACCCAAAGTGTTGGTTGCTTTCTGTAAAAAGCACTCTTCGAATCTCATGCTTCAAAGACTATAATGTTTTTTTCTAGGCATCACGTTTAAGTGATTTCCAAAGTGAATAAACCAAAGTATCTGCTTGTGTTCTCCCCAAACATCAGGCAATTGGGCCGAAGCTTCAGCTCTCACGTCCCTGTCCCATACAGACAACCCGTTTTTCATCATGCTCCTCAACCAACTTACCAACCAGCCCCTCGAACAGCTGTAGAACAGTGTTTGGTGCCTGACAGGTGAGCATACACATGTGGACCATCCCTTTTCCCACCATAGCCTTTTTTCCCAGCTGAAAACCAAAACACTGCGAGTACTTTGGAAGTACCGTATTATTAATGCTGTGATTGTGTCTGGTTTCATTGATATGTAATATCCATAAACTAGGCACAAGGAAGAGTAGGCCTGTTTGCACAAATCAGCACCCACTGGTGAAATATTGCAACTGACAGCAGACGTTGATACTTGGAGACTGGCAGCATACATGTATTCTCCATTGTAGTTGGTCAGCACCTGTTAATGTAAAAAGTGGCTTAGTGTCCCACCCCTCCTTCACTCTTTGGATGACAGGGTTCAAAGTGACATTAGCTTGGTTAAATCTCAACCCTCGTTTTTCTTGCCAATTGCACATTTTCAGTGCATGAATAAAAAAAAGAATAACCTAACTATAAAAGCTAGCATGCTTACAACTGTTTGTCTACTACCCTTTACTAAAATATTGCTCAGGGCAGCTTTTTTATTATATTTATTGTTTTGAGTTACAGCTTTGTTAGTGTACAAAATGCTCAATAGACTGTTCTGTTGCCAACAGGAAAGAGAAGAGCTTGGCAAACGTTCAGAAGCCCAGTGGTAAGTTGGACCTGCTTGGTGTTTGTCCTTATCAATTTCACAACGTTTATTGATTCCCTTTTAGCAAAAACACTGGTAATTCAGTCATATTATTTATAGAGCAAACTAATTTTTATAATGGAAAAACCCTCATCTTATTTCATATGTCTGTTTTATTTTTTTTTGGTCAGCCATAAGCACAGAAATAAATTGTTTCCAATAAAACTGATTGTGATTTGATTTAAAATAAAAAAATTCAACTGAGAAGCTAAAGGCCCCGACACACCAAACTGACACCAAAGAACACGTCCCGACGGACCCAACTGTTGTGTCGCCTCACGTCTCCTGCGTCTTGGCCAAACAGTCGCACTGGAACACACCGCAAAGACTTCAGCCGAAGGCCAAGTAGCACGTACGCACCGCGCATGCGTGAGTGGCAATAACTCTCCTCACCAGCAGGCGGCGGTAGTGTGTATTCGTCATTCAAAAGAGGCAACCGGAAGACAGGGGCCGTTTCTCAATAGAGTGGCGAAGTCCCTCCCCTTCCGGTTGAGCCCCATGGGACCTTATTTCGGAAAAGTTATGCATTGAAGTCAATGGAGAGAGAAAGATTATCTTTCGATCCCGTTTGAATTGTGCCAGGAATTACACATATGATGTTTGTCAATTTAAAAGATAATTTTGCAAGTCAAAAAAATTAAAATGTGTCGTAAAACTGTGAAGTAACACATTTGTTTGTGTGAAAGGCTTAATGAACTACATCTCTGGTCAACCACACACGTCACCAAGATGGCCGTCACTACTGTCTTGTCAACAAACGATTGACTATCACCACAATGAAACACGTCCTGAAGAATGTCATGCAAAGCCTGCCTTCCTTTGATTCTCTCTGAACTGCCTGGTCGTTTTAATGTTTAATGTCAACCATTTGTGCAGATAGCATGAAGTAGAAAAGATCGCCGATGCTAACGTTAGCGTTAGCATTTCTCCCCCGGAATTAAATGGTGTATTATAGAATGATCACACCGGTGACAGTACTATTCAAAGGGTTCACGAAATATGACTACTACTCTTACTGTTTAACATTTTGGGTTACTTAATGTTACTTCATGTTAAGGCTAATAAAAATGACAAGGCTGTAATGCTAACTAACGTGCTAGCTACTAGCTAGGTAGCTAACTTGATCAAGCCACTCCTGGTCGTTTCATCAGACGGGAAGCAAAAGAACGAGCAAGACCCATTGCTGGTATAATAACAACCTGGTACTAAGCACACAGGCATCTTGTTAAAGTTATCTTATCTTAGCCAGCGCCATATAGATAGATTATATCTATATTGCGCTGATCTTAGGTATCTGAATGGTGGAGGTAAACAATTGTGACATCACTTACGCGACTCTGGGATTTGTAGTCTTTCTAGTTACGTATTTTTCATAGTCTTATATTTCAACAGTTTTACGACAAACTGTGACTTTTTTGACATGGAAATGATTTTTTAAGATTGACAAACATCATATGTGTAATTCATGGCACAATTCAAACGGGATCGAAAGATAAGTTTTCTCTCCCCATTGACTTCAATGCATAACTTTTCCGGAATAAGGTCCCATACCCCGGAAGTAAGTGGGAGGGACTTCGCCACTCTATCGCGAGGATGCTGGCTTGGTAGCACAGCCGAGCCGAGCATCTTGCTTCAGAAGCAAGGCAAGAATACTTCCTGGCATTCGGAAAACGAAGAGTGGAACAGGCTAGCAAGTGTGCAGGTGTGCGTCATATGAGAGGCCCCGCCTTACATCTTCCGCCACAGATTTGGGGAAATTGGTCCATGCGCAAAGCATTGTGGGGATTTTAAGGACGCGAAGTCTACCCATGTGCAGCCTCGAAATTTCCCCCAAACCAAGGACGCGGCCTCGGTGGAATTCCAAGTATGCTGGAGATTGGAACAGTCCTTCGGCGGCACTCGATGACGTAGCATCCTTGAAATATTGGCTTGGAAGCCAATATCCTCGCGATTGAGAAACGGCCAGACTGCGTGATACACCGAGAGAAGAAGAACAGACTGCGTGATAATATAACAACAAATAGCAAATAGCCACTCTGCCACACACCACCAATGCTACAGCTTGAGCCAAGCAGCACAGGGATGAACTATGCCAATATTTTTAACATTATCGGTGCAGTGCCTTTTCAGTGGGGAAAGATATAGCAAATATGTGTGCCCATCCTGCTATTTGTGTTTATTCTTTTAATCACACAGCGTTAAGAAAAATGTGCCTACATAACTCAGTTGCAGCCCTGGCATTATTATTGGTTTAACTACTAACAGTATATATTTAAAACATTTTAAAATGACCATCTTGAACAGCTACAACATTAAAATACTTCTAGGCAGATTGTGGAGGATAATGGGAGAATGAAGCCAACCTCACGTATGAAAGGTTACATGTGAATAGAGGGGCAGAAACCGCCTTGCAAATTTACATTTCAATCTTAAACAATGAACAGCGGTAGACGGTAACAAAGTATATTTACTTAAGTACTGTACTGCTCCACTCCCATTCAGGTAAATAGTGTACTTTATACTGCGCTAAATTTATTTGATAACTTTAGTATCTGAAGATTCAGAATACTACAAAATATAATCAATAAATAGTTTATCATGTATTATTATAGGTTAAGATTAAATGTTATTGATCCCATGGTGAATTTCACAAGCTACCCAGCAGTATATAATGTAAATGAAAAAGAATAGCCGTCTGTGTGTGCCTAATAGTTTGTTTGCTTACCTCACTTCCGTTTCGCTTCTCATGCACTGATTCGCTAAGCTGAACAGCCAATCAGAGTGATTTCCTTTGCCGACAGCCTCGGCTGCCGATTCAACTTGGTCAATCGGCAGCGGAAGGTGTCTGCACGGCCGAAAAGACACGACTGTGCGGAGGCAGAGTTCCCGTAGAATATTTTTTTGCCGGTCAAAATGTCCGTTAAAGTTTAAATCTTCCGGACAAAATTTGAAAAGTGCCTGTCAAAGGTCTTCTTTGTTATTTATTGAGCTTTAAAACAAATTGATATGATTAGATTTTAAACAAACTATTTATAGTAGATTAACTACATTATTCAAAAGTGTACAGTAACTTACAATAACACGGGAATAATAAACGGAGCGCTCTCTCCTTCTCCTGACAGCCCGTCAGTATCATGCAGCTCGCGGATCCAGTAATGAGTGACCCGACAGTAAAACTAAACATATCTATAACTAGTTTAGGTAGTTTGAGAGGTCATTAAAATAGCTACGTGTGATATTCTAACCTGAAATGTGTGTTTTGTTCCGCTCACCGCTGCAGGTGATCATGCAGAGCTGCGTGTCGACTCGTCAGCAGCAGCTGATCTCTCTCTCCCGTCAGATTAGACTTTACTCTAGTTTATGTCCATATCGATCAGATCTAGCTAGTTCTAGCTAATGATATGACTACCTGCTTATCAAGACACCTAAACAATAAGAGTCGCTATGCAACCTGAGGCCTGTACTACGAAGCCGGATTTTTGCTTAGCGGGCTAACTTCAGGGAAAACTCTGGGTTTACGGTCCTACGATGCTGGTTCTCTTTTTAGCGGGCTAGATCTCCATGGTACCTTATGCTGAGCGGCTAACCTGAGCAGGTTAGGTTGCAGGCTAAGAGATCAACTCAGTGAAAGCACTGCCTGCTGACCAATCAGAGCTCAGTGTGCGGAGTTTAAAGCTATCAAGTCATATTACAGGATAGAGGAAATACAGAAAGACGGCCGGCAAAAATCAACTGACTGTGTGAACGTGAAAATGAATAGAATATCTCCTCCCATCTTCAGAGCAATCTGACTATTATAACATTAGCGTTAAGAAAGCTTACTTAAATATCTGCCACACCATATGTAACCGGATCAGAGTAACATTAAGTACAGTCCGCGGCACTGAGTGCAGATGTCGATGTGTCCCATTATCATTCATATCACATCATAATGTATCATATATTTCCTTATTTGAGTCAGCTTCTTGAGCCGTATCTGGCCGTGCAACACTCAGTGTCACATACTGTATGCAGAAGTATTATTTTAAGCAACACATTAAGTTGACGAAACACTCGAGTCAAATGTAATTAAAGTCAGATCCACTCGTGTCCTAGACAGGGCAGTGATATCATAAACCTGTTAATGTACGCATTCAAACACTTTTTCTTTTACCAGCTGTATTCACCTTGCAGGTGCAGCTATGTGGCTTTTATCCTGGATAAAGTGTTTAAGTCATGGATGTTTAAAGTTTAACTTTCTTCATATTTGACTAATATTAAAGTTCACTTTTCATTCAGGAAGTATGACGCTGCGCTGTCAGTACGCTTGGCCATGTTTGTGATTGGTCGAATGCTCCAAATACCACCCCTTTCATGTGAACGCGCACCTAACTAGATAGGACACGGCTGGCTTGAGCGATCCACTTGATAACCAGCGTCGTAGGACCGCTTAGCGAGAGCGCGTATGTTTTGGATTAGGCCAACCGGCTAACTCAAACATATCCAGATTATGTTGAACCGGCTTCGTAGTACAGGCCTCTGGTGAGGCCACATTTTGTTTACATGCCCACCAGAACCCCGAGGCATTACCAACAGATCAACGCACAATCAACCCATACAGGACATCTCTTTCTCCACATTAAGTGTTAGACATTAGAATTGACTATTCTTGTCTGTCACATACTCTTTTGTCTGTCACATACGATTCTTGTCTGTCACATAAGTGGCGCAACTGATGCGGTATTGCGCTAAAGGGAAATGATTTTGACCGGAGAGATTTAGATTTGCCGGTCTTCAGCATATTTTACCGGTCATAGTCCGGTAATTACCGGCTAACGGGAACTCTGTGAGTAGGGCGACAGGACGCTCATCGACGGCCGAAATCGGCTTGGTGTGTCGGGGCCTTTTAGATGTCATGTTGTCTTGTCACTGTTGAAACACACAGTTGATCCCTTCCCCACCACCTGTACAGTATGGCAGACGAATGCATACCATCAACATTAGGCAACACTGCCAAAACAAAAATCATTTGATGCTTACCAGACTAACCAAATCCTGCAGAATCTGCCCCAAACTGTTTACAAATATCAGCACTTAACATTTTCTTCTCCATTTGCAGAACATTTCACAGCAAAGCCTCCTGTAAAGTTCTCCAGCCTTGGTCAACCCAAGGTACAAAATATACTTTCTCTGTGCTTACTGTCTCATTTATCTCCAACATAACATAACTGCTTAGATTTATCAATGAAACTTTAATTCATAAAATGTATCTGCCCATTATTGTGACTAAATCAGAGTAGTGATCAATGTGAAATTTCCCCATGCAGTCCGGTCTGTATGACGTGGAGCTGATGCAGAGCAGAATAACTGAACTCCTGATGATGTACTTCAGTGGATTGTGGCTGTCTAAACTACCAGCCGCCTACAGCAATATGTTCAGTCAGATGCTCCACCCTCAGGTGCTCATAGATCTGGAAAAGTGGACCCACATCGCTTTGGTGAGTCAGTCACTCTTATTTGTTCATGTACAAATAATTATACAGTAAATAAAGCCTTGTGAGTATTGTTTGAGGACTATACAAATGTTCATCTGACTATTTTAGTCTACTTTTTTAGTTTATTATACTTGCTAAAACTGCGAATACATGGATAAAGAGGGTCCATCAAAAGTATTCTCAATACCTAGACAAAACCTGAATAGGAACTTGTCAAATGTCCTTCCTCCTCGTTCTGTCTCCCGTCTGGTCCTCACAGGTGGAAAAATCTCCCAACCGATTGGACCGCCTCGTCTACCCTCCTCTGCCCCCTAAGACTAGTACTGTTCGTAAAAGTAGCACGACCAATGGGGCTCCAGCACCACCCACCGATTCAAGAAGTATCACCAAACCTGTTTCTACCTGTCCCCCAACATCCGACACAACTTCCTCCACCCCCCGCTGTCCTATCCCTGTCCCTAAACCCAGTCCTTCCCCCTTAGCTAAGCCCACCTTCCTTTTTCCTCCACAAACTGCCACTTTCTCTCCATGTAAACCATTGTCTTCAGTCACATTGCGCAGTCCTGCCCGAAACCCAGCACTTGCTCCACATTTGCAGCCCTTTGTTGATCTAGTCAATCCCAATGATGGTGGAGATAATCACAACTTTCCTACAACTCCCCACATCCAAAACACTCGTTCCTTCGCCCCTACCTGGACTTGCCTTGCATCCACTAAAGCTCCTCCATCAGCTTCTTCCCTCCATCCTGGCCCTGAGATTTTACCCCTTTTAAAGGTCACTTTCTCCCCTAACTCTGACCCTGTCCCTTGCCCTGCCTCGAAAGCTTCTGCTGATGTTGTGTCTGCTGAGGTGCGTCAGAGAATAAAGGAGATTCTTTTAAAGTACAGTCAAGGTCTGTGGGCCCACGCTCTGCCCAAACTCTTGATGGACACATACAAGACGCCATTCCCCGAACAGGTTCTGAACAACTTGTCTCTTCTGCTGGATATATGTACTGTGGAGTACCCTGTTCCACATGACAAGAAGAAGGTAAGTACACAATGTACAATATAAGTAAGTCCTCAAGAGTAGTGCATAATTATTTAGTCCTCAGTTAATGCTCTCTCACTACTGAGAAGTGAACCTTGAAGGCGTGGAATAACTCATCACTAACCTGATTTATTGGTGTGGATAAAATGTGGATTGTTTCCAACAGAAATAATGATTTACTTTCTGCCATTACCTTGTATTATTAAGGGAGATGTTAGACATCCTTCCTGCCACTGATATTCTTGAAAAACTGTATACATTCTTGTGTTTGTTGTTGATGTACTCTTCTGTTCTCAGGCCATCCTGTATTACTCCAGTAAAGCCGACATAAAAGCCGCAGACAGCCAGGAAAGCCAGCAGTGTAGACGCCGTCTCCTTCCCTCTGGTCTGGAGGTCCTGGGGTCTGCGGTGCCTCAAGGTCTGCTTCTTCCAGCGGAGCCGTACCCTTCTGTGCTCGTCACTGAGGCCAAGGGCAGCAATGTTGTTACGTTAAGGTGAGACGCACACGTTGGCAATATCCTTTCCTGGAGCTAATAACAGTACACACAACAGAAGAGTCGTTCATCAGCCAATGGCAAGACCTTAAATAATAAATTAAAGCTTTGTGAAGTTTATTTTGCATGAAAAATATGACCTTACAGATCATGTAGGTGTCAGTAAACCATATGTTGTACCAACAATATAGGAATATTGCTTGCTCAGTTGTATTTGATTGTGAACCGTTGCAAAACTCAGGCAAAGACACTAGCATGTCTGCTAGTGTTTAATGTTTAAACTACTGCCAATCTAAGCTCAATCCTAAAAATACCTGTGACTGCATTTGTTCCTGGAATGCTGATTGTAACCTTTCCAAAAGAAAGCCAGATGTTAGTGCTCTTTTTTTATTCAGTGGGTGAAGGGATTTACAAACTAAATGTAAACAACTACACGTTTGCTTTGTTGCTTTTGTTAATGCAACATCCAGCAAACTGTTTTTGATTACTACACTTCACAGATTAAAAACTTTTTTCTATTTGTTTAGGTATGTAGGTGAGAACTATTCCAATGCCCAGGAGGCCATGGAGGAAGCAATGCGCACGTTCTACAGCCAAGGCTCCACCCACCATCCTCTGTCTAGACCTGTGATTGGTCAGCTGGCAGCCGTCAGAGGGGAGGATGGAGAGGACTTGGCAAGAGCTCAAGTCATCGAGATTCTGACCCTTAACAAGGTCATGGTAAGTCATTTAGTTATAGTTGTATACGTATGCAGCCATCTAGAATATTCCCTCTGATGATCGTTTTGTCTGTTTGCCAGGTGTACTATGTGGACCATGGCTTCTCTGTGGAAACCAGCGGGACTAATCTGCTGGAGCTGCACCAGGACTTCCTCTCTCTGCCCTTCCAGGCTTTCAATGTTAGACTCGCAGGTACATAAAGGATAAGTGAATGACTTTAGGAACCCTTTGTTGTGCAAATGATGAAGATAAAAGCACCCATGTCACAACTGAAGGAAAACATATTTATTTTGTTCAATGGCCCCTCTTCCTTCCCTTCATCCTTTATTTTGCCTTGCTCAAAGGTCTCGAGGCATTTGGCTCCCACGCACTGGTGGTGTCTTCTGTGGAGAAGTTGGTAGTCGGAAAAATCCTGCTGATGGAGACGTTGGAGCCATGTCAAGAGAATGAGACGCCTGTGGCCGTGCTGTACGACACGTCTCAGGATGATGACATCAACATCAACTCTGCCTGCCGGAAGGCTCTCCAGGACGACACCATGAAAAACCCTCTGACTGTAAGGGGGGTGCTGAAAACTACACGTATTGTGTGAATGCATAAGAGTATTGAGATCCCATCTCTTAGAATAGCAGGCTTGACCAAACCTTTGCATGTGAAAAGCCAATTTAACTGCAGCAAAGGGGGGCTTCTCACATTTATTAATATCTCGTGACATTACACCTCAGCTCAACCAGTGTGTGGTGCTGTTGTCTTCTTCTCATCATTTTTGACTTGTGTTTGTTATTAACTAAAAGAAGTCTTATTCAGTTGGAATGAAAACCAGGAGTTGGTGAATCATGATCTTTGGGTTCTCAGTGTCATTAATCCTCTGTATATTATCTAACATTATTTTTTCTTTTGCCTGTAGGTAAATGCTACCTATCAGGATGTGTGTGTCACAAGTGTGTGTGCAGATGGTATCATCTACTGCCAGCTGCCCTCCAGAGGAACCGCACGACTCAACAAGTTAATGGAAGAAATGGAGACCTTCTTCTTCTCCCAGGTTAACAAGACTGTTTGCCTCAGCGTTTGTTAGGATTGAATCGTTTGCAGTGATAGTATAAAGAAAATCATGATTAGATATTCAATTCCTCTCAGGTAAAGGTCTTTATATCTTTGTTATTGTTTCTACCAGATGACGTCTGATTTATTGGTGTCCAGACCCTTCAGTGGCAAGTTCTGCCTAGCCCGTCACAAAGGAATGTGGTCCAGAGTGGAGGTAAGAAGAGAATTTAAATCATTTCTTGAAAAGCTTGATATGAAAAAGCTTAAAATATGTTGGATATTTAAAGTATAGTGAAAATCATATTGTTTATTAGGCAGTTTGAGGTCATAATTATTTTGCACCTACTCGCCTGTTGTCTTGTTCTCAGATCACCAACATTTTTGGCAACAGAGTGATTGAGATCGTCTTCATCGACCTGGGTGTCCAGGCTACTATAGAGGTCACTGATCTCAGAGAGATCCCCTCTCTTTTCCTGGAAAACGTCATCATCATCCCACCACTGGTCAGTAGTTTTTGTGTTGTGATCACCTTAATCTTCAACCAATCACATGGCTGGAGAAGCATCCCTTAATTTGCACATTGTTTAAATCTTATTTAACATGGCCTAGTTGAATACGCGATTCTGATTGGTCAATTCGGACATTTCAGAGGTTAATATGACAGTAGTACAGACCGCTGTTAAGCATTTTAATGACCGTTGCTAAGGAGGATCAAGAGAGAGAAAAGGAAAGCGGTTTAAAGACGGAGCGCTGGACGTCTGATAAATCGACAGAAGCTGACAGACAGGAAGTAAATACAGGGTGCGTACGGGTGCTGGAAATCCTTGAAAATGCTTGAAATTGTACGAGGTGTTTTCAAGGTTTGAAAAGTGCTTGAATTTGGGATAAAGTGCTTGAAATTGTAAATGCTTTACTTCGCTTTTTAGATTAAAAGAAAATAAAGAAGTCGGAGCGCGCTTAATTGCTTCGCTTTTACATAAAACAGCTCTGCTCCGGCCTTCCCGCGCAATGCGCGTGACCGGCAAGTGTTTTTGTTACGTGTGTGACCTGGGCATTCTGATGAGAGTGATAGATGACAGTATGCCAGGAGGTTGCCGTTTCAACGAGCGTTGGCTAGCAGAAGACAAATACAAGCCATGGCTAAGACGAGGGTCAAGCGAAGCCCAAGAGTAACCTCCTGCAAAGTGTGCAACAATAACGATGCGAGAGTCTGCGCTGACGAGCCACACACCACACGAAAGGTACGCCAGAGTAGAGCATTTTAGATTAGGCTATCGTTGCATGTAAAATACATGACACTTTTCTCTGTGCGCGGCAAAACAAGCTCGCCAAAATGGCTTCACTAGTCTGGCAGTATTTTAAGTGTCCGAAAATGACAATAAAATAGCGGTATGCAACGTGTGTGTGAAGCAGAAATCCTGCAGCGCCACCCGCTGTGACGGACCGGTGAGCGGAGCAGAACACACATTAAGAGTTAGACCTAACACACTTAGCTATTTGATCTACCTCTGGAACAAGCTAAACTAGTTATAAATATGTTTATTCTTCACTGTCGGGTCGCTCATTACTGGATCAGTGAGCTGCAGGAGATACTGACGGGCTGTCAGGAGAGAGAGAGGGGGAGAGAGGAAAGAGAGCGGGATCGGCCGATACTGATTCCGGCGATCGGCCCCAAAATTGGCGATCGGAGCATCCCTAATAATTGTATATGATACGTTTTATAATGATTGATCATGAATGTGTTATCAAAGCTGGTAAAGTTGCAGCTAGTTTGAATGACTTTGTATACTACAGAGTAGCTTGTGAATTTACTCCAGGTGGAACTAAAGTCTGATTTAACACTTGATTATATTTCACATCATTCATCCACATCTGTAAAGTAACTAAAGGGATTAAATAAATGTAGTGGAGTCAAAGTACACCATTTACCTCTGACTTGTGTTTACTGCCAACCTAAAAGTACCTCAAAAATAATAATCAATAATATATTGAAAAGTTATTTGGCTGATTGTTTTATATTGGCTCAGCCAGGTTATATGGGATGCCCAGTCTACGTACAGATGGGTCACTCATTTTGAAATATTAAACTTAGTTTTCTTTTCTAACATTTAAAATTGTTCATCCTCATGTAGAATGCTATTATGAAACACACATTTGGTTGTTTATAGCATAAAGAACATCTGATTTAATGTGAGGTAGGGAAATAATCATTTGAGTATAAGTATGTTTATATAAATATGTAATTTACAACAGCTGTAAGATGCTTGAAAAGCTTGAAAATGCACCTTGAAAATGCTTGAAAAGTGCTTGAATTTGACTTTGGAAAAGGTGTAAGAACCCTGTAAATACTAACAGGAACACGGTATGGTCTCTGAGAAAAGATCAGAGCTGCCTTCATTTTAAATTAAGTTGTTGTCAGAGTTCCAGCCGTTGGTGCGTCGTGGAGCAGAGTTTTGTTTCCTTAGCAGAAGCAATATGATAATTTTCCAGTCAATAAAATAATTTCAATTAATATTGGGATTCAAGTCGTGTTTAGTATGTGGCCGTGTAAAAAGCGGGAAAATGTGCAGCAAGGCGGTCATTATTGGAAAAATAACACCAGCGTCGGGCTCCGTGATCACCCTGAAGGGAAGACCGCTGCACATTATCCCTTACTTATAGTCCTTAACCTGTTAAGCCCGAGAGCCCCCGGTAGAGGGGGCTGCAGGTTTTTTTTTTTCACGAAACTGTGTCTCAGGGCTTCTTAATATTTAAAAACCTATTCATGTGTCATACTCACTTAACGGTTAAAAACTCAGCTAACTGAAGATATGAACAATTTTTACCGAAACAAAGCACAAGTCTCACAAGAAGCGTCTAAATGAGCCCCGAGCGAAAAAATGCTAACGCAGAAGCACAGAACTCACGGTATAAATACCCTTATTACTTATCGTAAATTTACTTTAAAATAAAAAAAAATCTATATTGATTCTGACTCTTCTACATCCAACTCACAGGTTTATCATTGCTTTGAGAAAAAAGATTATTAATTTACCCCTTTTAGAAGTGAAGATATAGTCATTTGTTTTCAAGCCTGAGACCTGGAAAACAGGCTCGGGGCTTAACCTGTTACGCACCGCCCCCCCGGTACCGGGCGGATAAACGCGTCATTTGCAGGAAACAACATCTAAGGAATCTTAATATTTAATAAACTATGAATGTTTTATATCCATGTAACGGGAAGAAACTCAACTAACTGATCTTTTTAAAAAAAAAAATCCAAAAAAAAACCACAATGCTAACACTCAGCCTCTGAATTAGCCACGAGCGAAAAAATGTAACCTAAAACTGCACCTAAACTCACTTATAACTCCCTTATTACTTATCCTAGATGCACAGCCAACCCCTCGTTTTGCATCTCCTGGAGACACAGAATCTGGGGGTGCCCACCTCAACACTCAGTGATAAACATTTGCGACGCTATAAACGAAAGCGTACATCATAACATGTGGAGCTAGGTAGCTAGAAACGCTAACATGGCTTACCTTGGTCAAAACTGGTCTTCAATGGCATTAAAACGATAAAAAAACGATGCTGCAGTTAATCCATAGGTTAATCCAATGTGTCTGTGTCCTCTTTGAAATGATTTCTGATAATCCATAAGCAATAAAACTGCTTTTTCGTTTCCAAATGTCAGAGCGAGAGATCGCTTCACTCTGGTGCAAACCTGCATGCGGGAAGCCCCCACCGTTTTTTTTCACAACGAGTGTGTGTGGGGGGCCTCCTCCTTCGATTCTATTGGCTCTAACGGTCAGAAAGAGGTGTCAACCATCCAAATCGACCAAGGGGGGCCAGAGATATGGAAGAAAAAAACATTTTCACCCAAATCACCTCAGAGGTGGAGTGGTTTTGGCTAAACCTCTCTAAAAAGGTCAAATGTCACTTGTTTTGCATCAATCTTGATACAGGGTACTTATTATATGTTGTTCTTTGGATTCCTAAAGCCTTTAGTCTACTAACCCATCATCCAAGGGTAGTTTTCACTATAAGTAAAAAAGAATATTTAGACGGACACTATAATTTACAGTTTTTTACTATGTAAAATCTGAATTTTCTTTAAAATAAAAAACATCTATATTGATTCTGACACTTCTACATCGAACTCACAGATGTAACCTTGCTTTGATAAAAGAAATTATTCATATAACCCTTTTAGAAGTTAAGTTGTAGTCATTTGTTTTGGGCATGTCATTTTCGAGTCTGAAACATGAAAAACAGGCTTGGTGCTTAACAGGTTAAGGGCTGAATCTGGAATTTATGTTTTAAATTTGTGGACAAAGAAGTTGAATTGCTGTTTTGTTGAACATGTCTATCATTGTCACAGTTAACAAGCAAACATTATTTCTAAAGCTGCAAATTAAAATCTGTCTAAAAGTGGTTGTCTGATAAAGTTATTCTTGTTTTGATAAAATGTTGACGTTTTTATTTTGTCCGTCTCTTCAGGCTATGAAATGTCGCCTGGCTGACCTCACAGTCCCAGAGGGAGACTGGAGCCCAGAGGCAGTCCGGTTTGTGAAGGAGGCTGTCCTGGGCTCTGATGACTGTAAAATGAAGGTAATGTCCTTTTTTAGGGCAAATGCAGCCCTTCCAACTATTACAAAAGTGTCCCTATTGATTGAATGCCTGAGTGTATGTTTATTATAAAGGCTTGACTGCATGGAGCACAATAACAGTGTAGCAGGAGTTGTTTTAACAGGTTAATCTATCTCCAAATATTCAAAATATAAACGCTGCAAATCAAGCAAGTAAAGCCCTGTTAAAGAACAGTGCAAAAACAACCACTATCATCTCAAGGTCTCTAACAATGTGTGCCTTTTTGTTTTTTTCTCCCTTTGTTCCCTCGTCACAGATCCACAAATTAGACCAGCACAAAGGGGACTGTCTGATCTACATGTACCTCTTCATTGGTGCTGACAGTCAGGAGCTGGACAAGAGCATCAACCATCAGCTGGCCAAGTCACAGCTGTGGCAGCAGCTCACAACACAGAACAACACAATCACCAACAACAACACAATCATAAGCAACAATGGCGGCTTGGATTCAGGTAACACTGCACGACGGCAAACGCCAAGTCCCACCAACAGTCAGCATTTGTTGCATGAACAAGTCTGGTCAAATGTTGGGCCTTCTTGTTCTCCAAAATGTCCTATGTGAATTAATGTAATACAGATTTAAAGGGGACCTATCATGCAAAATGCACTTTTGTAAGTCTTTTATACATGAATATGTGTCCCCGGTGTGTCAGGGAACTCACCAAGTGTCAGAAAACACAACCCTCTCTTTTCCTCCATACCCAAATCTCTAAAAACGGGGCTGCAACGGAGCTGATACAGATTTGAAATTGTTCTGACGTCAGAAACAGGGAGCTCCGCCTATATGGGCAACTCTCCACCTATCAGAGGAATGGGGGGTTGGGCCATGGCTATTGCCGCTCGAAAGCGCTGGAGACGCTGTAGTACAGGGGTTCCCAACCCCCGGTCCGCGGACCGGTACCGGGCCGCAGAGGTGTTACTGCCGGGCCGCGAAATAGCTGTGAGTTTATCGTAATATTTGCAGAATTATAAATATATAAAAATATTTTATCATAATATTTTTTCAAAAAGTGTTTAATTTTCGCACCTATGCCACCAGTCATATTATTTCATCCAGTAGCTAGTTAATCTTTCACCAGAAAACCGTTGAAAATGGCTTTTATGATGAGGGATTCGGCGGCTCAGCCTTATAAGGTCTCCTCTCGTGCGCACGAGCATGTTACCGGTGCGCCAAGTAGGAAGAGGAGCGCACAGGAGACAACCGTTTGATTGCAGACTGTTATGTTTATGTGGGGAAATGGTGGTGCATACATTATTTGAGATATATTTCAAACTCGGACTTCATTTTAAGGACATGTCGGCCAGGGGTGTAGAGCTATTTGTTTAAGCACCGGATTGGCAAAACAGAAGAGTAAACCAGTCTGCCTTGATCTATGAATTAATGTCCGGGACTCTCGGACCCGCAGCTGCCCGCAGCTGCTTTATAGACGGAAACCCTCCTTCACTTCTTAAAACGGCTGCAGCATCCGGAGGCAGCGGCACGTATACTCCGCTTCTGAGAAGTGCAGCACCAGTATGACTGTGTTTAACTTCATCAGAACAGTTTAAGAGTGACTGCAGGCTGCTACGTGTTAACCACACACACCTATACACACACATCTACACACATCGAACTGCCCGATTACTCCCCCTTTTATTAGTTTTATGAAGGAGATGTCCAGTCAGTCACCAAGGCGCATGATGTGTGTGTGTATGTGCTCTGCTCAGCTCAGCTCTGTGTGTTCGGTGTGTTTGTGTCTGTCCGACACCGGCATTTGTTTTCAAATGTTTATGAACAGTAATTTACACACATATGGCTAACTCCATATATGCGGCTGTTCCCAAAATAAATTAGTTTAATCTTAATCTCGATGTAGTGCTAATGCTGTCGGAGTGCACCGGAACGAACGACACTATCATAATATCTTCTGAAAACAAATGCCAGTGTTCATAATGCGGCTTCTCCTCGTTTTCCCAGCATTCACTGGATTATCCGTAAATCATACAAACAAAACCAAAACGTTAATTTATCTGTTTTCCCGTTTTGGTTTAAAAACTGAATAACGTCGGTTTTTTGGTTTTCCGAAAAACCAAAAAATGACACCGGTTCTTTTTTAAACTTTGTTAATATGTTTTGGATGCATATTGTTCTAGTATCTGTTCAGGCTGTTACATACAATTAGCCTCTGTTGCTACCTGCTGGTGGTGAGTAAATATTAAAATCAGTTAAAATTGACAACCGGTCCGCGATTTTTTTTTAATGTATCTGCCGGTCCTTGGCACAATAAAGGTTGGGAACCCCTGCTGTAGTACATATGCCAGGCCTGTAAGTGGCGCTGTAGTCTGTCACAAAAGCAGCGAAGAAGACTTCTCACAGAATCAGCCCTTGCAAAAACAGGGCTGGGAAAGAGCAAATAGAGCGAAATGAGGCATGGCTAAAATGCATGATCTGTTTGGTATTTTGAAAAAAAAACTTCACAGACATGTTTTATATAGGTATGACCCTACAATATATTATTCAAATATAGCATGATAGGTCCACTTTAAATCACACTGACAATGAGGTTAAAGTGCTAACTTGGCTTTAATGTGATGGTTTTGAATGTACCTGTGTTTTATCAAATGTCCAGGTCTGAGTGCTTTCGTGGAGAAGTTGACTCTGAGCAATCCGGCTCCTTACCCCTTCGCCAAGACTTCAAGCCAAGCTCTTCTCGAGGCAGGGAACGGTCCTCCAGATACGACCTCCAAAACTGGGATGCAGCCCCTTCCCCTGCCTCCTTCACTGGACTTCCCCCAGGTATGTGGACACGTACTAACTTTCTGTAGGGGCTCACTTATCATGCAAGGGAAGTGTATGTAAATGATGTCATTGCTTGTTTTTTGGGCTTTAATCAATAGGTATAAGAGCTAGGTATTTGAATGGAAACACATTGTTCTTATTCACATTTGTCTGCATCACACAGATGTTCCGATCACTTAAAAAAACGATCAAGAGCCAAACTCCTTAACGCCACAGTCACCACACTCCAAACTGACAATACATGTGTTGTGCTTGTAGATATTCACATTTCTGTTGTATATGATATAAGAAGTTTAAAAAACAACTTGCAGCTTATGGTCATACAAGCATTAACAGAGTTGGACCACCATTCCAATATACTTTACACACTTTTTGACATGTATTTTTACTGTAGAATAACTTAACCTACAGAAATAGAAAATATATGAATAAAAGCTTTGTGATAATATGTCACACCCTGTCTTCTTTCAGCCTGGTCAGAATATGGATGTGTTTGTGCCAGTGGCCTGCCACCCCGGTTACTTTGTGCTGCAGCAATGGCAGGACCTGCATAAGCTGGTGGTGTTGATGGGGGAGATGGTTCTTTATTATAACCAGTCGTCCAAGATCGACTCCTCTGCCCCAAATATCGAGAAAGGAGGGATCTACGCGACCAAAATAGACAAGAAGTAAGTGATTGTAATTGAGATGTAAATTGTCTCATGGTTACATCTTTCTGTACACTCAAAATGATGATAGGTCAGGAATGTCATTAGCTCCTTAACAGAAGATAATCTTAATAGACTTTGGAGGACTTCAGGATATGGAGGTCATATTAATAGCAGTCCTGTGGTATGTGAGGATGAATACATTCACTGGAAACCAATTATAGTGAATGATTATAGTTATACACTTTTGATATGGTGCAAAATGCTTGACAAAGAATAGTTTTTACGCAAATGCGTTTTAAAAATTCAACGTATAGTTATCAAGTTGTCTTTATACTGCTGTAATTCTTCTTTGATTCACCTCCTTCTACTCGGCCACCTGGTAATCTGTCTGCTTTCCATCTGGCTGCCTGAGGCTGGTGCTGCTTGCAAACTGACATCAGGACAGTGGAAAGAAAGTTACTTTCTAACTCTCTAATAGCGCCCTCTGCTGTTAAACCAAATATAAAGGCCTTTATTTGTCAAAGAGAGATATTGGAACAAGTTAAATAACCATATGAAATCCTTACAGCCTCAAAACCGCATTGAGGCATTTTTTGTTTAATCCCTACTGGTGATGTCATGCTCTTCTTAAAGTGTAACTGCTGATCTTCAACCTGCTTCTCACCCCAGCAGTCCTTTGAGGGAGAAAGGCAGATGAATTGCCATAGTCAATATGTGTTTTGTTTTTTTATAACTTCCCATTCATGTAATGAAAAACACATTTCAATTAGTTGATAGTCTGCTTTTGAAATAAAGATTACAAAAAAATGTAGTTAAAATAATCAACCTTGTATAACGATCATTTTGACCCTGCCAGGCGTGATGACTACAAGAAAGTTCTACTGATATCTGCCCTTGTGCTGGTTGTGTGTGTCCCACAACAAATCTGCTATCTATTTTGTAACGTCATGAGGAAGACTTTTTTTTTACAACATGTTGGTTGATGGCTTAACTGTTGCCTGCCTCCACCTAGTTGGCATCGCGTGCAGGTGAAGGGGATTCTGGCCAACGGCTTGGTTTCTGTCTTCGAGTTGGACTACGGCAAACATGAGCTGGTCCGCAGCATTTTCCTCCGGCCTCTGATCGAGGAATTCAGACAGCTGCCCTTCCAGGCTATCACTGCACAACTGGCAGGTGAGTCCCATCATAAGGCTCTCCTACAAATATGTCTTTTTTGTCTTTGATTCTGTAAAGAGATGCGTTTTGGATTACTCAATGTTTGCTCTGCAGGTACGACGCAGCGCCAGTGGTCGGAGGAGGCCTCCTTGTTGTTCAGGAACCACGTGGAGGACCGAGCGCTGGTCGCCCAGGTGGAGAGTGTGTGCGAGGTCAAAGGTGAGCTCTGGGAGCGCAGGTTGTCGGTTTACCTGGTGGACACTACAACTGAGGAGAGGGACCTGTGGATTCACAGCCTGATGGCCGACATTGGCGGAGAGCTGTCGTCGGCTGCCTAGGACTTCTTATCATGCACCATGGTAAACAATTGTATCTTTTCTGGTTCTTTTCAAATGGTGAAAGTGAACTTTGAAAGCCAAAAGTTGCTTTCTCGGCCCTCTGTTTGTTTTCAGCGTTCTGGATCGATCTCCTAATCCAAGACTTTGAATAAACACTTTTGAATGTTTCTGTATTATTGTTAAGGGCCATGTCAACGTGAGACAGGAGGGGATTTTTGAGTTACCTGTATGTTGCATGTTTTTTCTTTGTACTACTAAATTCCACCATCTGATTTGTTCTCGTTTGCTGTGCTTAATGCATTCTGCTGTGTGGTTTACTTTACTAACCCTAACCCTTAATTTTGTTAATATGTTTCTACATTAATCAATATTAAATGACTTGACAGCCCATCTACATTTTTGTTTGAACCTCTCGGGAACAGCTTGATTATTGTGTGACTTGTCTGAGAATAAGTTGTAATGTTTTACGGTTTCAACATTAAAGTTGTTGGTTATCACACACAGCTGCTCCACTCTCAGGGCCTTCACACACTAACATCATCCAACATGACTGTGGAGGTGATGGAGACGCCCTCTGCCGGTGGAGAAATTATAAGACTGCAGTCACAGTACTGAATCCTGATTGGATGACTGCAGGTCCTGGTTAAAATGACTGGGAAGCTTTACAATTCTCTCTATTATTCATCTTTTTTAGTCCTTACTTACAGGGAATACGTTTTGCGTAATAAAAAAAAACCATAAGATTTTCCTTTTGTTTACCAAATCTTAGAAAAGCAGAGTGTCTAAAGATGATTTGTGTATTAAAGCTTTAGAATTAAAAAGATCTTGACAAAACAATTGAGCAGATGCTTGATGGCTTGAAGATAGCCAGTTGAACATTTCTGCTGTGGTTCAAAATCTGATTTGTTTATCTCCAAATCATAAAAAATGGCAATCTGTTGTCTCAATTCTTTTAAATTGATTAACTTAAAAATAACATTTTCACAACTTAATTATATGAATGAATGCAGGGTTGTTCCTAGAGTCTCTAAAAGTACAATGGGAGCCAGAGCCTTTTCTTATCAAGCTCCACATTTGTGGAATCAGCTTCCAGTTTGTGTTCGGGCGGAAGACACCCTATCCGTTTTTAAGAGTGTGCTTAAGACCTTCCTTTTTGATAAAGCTTATAGTTAGGGCTGATTAGATTCAGCCCCTAGTTTTGCTGCTATAGGCTTAGCTTGTCGGGGGACACCTTACTTCTTCCTTCTCTCTGTCTGTACCTGTGTACTCTCATGTTCCGAATAACCCAGCTTCCCCAAATTTCTTTTTGGTGTGTATATATACGCCGGGATCCGGAGTCATGGCTGATCCTGTTGCTGTGGTCCTGAGTCCTGGATCGCGAGTCGTGGCTGTGCCTGTTGCTGTGGTCCTGGATCATAAGTCCTGGATGGATATCCTCGTGGATTCATCTTCTTATTATAGACACATGCATTTCCAAACATTTGGACTACCTATGTTGCAAATGTATTATCTTTTCAATTTACACACGGCATCTATTGCACGTCTGTCCGTCCTGGGAGAGGGATCCCTCCTCTGTTGCTCTCCCTGAGGTTTCTCCCATTTTCCCCTTTAAACTGTGGGTTTTCTCCGGAAGTTTTTCCTTGTACGATGTGAGGGTCTAAGGACAGAGGGTGTCGTATTGTCATACTGATATTCTGTACAAACTGAAGTCCACTGAGTCGAATGTAACATTTGTGATATTGGGCTATATAAATAAACATTGATTGATATGTATTACACAATACATGTATTAATTGATTACAACTAAATTAAAGAGTTTAATAACATCACTTAAAGGTCACCTATTATGCAAAAATTCACTTGTTGATTTCTTTAATACATAAATATGTCCCCGGTGTGTAAGGAGAATCACAAAGTTAAAGAAAATACAACCCTCTCATTTCCTCCTTACCCACATCTCTAAAAACGCGGGTACAACGGAGTTGACCGTCCCAACCTATCGTCCCCATAAACAGGCTGGATGCCAAGTGTAGTGTGCAGAAATTAGCCAGATAGAAGACTATTTTAGTTAATTTAATATCTTTTCATGTTGTGACCTATTTACTCCAAGTAGAACATCCAAATATCCATATTAAATAGAAGCACTAAAGTACAATAAATATAAATAGTAACACAATACTGAATGTTGCTTTGTCTTCACAGGATCACGTGATATGGAAGCAATATATAAATCCAAGAGTGTTTGTGAAAAACAGCAATTTTCATAAAATATTCTTAGAAGCTCTAAAATCCAAAAACACAAGTTTTATTGTCAAAGTAATAATATTGGTATGGATTGGGATTAATTGGTTCAGATGACATGTAAACTATTGGACAAAAACTGAAGCAATCTCTTTTTTGTCAAACTAATTCTGCAAAGATAACAAACGGTTTCGAGTTGTTCAAACTTATATTAAGGAGCAGGCTTGTACATATTTCACGTTATAGTTTATTGAATGATGGAGAAAGGTGTCCGATAATGGACACAGTTCCACTGGATGACATCACTGGAGTGACAGGGCAGCCGTGTTGGGGGAGGAAGGGGAGGAGGAGGAGGTTCTCTCCACATAAGTTTACTTTGCCCTTTACGGGAGACGAGTTTCTGCCTCCGTAAACCCGCCGAGAGACGAGCACTGACGGGGGAGGAAACTGTGAGCACGCTGAGAAATCTGCTGCATTCGGGATTATCTGGACGCTTTCTGCTGGTTTGGAGTTTTCTGCGGATTCCCGGTTTTTGTGCGTGCTGCAGAGCGGACCGCGCGGCGCAACTCCAGGCGGCTCTGAAGGAAACCATATCTGGTCAAAGTATTCGTTGCTGTCACCCAGCGGGACTGTCCGGCTATAAATAGCGCTGGAGGAGGTACGGAAATAAATGCAAAAATGATACTGCAGCCTGTAAAACAGTCAAATTAGTGAAGTTCACAATATCTTGGTTAAAATAATGTGCAGGAGAACACCTAAAAGAAAGCTGGGAGTAATCCGGTTCCTCCATGTCTTTGAGTATAAAGGGGGCTCCTCCAGAAACACTGAATAGTTTTTCTTAATTTCACTGCTAGTATTTTCCTACCTGTTGGAGAATATCTTATTGGCTGTTGTAGGCTCCACTCTTGATATAATGGCCCTCAGCAAGTCCTAACCCTGAAGCCCTGCACAGATGAGGTCTTTAATGCAGTCCTTATCACATACAGGAGCTACTTGATCAAAATAAATCAGTAAAATGTTCTGTTATGGCAAATGTGACCCCACTGATACAATTGGTTAGTGTGTAATAGTGATTGTACATATATATTCTCAATATAGCTTGCGGTATCTCTTAACGTCTGTAAAAGCTTTAGTAAAAGTCACTGCAACAACAACTATAGCAAAAGCTTGAGCTAAATTGGTTCATTTTCCAAGGTTTTTGATGATTTAAAAAAATGCACCATGTATAATCAGGATTACAGTTCTACTCTTGTGAGATGGAACAGTTGCCGGCTGACATATTGGATGTCAGTTCCTCTGTGACCTAAATGCATCACTGTAGAGTAAATTGAACCCTGTAACCTTTACTTAGTACATTTTGGTTTTCCACTTACTTTTCTTGAGTATAGCCATGCATACTCTTGTGGTTCACTGACGAGACAAAACTCAATCTTTAGTCACCTCACTTTAAGTTGTGAGCTCGCTGTTGCGGAGTATTTCATCAGCATCTTCTTTTTTAACATCTCTTGGATATATTGTATAATCGCACTAGCTATCTTGAAACGAAACTCTGATCAGTGTCACACATTACTTTTTGACCTTTGCAGAAGGCACCAAATAGTCGGTCCTCAGGCCCCTTGTTATACTCTTTATGATATACGACTGGTCCCCAAAGTGGAGACCAACGACACAGCACACACAACCATGGGTTTAGTTTCCTCCATAAAGTGGCAGAATGAGATAATTTCTAAAAACAATGCTTGGTGGATTTCACACACTGTAATAATATCAATCAATGATAAGAACTTGAAAAAGAAACCTTCTGTGGTCTACTAATCTATTTTGGTAAGCATCTATCTATGCATTTCACTTGTACTCACAACTATGTAAGTGGACACCCTTGTTACTGTCACAGCAGAAAACACACACACACACACACACACACACACGCACACACACACACACTCTCTCTACTGTAGCTTATCACAGCCACAGGCAGGGGAAAGCTGACCAGTTGCCTCTCAGCTGTTTTATGCTGGAAGATTTCAGAGACAACTGCAATCCTGCAAAAAAAGTTTACATAGACATCCTACAAATGTCGAAACAACACTTGAATTCATAAACAACAGAAGATTGATAGCATGAAGCATGATGTCTTATACATGATTTATCCCTCTAGGAATGTTGTTAGTAGCGGGTTAGTATTCTCAGGTTGACCAGATTAGGACATTTATCCTCATTAGTATCATTGTTTATGACTAGTATCTGTCATTGGAACCTCTTTCATATGGATGAAACTGAAAATTATTTTCATTATCGATTAATCTGCGAATTATTTTATATGTTAATCGATTATTTGTTTAGTTTAGACAAATGTCCATCATAGTTTTTCATGAAAATAGTGGTAACTGGACTCAAACATGAAAGCAATATATCTTTGACCTCTCAAACTGAAGAAGTTTTAAGTGGAATACTCACACGACACTTACTGTACATGTGATTGTTTATCATGACAATGGGAGCTGTTTGAAGACATTAAGCAGGAAGTTGTCCGCTGAATCATCTAAATATCCACTGCAGTGCCCTCAACTCTGTTTTATGTGCAGATTTATTGGCTGTACAAATCTTTGGCCTCTCTAAGAGCATGTGAGTTTTCCAGAGATGTGTTTTACAACTGAAAAACTTGGAGCAGGGTTTACAGTTAAAATCAAACTGAAATATATACAAATACAATTTCTGGTAGACCAGGCACGCAGAGCATTTTGTTGCAGGAAAGCTGACTTTTGCAAATCAGGTTTAAAACATATTTAATCTACATCAATTTAAAAGTTTCACACACATCAAACTTGATGAATGGTTCTGCTGCTATTCTTGGAGACTTGAGGACTGGACAAGTTTAGAGGTCAGGGGTCAAGTAAAGTGTTTATAACTTTACAGGGTACATTCTAACTCAGGTCAAATGTAATTGTCTTTCCTCTCTACCCACTGCATGTCCTCCAATGAAGCAGAAGCTTGTAATAACGTTATAAATACAAGCACGGGTCTGTTTGATATCATCACAGCAGGTCGCCCTCTTCCAGCAGACTTGCAGTGTTATTTGGAGTAGAGCCCAGTTCTTCATTTTTGGTTTTGGAAACTTGTCCTGTTGTGGAGCTTAGAGAAAGCAGAAGAAAAAAAACAGCACGCTTGACTCCACCTGTTAGGAGGTTAGTCAAAACACACTTGCTGTCATACTTAAGATCAAAAAAGAATATCTTCCCTTCTTGAATGGAAGTTCTTTGCACTTTGGTTGAGTTTTTAGGCTCCATCACAACCCTTTTTCTTCATTTGAGATCATTCTCATCCTTTGATGCAGGCTCAGTGTAGTTATTATTAGTGTTGTCATGTGGACATCTATCAGCAGCAGCTCACAAAGCATTTTGAACCCTGACCCATAGTTTTAAGGAACAGTGGCTTAGAGAAAGTATGTATGCTGAGCACTTGGTGCTGTTACCCACAAATGTTCTGCTGCTGCTCATCTATCATCAGTTATCTGGACTGCAATGTAGACAATGAGAGAGAAAGAAAACAGATCTTCCATCTGTCCATATTGTCGGCAGAGGAGGAGAGAAAAATAAATAAACTTTTCGGGGATTAGATATTTAGTGTATCCTGGGTTGACTTTTTCATTTTTCTGCAGCGAGCTTTGAGAAAAAACAGCACTTCCTGCAGTGATTCATGGCGGAGGGATCAGTGACAGGATATAATTCTGGGAGGAAATAGAGCATCTGCGTGCTTATAGAGATCTGGAGTCTTAGAATCTCATAAAAGGGACATTCTTTAGCAGCAAGTCACACTGCCTCTCTCTTGGTTTCCCTTTTCCAAATGAGTAGGCCTAGATGAGGCAAACCGTAGACAATCAACCATTTTTTTATTTCAGATATATTCAAGCCATTAAACCTTGTCTCACAATGTTAACAACATTGAAAAAGAATCCCTTTCTCTTCACATTGATTGTTGAAATGTAATGGATTCTCCCTTCAACAAAGGCCATATACAACCATATCTATATTTGTTTTTGTTTTGTAATCCTGGTAGAGATTAATAAACCAAAATTCTCGTAATTTATGGAAGATTTTAGATTGATGTTATTAAATACAGTCATTGAATATCAATACCACTCTTATATCACTATGTTAAATACTGTATGAAGCTACAATTAACAGCCAGTTAGCTTAGTTTAGCAACAATTGTGGAAACGGAGGGAAACAGCAAGCCTGGCTCTGACCAAAAGGTAACAGAAACCATCAATCAACTCTAAAGCTCATCGATTCAAATGTTTCATCATGTTGTGTAAAAATAACAATTGGCCATTTTATGGGGGTAGCCAACAGGTGCAGATTCATGGAAGTTACTGCTCCTCCTAGCCAAGAAATTGTCTGGACAGCGCCAGGCTAGCATTTACAGTTGTTGTGCTAAGTGTAGCTAGTTGTAGAGCCAAGAGAGTGTTATCAAACTATCATCTAACTCTTGTTTTTGCTCCCCAAAATATCAAACTATTGCTTTGAGACCAGTTTGTTTCCTTAAAGAAATCCTGCTAACAAATATGTGACACTAGCTGTCTAATCTGAAAACATAATGCTTGTAGCACCTAGCTAGCCAAACGCTTTTGTGTGCAAATTGAATACTATCGGAAAATTAGATGTAGCTATGCCTATGCTGTTAGTTACTTTAAGAAAAAGTGAAGAAGCTGAAATAAAAAAACACAGAAAGCTGTGAAATATAATGCTTAATATCTTCCTCCATAAATGACTGAGTGTATCTATTGCTTTTTCATTTTAAGGTCAATTAATCTCTCTACACTCTTCTTCTTCCTCTTCCAGGTCCCTCTCAGGAGCGTGACAGGCACTTGGCTGCCTTTGCTGTTATTTTACCCCTGAGCCAGGGGTCATTGAGGTAAGTGCATTCAAGTTTTATTTTTTAATGCCACATAAAATGACTCTTGCCGTAGTAAGTCAGCTATGCTTGTCTCTCGTCTCAAACCCTATGTTATTTGACCATTAATTTTAGGGATTTCGCTGTTGATTTGATCCACAGATTATTTTTCTCAAAGTGTACGGTCTTGCAGGCTCCTGATCTCCTACATTTGGCCTTTTCCTGTTTGGAGGGGTGATTGAGGTGAGGGAACTATTTGAATACCTCCCAAATCCCTTTGTTTATTTGTATAATATATATTTTCCCTGGAGGCACTTAATCTTACGCTACAAAGGTTTGGTTTAATTATACCACCTCAAGTTATTTTAAGTGCAAGAAATGTAAGTGTATGATCTGTGTTATAAATGATTGTGAAAGCCCACTGTCATTGAAAGAAATCAAAAGTAAGTTGTGAAAAATGTTCTACCCAAGAGAGTGTATTTTATGGTATAAAAACCTTACATTCCTGTCAATAATGTGCCTATTTATTATCATGTTGAATTGAGAGTGGCCTATCCATGTTTTCAGGTGTCCATCATGTCGGTTATGAAGAAGGAGATGGATAAGTACAGGGACATAGACGAGGACGAGCTGCTGAAGAAACTGTCAGAGGAAGAGCTGCAGCGATTAGAGGATGAATTAGAGGAGCTGGATCCTGATGTAAGTTTATAGTATCAAGTCCATAAAGAGTTTCTGTCGCTGTGTTGGTGTCAGTGGAGTGTGAGGTGGTCATACAGGCTAAACAGAGACCCCTGACTATGCTGTATATTGCTATAACTAAATAGCTGTGTGATATAATATGAAATACTGTTAGATCATTTTTGTTGTAAGCCAGTCAAACAAAGTGCAAACGATTAATGCTCGTGAAACTATGTGTAATCTTGAATCCGTTACACAGTAATAGTACAGTGGCAGCTAATGCACTTTGCTTTGTATGTAGTGTACGGAAGACCAGCCAATCAAAAACCTATTTACTAGCAGTCAGTTGGCAGTAAGCGTAACTGCACAATGAGGCAGCATGGAGTTAATATTACAAGCTAGAAAAAAAGCCAGACATTGGTGGTTCTAGCTTCTCAGATATGAGGCTCCATCCTTGTACATTGAAGACTTTTAGTTTTGGACTGTTAGTCAGTCATAACAAACAATTGAAGATGACGATGTCCCCTTTTGTTGTCCAGAATAGTCATTCACTTTTTTTGTGTGCTATTTCCCTTAAAGAAATATCAATAATAATTTGTACTTATATGTCTGAGGAAGTATGGGGAACAGTGTATGGGGAAACGTATGTGTCTGATTTTGTTATGATGCTTGCTTTGCTCAAGATTACGGTAATAATTGTTGTATTTGATGAATCAACCTCCAGGTTTGTACCCTCAGTGGTGTTTCATGGGTGGAGATGGTGACAGCAGCTGTAATAGCTTTGTGATGAATCTCCAACTGCTCATAAAGAGGCTGGATATCCCCTCAATGCCAGGGAATGACTGGAAGGGTGTGTGTGTGTGTGTGTGTGTGTGTGTGTGTGTGTGTGTGTGTGTGTGTGTGTGTGTGTGTGTGTGTGTGTGTGTGTGTGTGTGTGTGTGTGTGTGTGTGTGTGTGTGTGTGTGTGTGTGTGTGTGTGTGTGTGTGTGTGTGTGTGTGTGTGTTGTGTGTGTGTGTGTGTGTGTGTGTGTGTGTGTGTGTGTGTGTGTGTGTGTGTGTGTGTGTGAGCGAGCGAGACTGATGCCAGCAGGGAGTGACCGAAGTTCCTTCATGACGTAAACAGAGGAAATAGTCAGAAGCAGTGCGTGCTTACCTTGTTTGTGCCTGTTTATGAGGGTAACCCGTTGCACAACAGTGAAGTGCCCACTCTAACCTTCCCAGTACTTCCCACGTCAGTTCCAGTAAGACATTAAAAAAAACAGCATGCTTGCTGTACTGCGGTAGTGAGATTCATTTATTGTCGATGATCTTGAGAATACTTTGTGTTTTTGTGCATACTGTACAGTATTGCCTTCCAGTCTTTCAATGACCCATTACAACTTGGAATGGGTTATACAGTACTGTTTACTTTTCTAAGACATGACATACAGTACTTGTTACTGTAACTTTATAACTAAAGACTTGTTGTGACATCTTTGAATTAAAGCTCTCCATTTAAATCTGGGAAAGTTTAAATAAAATGTATCTAGATTACTGGTAAAAGTTTGGAGACAGGTAAAAAATAGCACACAGGGTAGTAAAGTAAGAAGTGACAGGAGAGAAAGACAAAGTCTCATGCTGGTAAAAATAAAATGCTCTAAGTGTGCCTGTTATCTACAGCTGATACAACGTGTGACATTAAGAGCTTGGCAGTGACGATGTGATATACTCCTGGCTTTACTATAAATACTGCTTTAAGTTATGTGAACATTTACCGACCACTACTGGAAAGACCACATTTGAAAAACTTACTTTAAAAGAGTACATTTAAACCCAAGTTATCATGTAACTGGTCTGACACTGGCACTTGTTTGGTTTGTTTTTGTAAATTGTTTGCTGGCCTTGAGTCAAAGCGTTTAAGAGAGACAGAGTCATGAAGAGAGAGCGCTGAGAGGAAAGATAAGATATGAAGCTATAAGTAGCACTTGTAAGAGCTTGGTTTGAATGCTGCTATGGGCTGAGCATAACGTAGGGAGCAGCAATGCTCTGGGAAATCTCTGGGTCCGGTTTTAGGCTGGAGTTGTAGTTAGGGACTGATGTGGGAGTTAAATTAAACAGAGCTCAGTCGATATCACTTTGCTCTAATACTGTAATACTTGTGTAACATGTTTTCAAATGTGATGCAAAAATTACCATATTATCGTTGGGCTTAATTTGGTAGTATTTTTAATGAATATTCTATGAGTATTCTGCCACTGGGATTTGTTTACTTCTTTTAAATGTAAACAAATACATTACATTACTAATGTTATTTGCATTTCATGGTTTATTTTATTTTATTTAGGGGGTTAAAGGTATTGTGTATTCTTATTTCCAAAGGCAAAATCTAGAAGAATTAACAGTTTTTCATTTAAAAAAAGACTGAAGTTGAATATTAACCACATCTTAATCACCACATGTATAAAGTATTTGTTCTTCGTCTCTAAATGTCTTGTTGTTTCTCCTTCTTCGGCACTGATGCAAGATACTACAGCACTTAACCGCTATGATAGAAAGAAAGAAATGAGATACAATCAGTATCAGTCCTTTAACTGATGTAAACTCTTGTTTGTCTAGAATGCGTTGTTGCCTGCTGGGATGCGGCAAAAGGACCAGACCAAAAAAAATCCGACTGGGACATTTCAGAGAGATAACCTGCTGGCCCATCTGGAGAAACAGGCCATAGAGCATCCTGAGCAAGAAGACCTGGTGCCTTTCACAGGGGAGAAGAGAGGTACAATCTGGGTTTCTCACTCAAAAAACAGTAAACAGCTTTGGCCATTTCATACGTTGAAATGTTTAAAGAGGCCCTATTATGCTTTTTTGGGTTTTCCCTTTTCCTGTGGTGTGTTATATATGTTTTTGGGTGCCCAATTGGACTCATGTTTTTACTTCCATAACATAGTGACATGTCTATTGGCTAGCGCTTTAACACATTGTACGTGATAGGGGACGGGACATCTCAAGGCAGTTGACCAATCACAACAGAGCCGGCCAGCCAACCAATCAGAGCACACTGGGCTCTGGTTTCAGACAGAGGGTGAAAAGAGCAGTATATGCAAAATAAAGCACTTTTTTTTTTACATTAAAGCATGTAAACATGTCATAATACAGGCACAAAATACAATGATGAAACCTGAAAATGAGCATAATGCGGCCCCTTTAATCGACTTGGGTCTTTGGACCGCAGACAAACTTTAAGTTCCTTAAAAAGTTCTGGCTCTACTTATCAGGTGGTTCTGTCTGGGTGTTGCCTTAATGCACTTGTATTCTTAAAAGACTTGTAAGACAATAACGTTTTTCACAGACCAGCTGTACTGAATCAGTAAAAATGTCCCTTCCCTCAAGAACTGGAGTCAAGGTCTTCATGTGGAACACCCAGTGAGCAAACAAGCAGAGGGAGACCACAGCAGGTTCTGCAAACTGTTTAGAACAGTTATCCATTTTAACCTCTCATCTTTTGCTCACCATCTGCTGAGACCAGGCCCACTACAGGTTGCACCAAAGCTGGACTTGAAACTGGTTTTACCTGTCACACACTTTAAACAGTGTGTTCACCAACCTAGAAGGGTGCAGTGGTATTATTAGGGCCCAGGGAGGACTTGGGGGATTTTCAGTTAGGCTGCTAAGCGCTCTGGTTAACATCTCGCCAAAGTGCTCATGTGGGGGTCAAAAAATATCTGGCTGAAACTCGAGGAGCTCGCCACACAGCTGACCTGTCAGCAACAGCAGCCTGTGGTCAGGGGTGATGTGATGGAGGGATACTCATTAAAGTAAGGGTTAGATTCATATTAAATCAGTATGTTCCCCGAAGACTATATCTAGTGTTCTTCTTTGGTTTGATTTGGTCTTCAGTCTTTGAATGTGGTAGCTAGATCATACGAGATATATCATATCATATGGGGTAAATGTAGTAGTAGTAGTAGTGCTTGTATTCGGATTAAAACCATCCATCATGTTGCAGGGAAAGCCTTTGTGCCGAAGAAGATGGTGGACCCCATCATGGAGAATGTGACTCTGGAGCCGGAGCTGGAAGAAGCCCTGGCGAGTGCTTCTGATGCAGAACTCTGTGATATCGCAGGTATCCTAAACACATCCACTCACATCTCATCACAGCAACATGTATTAAATATCCATAGTTCTTATCGTTTGAACTTTTCTCTCATTTATACTCGCTTATACACAATGGTTTTTGTGTTTCTTCTATACAAAGCTGTTCTTTATCTTCTTTTTGGCAAGACTTTTAGCACAATTACCAGAGTCCCCATGGTGAAGGCAGTTTGAAACATGCCTACAAAAGTGATAAGTGAATGGAAACATTGGGAGAATATATTTTCATAATTTGCAGTTCTTCATCAGAATTTCACGGGTTTATAATAGTGAAAAAATACAGATAAACCTTTCCTTTAAAAACTAATAACTAACATAAAATCTAAAATCCACACCCACATTTATAGAAACATAATCTGAATAGGCGCTTTCACACCGGAGTACTTTTCCCCGTACTTTTCCCTTTTAGTTTCGATAGTTCCTGGGATTTTGCGTTCACACCATAGAATGTATATAACGTTCACACCAAAAAGATCTGGAACTAGAACTTAGTTCATGAGAACTTTTCCCCCCCTTTTCAGTCCCTGCTAGAGAGCAGGGACTTTCCTGGGAGAAAAAGGTTCCCATTTCTGATTGGCTGGGCGAATTGCAAACCACGCCCCGTAAAACTCAGAAAAGTTTTTGTGAAGCTGCCATTTTATTTGCTGGCATTAGCATTATTAGCATTAGCATTAGCCCAGTGCACCAACGGAGAGAGACTAACTTATGGCAACACAAAAAAAAACATCCCAAACCACGCCCTACACCCTACCCCTACACACTCCCCCTCCGTGACGGAGTGAACTCCGTGGAGTGACACTCGCAGCTCAATGAGGCTCCCTCCTGTCAGATGGAGGGAGTAAATACAGCGGCAAGCTTTGGGACAAACGCCCCTCTCTCCGGCAGAAACAGGAAATGCCGTAACTGTATGTAACAACGGTTTCAAATCAGCATCTCTTCGACAAAAAATTAAAATTAATAACTAAACATCTTTAATTGTGTTACTTTTTTGTTAAGCTCTTTTAGTTTTAAACCTGATTTTTATAAGCTTCTTAGTTTTTGCAAAAATCTGTAAATATACACAATCTTATAATAAAATGCACACATTTACCTTTTTCTAGACTAAACACAGGTATGATGCTAAGTAAAAAAAATATGAGGTTATCATGAGGTTGTTAACATCGCAGTTTATCAGTGGATGTTTGCTGGAACTACTTGTAAACAGCGTGTTTCCTGACGGACACACACAGCGTTGAGACCGGTCAGGTAGAGACCGGTCTCCAGTCAGCACCGCTGCAGACTCGCTGTTTGAGGGCTTGATAGCCCACTCCCCCTCCACACCACTCCACACTCGTTGGTTTGGAACAGCACTTAATGTGGCGGACCCTCCGCGCGAACGCGCAAACGGAGGGGTAGTGTGTAGGGGTAGTGTGTAGGGGTAGTGTGTAGGGGTAGGGTGTAGGGGGCGGTTTGGGATTGGGCCTCCCTCAGGGACTTATTCCGGTGTGAACGCGATCTGCTCTTTAGTTCCGGGAACTAAAGAGTTCCGATGAACTAAGTACTGGTGTGAAAGCGCCTCTTGATTGTTATTCATAGAACTGATCTGTTTAATGTGCTAAAGTGCAGGTGTCTGATTATTTTTCATCTTCATCTTCCCTCACTTAACGGTGGCCTCAACTTCCCCCTCATTCATTTACTTTTCCTGAACCAAATCTTCTTCATTTCCTCCAGCGCTCCTTTCATCTTCCCTTCACCCTTCACCCCTCCCCCTCATCCCTCCACCTCCTCCATCCCTGCTGGATATCTCTGTTTCACCACCCAGGGTATCTGTAGACTGCACACCATGTTTGCATGGAGCGATTCTGCACCCTTTGCCATGTCGATGCTGCATGTACAAAAATGAAGATGTTTGAAAAAACGTGATGTCTCTGCAGTAAAGCATACAGAGGTCAAGTTTACCATTGGATTTTAAGAACTCTCTCTCTAAAACACTATATTTTAAGTATTAACAAATAGTTTATTTCAGTAAATCACAATATGCTTTGATATTTAAGTAGCAGTATCATCAAAAATGACTGCTGCAGGAATATTTTGGGAGCACAACTTGCTGAAGGTAACATAACCAACTGTTACAGCAAGCAGTTTGGTGGCTTGTGTTCCCTGACTGTTTATGTCTTTGCAAAGTGTTCTGTTCTCATGCTGTCAGCCTCTCTGATAAAGGTTATAAATCTCTCTTTATCTTTTATTCTATATAACAGCCTCCTAGGAGCTCAAAAATATATTCCGGTTGTGGGCTGCGGAGACCAAAACTCGTACATGTTACCATTTACCTGAAGGCATATGGCATTAAAATGTTTGATCGTGTAAACTGTCAGTGTCAGGTTTGACTTGCTTGTGTTTCCTAAAGTGATGTGTCAGCATGTTGGTCTTCTGTATGGCTGTAACTAGACAACCATTACATCTATAAACTCTTCAGCAGTCATCTCTCTCTCTCTGTCTCCGATTCTCCCCTCACGCTTTTTTACTTTCCATCCTCACTCTGTCTTCTAACTGTCTTCCAGCCATCCTGGGTATGCACACCCTGATGAGTAACCAGCAGTACTATGAAGCCCTGGCCAGCAGCAACATAGTCAACAAGCAAGGCCTCAACAGTACGTAAAAACACACACTCTCCCACGTATGTACTTACACTTTTTAGTCAGATTTGACTGAGTCTTTTGAATGTTTAAAACTGAAAGTTGTATGAGCAGTCTTCACCTGGTTCGATTCTAAGTGCATTTGGTGCACAAAATGAGTAAAAGTATCCTAAAATAAAGATAATCACTCAACTATTTGGAACAGAGAAATCACCTCATTCAAGAAAAATGCAAAGTGCAATGATCTCATGCTGGTAGAAAGTTTATTTAACCTAAGATGATCAGCACTGACTTTTTTGTTGCACTCCACGCATGTTAACATTTAGCTACACAGCCTAAACTAGAAGTAAGGTGTTCAATAGATATAAAAGTGTCTACAGACACTCATACATTGTTCTATAGCTCCTCCAGGAATAACTGATGATTCATCTGTTTACCCTTAATCTAGCACTGGTAGTGTAAACTCTCTGATATGACACACACACAGACACACACATCACATGTTAATGAGCCTGTGTTTATATTGCATGGCTGCTCATCCTATAGCTTCTGCTCCAGCTCTAAACAGAGACAGAGGCCGAGCACCTCACTTCCAAATATGACCGGCTCTGATAAAAGAGCCAGCTACGAACTCGGATTCGCCTGCAGAATTTCACGCTTGCCAAAACACAGGAAGTAAAAAATGATTTTTGAACAATGAGTCGTTATTATGTTATAGTTTGAGACTTTTATAACATGAAAACAATTGTATTTCAAAAATATGTTTGCCCTTTGTGATACTACACTAAGGGAATGCTGTAAATGTGCTTGTTAAGTAAATGGAATTTAGTATCCCAATATTGTTATTATCAACCTACTTTTCTTACTGTAGACTTACAGAAATTACATACCGACAGAAACATTGTACCACGCCAATTACTTACTAAAATAACTTTATTTACTCATTGTAGATGAGATAAAACACACTTCCAATGCACCAGTAAGAAAAACAATACTTTTACTAGGAGTCACTGGCAGAAACTGTTCTCTGCTCCTGTGGTAGTAAAGGTTTGAATGTACTACTTCTGTGGCCAAGTGGCTGTTGACATGTCTGTGCTGTGAAAACCATTGGCCTGGAAAGTGGGATAAAACTGATAAATCTATGCATGCTGTGTTTAAAATGATCAGCATTAGCCTGAGTACAGTTAAACAGGGTCTCTCTGGACATGGCAGGCTAATATGCTTTGTTTGGCCATTGCTGTAAGCAGATGATAAGTTACCAACATCAGATAAAACTTCTAACATTGTTCGGTGAAGTCTGGCAGTCTTTAACTCTGTATGAGTGAAGTGTAGAAAGGGCGTCAAACATGTTTAAATATGCGTTGTTCCCACAGTCAGACTGGTTTGATCCACAGCTGTGTGTCCTGTGTTGTAGGTGTGATCCAGTGCGCCCAGTATAAAGCAGTCCCAGATGAAGAGCCCAACTCCACTGACGTAGAAGAGACCCTGTTGAGGATGAAGAGGAACGACCCCGGCCTGGTGGAGGTGAACCTCAACAACATCAAGGTGTGTCTGTGGGAAAACAACTGGGTCTGATTTCTTTATTGATTTTGGAGTTGGAGCTTCTACTTGAACCATCATTCCATAAAGATGAAAAATCTTACGAAATATATTTGTCTCTCTTATTTAAAGTTATCTGTCCCTGACAATTATTTTAGATTTTTCTAGTACTTTCTTCTACATAAAACTAAACTCTGTTACACAAAAGATTTGTATCATGCTCCAAAAGCACAAACAAACTAAACATTGGTGCACAACATTCATTTTCAATTTCCAGCTATAAAAAAGGTACTTTTTAAGTAAAACACTTAAAGGTGGGGTAGGTAAGTTTGAGAAACCGGCTCGAGATACACTTTTTGTTATATTCCATGGAATGCTCTTAACATCCCGATAGCAATGAATATCTTAAAGGAGAGGTGTCATGCTTTTCCGGTTATTACCCGTCCCCTTGTGTGTTATGAAGGTTTTTATGCATGTAAACGGTGTGCAGAGTCAAAACCCTCAAATTACACCCTATAGCGAGTAAAACTCTTAACACAGAAAATACCTCCCCAAAACGCCTTGTTGGAGATACGTCATTGTCCATTTGATTATTCCGGGTACGGCATGATGTCAACCCGTACCCGGAACGAAATGGACCAATCCGTGGAGCCGTTACGTTACATCCGCGCAGCCGTTACGTTAAGCCCCCGCTGATTGGTCTAAATTGACCAATCCACGGACTTCCTCACACACACATCTGTGTGCAGGGAGCAGGCAGCTCTGCTGATTTCTCCTCCCTGGCTGCAGGCTGATAACAGACAGTTGGGATCGCGGCAAAATTCTCTGCAGACCCATTCTCACAGCGTTTATCAACCTTTTTCTTACTCAATATCAAGCCACACTTATTGTTTTTACTTCGGCTGTGAGTTTGTGTGTGCTCAGGATGAGTTTGGCTGTGTTTCGCTATGTATCCTAAACAAGGAAACAACACCTCCACGGAGCTCAGCGCGATTCACAACGTCCCGACCAATCAGAGCACACTGTGCTCATAGGGAGGGTGGGGGCTAGCTATTGGAGCTACAACGAGCCGTTAAAGGCAGAGAGTGAAATTCAGTGAATACACGTAGTTTACAGATGCCCCTTTCACACCGGCGCTTTTCCAGCTCTGGCTCGGAGCTGGAGCTGGAAAAGCGGCGGTTTTTCCTGTTCACACCGCAGCGGCGCCGCGTCATAGCTCCGGAATGCGGTTCACTTCCAGCTCTAAAAAATTGTCGGTCTAGAGGCAAGAGCTTCGGAGCTATGACGCGGCGTCGCTTACGTCTCTCTTACGTCGAGGCGTGCAGGAAACTAAACCCACCTCCGCTGAACATGGGTCGACTGAAGAGTCTCGTCATGCCTGCCTACAAGCAGTAGCGCTGAGCAAAGTGACTAGAAGGCAACCACACACTTATAATTAAAAAAAAACACACTTTATAAAGTCAGGCAACACTAACCAGGCTTCATGTGATTCTGTTTATTTGTACCTTACTTTGACCATCCGTTCGCTGTTATTGATCATTGTGGAGAGCAGGCAGACGTTTTGTTTGTTATTATAGCAGCTATCGGATGGAATCAATACATGGGCTGCACAGGTTGTCATGTCCGACTATCACAAGTAGAATCATAATGAAAAATACGCCGGTAAAATGTGCCTGTAGAAAACGGCTTAGCAAGTAGTCAGTTTAGCTTCGGTTGCTATGCTAACATCACCCATGTTATACCAGAGAAACTTTCATAACAGCGTTGTGATGCCAAACAGCGTCAATTCAGACTGACAGACATTCACTTAAGGGGAACTGGGGATATGTATCAGCTGCTTGTGTGACAGTCAGACAGTGAATACTTTAGAGCCGTGTGAGCTAACCCGGAGCTAACGGGAGAATAAACTCCCGTGGAAGAGCAGCCAGCACTGCAGCGGTCGGTAAATGCCGCTGAAACACATTAATAAACAATGAACCACGGCACTCTGGAGAAAAGTATAAGGTTGGAGAAGTCCTTATTTAATTTAATCTGGCTTCGTATGATTAAAAGCAACACGATCATCGATCCGACGCAGTCCCCCCCCCGTTGTTGTTGTTGTGAGCTCCGTTGGGGAGAAAATCAGCGATGTAAACGGTGACGTCATGACGCAGCAGCGGCAGCTGGGCGGTGTGAACAGAGCGGGAGCTGAAAAGGGAAACCGGAGCTGAACCAGAAAAGCTCTAGCTAGGAGCTAGAAAGGGAAAAGCGCTGGTGTGAAAGCCGCAAGAGATGCTGTATGAGAAACCAATGTGAGTTTGGAAAAATGCACAGTATAAATCTATTTTAGTATACCTCAACAATGGAATTATGATCAGTGGAAATGGCCATGACACCTCTCCTTTAATTGCTTTGACAAAAAATCCATTAAATATTTAATCTGTGGAAGCCGTATTACTGTAAAAAGCACGACCAATCATTTGAGCCGGCCCGGCTAAAATAACTGGATGGCCTACCTGCCTGTCAGCCTTCCATCTGTGCACAAACTTATCTCGTGCCCTCATTGGTCATGTGCGCGTTCGTGTGTGTTGGAGGAGAGGCTCTGTAAGGAAGTAGGAGATTTTCTCCGGTTGTGTATTTTCAAATTCTAGCGCACTCGAGCTGGTTTCTCCAAAATTACCTACCCCACCTTTAATATTGAGTGTAACATATAGCATTTACTGATCTGTAATGTTTATCTGTACCCAGAATATCCCCATCAAGACTCTGAAGGCGTACGCTGATGCTCTGATAGAGAACTCTGTGGTGGAGAGGTTTAGTATTGTGGGAACCAGGAGCAACGACCCTGTAGCATTTGTAAGTCACAACATTTACATTTTACACAAAATGCTAACCAGAATGCCTTTAACCTGTTTCTTTACTTTCTTTCTTTGCATATAAAATAAAAACAGTACAACAAAAACAATTATATGTGCTAAAGATCTTTATAATAACTCCTTCTGCATGTCATCCCTCTGCCTCTTTTCTCTTGTTTCTTTTACTATTTAATTAGACATTTGCTTAAAACAGACTTTAGGTTATGGTTATGAGGTTGGAAAAAAATGTTGCATAGAAATGTCATATACAGTGTGTGCTGTGTGTGTGTCCTCAGGCCCTGGCAGAGATGTTGAAGGTGAACACGACGCTGAAGAGCCTGAATGTGGAGTCTAACTTCATCACAGGGACCGGCATAGTGTCCCTCATAGAATCACTGCAGAACAACACCACACTACAGGAGCTCAAGATAGACAACCAGGTACCAACACACACACACTTAAATACACACGCAAAACCCACTTGCATATATAGATGTAGATTTATACAAAAGTATAATGCATACAACTGAGATGGTATGTGTGTATTAAGTAGTGTATACAGGCCATAGATCGCCCTCCAGTATAATGCACCCAGATTATATTGTCATGATATACTGCATAGTTCAACATTACTCATTAGTTCATTATCCGTGTTGCTTTTGCCACTTTTTCTCCTTGGCGTTGAGATAACAGCAGTTATTTTATTTATTGAAGTCTATTCACAGTACCTTTTTTGTCCAGTTTTAATGCTCCAGCTTTCCCCCTCTGTTTACAAACTCCAGAGCCAGCCGCTAGGCAACAAGGTGGAGATGGAGATAGCCCGCATGCTGGAGAAAAACACCACGCTGTTGAAGTTTGGATATCATTTCACCCAGCAGGGTCCGCGCCTCCGAGGCTCCAACGCCATGATGAACAACAACGACCTGGGTGGGTTACACACACACACACACACACACACACACACACACACACACACGCACACGCACACGCACACGCACACACACAAACAGAATTGGGACTGTGACGATGGTTCATGAACATGATAGTATTTCAAAACATCTTGTGTTATATGATAGATTTCCCTAAAATTGCTTTAAAGGGATGGTTTTGACTTTTTAAAATGAGATTGTATAGGTACTTATCGTTAGTCAATATGTTATTAACACTAGATTCCGCTCAGCAATCCCCAGTTTTTGAGAAACAGACAGAAGTACCAGCACAGACGATAAACAATGTATTGCTTTGGACGGGGGCATCAGAAAACAATTTTATTAGCCTAACAAAAAGGACTACCTAAAAAGATCAACATCATTTTAAATGTAGACTATGTTTAGAATATTTATTCCGCTATATGCTATATAAGTATAAGTATGCTAGTGCAGAAGGTTGTTGCGTGCGTCAATGCTGACACTTTATCTCCACTATATCTCTTTGGGTTTTACTTGAATCAGACTGTAATGCAAGTATCAGAGTGATATCATCGGCCGGTAACTCAGTAGTAAGGCCAAAACGAACCAGCCAATCAAAACAGTGGCTTCTTAAGTTATGACATCAGCACTAAGAAAAGAGTCAGTGCATGAGAGAGAAAACAAAATGAGACTGGGAGAAGAAACGCACATGCACAAGTTATTACGGTAATTAATTTACTTGTTTTTGCACTAAAGAGGTGAGTTTAACTCCTTATAGGTTTCACTAAATGAAGATAAAACAGGATTGATGTTAAGTTTGTAATTATGATTGGGATTTTGTTCATGGGCTTATTTTTGGATGGTTTTGAAGTGTGGTCGTACTCTGTCACTAAGCACTTGTAGTTAAGTGTATGTGTCATAATCTTGTTTTCCTTCCCCACGTCATCTTTAAGCTCGGGTTGTCAGGTCGGAGGCTGACGGCTCCTTCACCCTCACCTTGTCCGTCCCTGAGCTGGAGATGGCCTTCGGGAAAAAGTTCAAGTCCAAGACTAAGTAAAAAAGAAAAAAGAGAAAGAAGCACATGTGACCGCTCAGCCTTGCCTTTCTTCTGCCAACATCACCTGGATCCTTTCCAGACCACTGGAAACCTCTGCCACCAGCTGTCAAACTGCTCTGACAGTTTCTGTTGCTCCTCTGCCACCACCTGTCATCACTTGCTTCTTTTTTTCATATTCTTGTCTTCTCTGGTTGACTGTCTCCCAGATTTAGCTGTTGTTGCTCTCTGGTCCCTACAATAGTCTGAATATATAAACACATATGTGGCGGTCCACATACAGGGACATAAGACCTCCAGAATATATTTTTGTAATCCTTTGATTAACAGAAATAAGGAGTGAAACGTTGACATGACTTTGAAATAACTCAAGGCTAAAATAAACCATGCTTTTTTAATCCAGAACAATAAACAGCAGATACACTTTCCAAAATAGACAACCAAAATGCAAAGGAGCAGGCCTTGAACTCTGCTTCTATCGTTTGTTTAAATCCTAGCAACAACTCTACCTCTCCTGCCTTTGAATCTGATTGGACGGGATGAAACTCTCCCCCTTTTCACCTGCTCAAGTACTCCATCTTCTTTTGGCTGCACTATGAACCTGCATACACCTTCATGATCTGTGGTTTCTCCCAGCACTAGATCGATGCTACAATCTTTTCTTGGTCCACTTTTTTTCTCCTACGATCATTATATTCTCCCGACCTTCTGTTTTTGCTGTTCTTGCGTTGCTTTTGGCCGCCTCAGCTCAACCTGTTTCCTCTCCTTTACTCTTTCAAATACTGCTCTTTTCCAAAGGTGGATTGTTCATTCGAAACAGTTGCCCTGCATCCCCAATTTGTTTGTAATCATTTAATAAATTGCAGATTTGTTTGTTAAAACTTCACGCACCACTAAAGTACAGTATAAACTGAAAGGGTAGAGGCCTCTAAAGGCAAATGCGATGATTAACACACAAAACTATGTGAAGCCATTTCAATTCATATAGTCATTACTTGGTGCAAGTTGCTAATTGATCACAAATTCATTATTGATTATTAATATTACAAACTAGGGGTCAAGCGGGGTGCTTACGCTATTTTGGGGCAGAAGTGGATCAATTCCTGCTCTTATTCGAGTTTAACCTTTGACTGTTGTTATTTCTTCCTTCAAGAGCTCCTGCTAGAGCCCTTTGCAGCCACTTGAATAAATGGTGTTGCAACTCTAATCTTTCTTTCCTTTTCTGATAGCTTCTTTCTGTTGCCTCTCTTTGCTTACTCATGCAAAGCAACAAAAGGGCCAACGTTGCTCTGCTGTTGCTGTCTACGATGCTTATGCTGATGAATCACAGTCCTGCGTCTGTTTTTCTAATGGTTTTCTTTGTCCCTATTTACCTCCCTCTCTTCTTCCCTCTCATCCTTTCACCTCTGTTTTTCTTCTTCTGTCATTCTTCGGTCTGATCTAATCTTCTCTATGTACAGTAAGAAAGAGAAGGATTGAGGGAGGTCCCATTTTCCCCAAGTGTCGGACAAATGTGTAGAAACCAGGGCGCCCATCAACCCTCCGTTCCCCTTCGACCCGGACCATCCTCTAAACACCTTCCTGTAACCCTCTCCGGCCTGACACCCTCCGGTGGCAGAAAACAACAACCATCACGTCACCATGTTGTCTCTGAACTCTTTTTTCCAGAAATGTTTTGGTAGATATTAAAGGATATTATGGGATTAATCAGCAGTGTCACTCAAAGCTTTCAGGGCATGCAAAAGGTGAAATTCTGTGCCTATTTTTGCACTCTGATGTTTGATTTTTACTCGTGTTACAGGCGTGGACATTTGCTGTAGCTGTTTGGATAAACTCATGAATCCTTTAATATCTCTTTAAGTGTCTAGATCCTTAAAAAAGGGGGCTGGAGGCCTGGTTTTGAACAGGGGCACATTGAAATTGGACAGGAGACTTTTTTTGAAATCGCTGTTACCATTGATGAGTTGAATTAATTTTAATGATTATGCTGTAAATTAGTTGTGCTGCCATTACTGTTGTTTCCTAAAGTGTCTGATGTTGTTTCGAGATCGACATACAAGATATTTTCTACCAAGTATTCACAAAAGCCAATGTCCCATTTGAATTTGATAGACCTTAACATTGTCTTGGTGACTCAGTGCTCAGAGGCTATACAGATCCTTCAGTAATGGACAGTAGATTTATAAATGGTTACTGTGAGATTTGTCGCTATATAGAGAATATATTTATTTGTGACGGACCTGGGAAAGAGTCAGAAGCCATTCAAATACTTTTTGCTGGATAGTGTAACGTCTTGTCTAAAAAGGTTTCTGTAAATGAAACTCTAATGACACTTTACATTGTTAAATTATCCAGCAATATACAAGCAATATCTGCAGAGCATTCCTGCCAGCTGGGATTAGAAACTGAGTTATTTACTGACAATAGATATTCTATGAACCCACTGTAAAAAAACAACAACCTACGAACACTGTGTTGTTTTTATTGAATTTACTGTCTACTGTTAATTATATACGATAGTCTATAAGAACCCAAACTGAGTATTTGATTGGACTTCTGTTACACTTTCTACCAAGTCTGGTTTGTTGATTGTTTGTGTTTTTATTTGTATTTACTGGAGCTAAATCATGTGGTTTATTACAAAATGGTTGGTAATGTTGACTTACTGTTGATTAAAGGTTTCATATTAAAGCCTCAATCCAGGTTTCAATAACAGACAGTAGACGCCGATTTAAAAACACAGAAAACCTCTAATGTCATCACAGCTGTCAGATTACCTAAATCCATCAAAGTTATTCAAAACAAAATACTTTTAGCTGTTTCAAAATGCTTGTTATCTTTGTGATGAGTTAACAACCTAACGTCTGAAATATGGTATAACACTTTGATACTGGATGGATCCTTTAATGGTTCACAATGATGATTTACGGTTCCAACTCCGACTACACATCCACATGCTGGTAATGATGAACTCTGCTGTGTATTTTGCAACACTTTAAACATAATGAGAAAAAGGAGGTGTTAGCTGCTATGTAACCAGGAATTTGAGCTAATATGTTGCTGTCTGAAAATAAATTTGCTCCAGTAAAAATCCTTGGAAAACTGTCTGTTACGTTGTAATGTCTCAAGGTGAAACAGGTCTGTATTTTTTGGCTTAAAGAAAATGGGTCCCCTATTATACTATTTTTCAACAATATAATATAGGTCTCAGATATATACAAAACATGTCTGAAGTGTTTGGCTCGAAATGCCAAACAGATAATGCATTGTAGCATCCCATAATCCCCTCTGTTTCAGCCCTGTTTCAAAAGTGCTGATTCTGTGTCTGTAGCTTTAAATGCTAATGAGCTGCTGCTGGCCACGCCCCTCTGCTAGATTATTGGTTCAAAAACACAATGGAGATTCAAGTGATAAGGTGGGCGGGTTTTACCTTGGTTTGTTAGTGGCTAATGGTTGCACAACCCAACAAAACATTGTGACATCACAAAGTGGCCTAAATCTGATCAGCTCATTTGTAGACAGGTTTTTATATAAATTGATCAGGACAAAAAGTGAGCTAATCTTTTTTCCTGAAACTTTCAGAATCTCTTCACACAGAGGGGACACATGTTTACGTATAAAAGACACGACAAAGGGGATTTTGCATAATAGGTGACCTTTAATGTTGCAGAATCAAGGAAAAGTCTTAGCTGACCGTACCATCCTTGTTTCCTTGATGTCAACAACTGTACCTGATATTGACAGCCTTTTGAGGGTCAGATAACCCTTTTAATGTTATTTAATGTCACCGCTTTGTTACTCTTGTCAGTGCTGTGGGTGATGTTCAACAAATGGAAGTTATGGATGTAAACATTTGTCAAACAGGTACAACTGAATGCTAAAGGCAAAAGAGGACGTGGACTTGTGCTACTCTTCAAAAGTCTTTGTGTGTCCAGTTTCTGTCCAGTGTTTTCTGATATTTTAGTGCTTGACTCTGTGTTACATTAGATAGTTCATATTTTTTGGTTGAATGTTGTTTAATAAATAAATAAAGCTTGAAAATGTTTCGTTTTCTTGAACTGCCAAAGCATTTGTGTGGACATGTGCAGTGCTGTGTTATTGACAACAGTGATACTCTGTGGATAAATGGAATAAATACACCAGGTCAGTTCAGTTGGGCTGCCGTCTCTCCCTATGCTGCCCTCTTCAGACAAAAATTAGTGTTACACTTCTGTTAACTGCACAAAGGCAGTGGTCAAATATTCTGAATGTTGATCCATTGACAATAAGTTGTATCAACATACACCAAGTTGTTGCTTGGCAGCCAAAATAAAACTGAAAGATCTTGTGACTATTTCATTGATATACTGAAAAAAGATTTCATGGTATTTGTGATATTGGGCTATATAAATAAAATGTGATTGCTTGATTGAATTTGAGGATTCTGGGTACTATTACAGTTCTTATGATATTTCTTTCACACCATACAATGTATTATTGTGTTACATTTTTAGAACATAGTTTAGTATGAATGTTACAAGCATTTTTTTACCAAACGTAGTGGTGGAGAACAATCAGTATTTATAATGTTATACTGTACTCTTTCATGACATAATGACATAATGACGTTCTTAATAAATGTCTTATGACACACTATACTATAGCCTTTTTAATTACTCTTTTTATGATTAACTATACCATGGCCTTTTTAATGACATTTTTACTACATCATATACTGTTGCCTTTTCCAAGACTCAATATTCTATAACTTTTTTTATTTCATACTATATTGTGACCCTTTTGATCAAATAATTTTCATCATACATAGGACCTTTACTCTCTTTGATATTTCATTTAATTATTTATGAAATAATATACTAGCACTTTTTTTAAATTACATACTATACTGGGATTTATTTGTCTACATAATGCTGTGACAAAAAGTTTTCCCTAATTGGGAATAATAAAGTAAATATAGTCTAATCTTAAATAGAAGATGACACATTTGAATGTCTGTGAACAAGGTTTTACGTTTTTTATTGAATCTCAGGCAGAAACATACATGATAATCCTTTATTGCTCAATGGCATTCCACGTCGCACTCAGCGGCCTGTTCTTACATTCAACCCAACAATAAGTTAAACTGAATCAAGCATCACTTCCCGTCTGGTTTTACTGTATAACTAAATAGCATAGTAATATAATATAGTAGCCAAACTTGCTGTGTGTAAGTGTGTATTGAGGGAGGGTCTCTTTCTCGCAAATCTCCACATGATGCAAAATCCAGTCCACTTTCAAGTTTATACTGCTTATTATGAATACATATTTCTTCTTACTTATACAGATTCATTCACTATTCTCTCCCTAGTAGTATATCCTGATAGTAGTATTATATATATATATATAAGTTCTGGATTTATGGCTGAAAGCTTAAGGTTTTGGCTATTGTATGAATGGCTACACTGTCATTCTTCATCGAGACAATGAGACATCAAAAAAAGAAACCCTGCAAACCTGTAAAGGAAATTTCCTGAATGCATACATATCGTTTTTTTAAATTACTGATATTGTTAACGATTATATTGACATGAAAGTGAAAACACACTCAAACTTAGGAGTTATTGCCTTAATATTTTTTGCATGACAAAGAAGAGGATAAAAGGAGAGGGTGAGTTTTTACATATTCACACAACAAACATGTCCAGACAAATGGCATGCAAGACATAAAAAGGAGACGCACTGAACAAGGGGAATAGAAACAGTTTTAAACACTACACTACATGAATGGTATTACACTTATGTGTAGGGCAGATAGACAGGTCTGACATAGAATGTGTAACACTGTGTGCAAAAAGTTTTACATAAGTTTCAGACATGGTCGAACACAAAACAGTAGCTTTAGGAGCACACAACAGAAGTCTTTACATTTCCTTTTTAAAATATGGCTTATCAAGTTATCACATCTTTTTTTATTCTAGAGACAGACACACAGTTAGTATAATAATTTAATATCATATTTTATGATTGTTTGCCCACCATTAGGCTTGTATTGTATTCATTTACTTATGTACAAATCGAGTGAACAAGGTTATTTTTCAGTGCTGCGCGAGAGCTCTGCAGAGTAGAGTCAAAGGAATTTTAAATGTCTCAAACTAGAAGGATAAACCATCTAACGTTGTGTTTTTTTAGCCCCCCTGTTTGAAGTTAGCTTAAATAGTGTAACATAGCTAACGTTAACATGACTCAAGCTAACTTTCACCTGGCTGTTTAAAGGCTAATATTCACACTGTTGGTTGACATCTGATTAATTTCCCCACCGTAAAACTTCTCCAAAAACCATAAACCACATCGAAATTAAACTTTATTTCATGGACTTTCGTAGAAATGTTCACATCTTTCATTTGTGTGGGAACATTTTTTGTTTCAAGCCAACAGTGTGAATTTAGCCTTTGAATTAAGCTAGAAAAACGTTAGCATAAGCTAGCAAGCTAGCCTACTTCTTCAGCATGTCTTGCAGTGGGCCTGGCAGGTATTTCATCACTGTGTCCATGATACTCTCCTCTTCCTCCTCGTCGCCACACCCGGCCGGCACCAGCTTCTTGGGTCGAGTCAAGCTGCCCTCTGCAGGCTCCTCTGCAGCAGCTGCTGCCTCGGCCTCGGCCTCCTCGCGCTTTTTCAAGCCATACTGTTGTACAAACACAGAAATATAAATATGTGGAAGAGTAAAGGAAATACAGGCCAGGAAAAATAACATAAATACAGGACTCTGCATAAATAATATAAAACTACATCAATTTAATTTGGATTTAATTGAAATTAAATGATGATCCTTGGGCGGCGTGTTTTGCTTGAAAAACCAGGCACTTCTGAATTTTGTGGCGCCAGGTCTTCCAGGAGTAAAACACCTCGGATGATGAAGTGTAACTTTTATAGAAACTCCAATCTAACATGAATGTGACAAAATGCACACAAACTGCTACAGTACTTATCGATTTGATCAGACATTTAGATTAACCCAAACCCAATGGCGGCTTTTACAAGTTCTCGTGTTTTTAGCAGCTGTTAACCCTTCTTCTTTCTCTTGTTCTTTAAATTGTTTCTCCTTCAGCAATCATAGTAAAAGTATGCTGCTTTTCAATGTTCACACTGAGAAGTATTTATTTTAAAGGCATAAATCAAAAATCAGGACAAAACACACCGTAACTGCTAATAATGGCATTTTGTTCCCCCACAACTGCAGGAAACAGCTTTACATATGACACTTATATGTGTCATACGCTGCTCTATATATAGACGGAACTTGTGAATACTTCAGCTATTATACATTTCTCGCAGCATCTTACACAGCAGGATAAAGCTCTGGAGAGCGCTGACAGAAATCCTTTCGGAAACGAGCACTCTGGGAGTTGTTCCTCGCTATTTGTTCTCCTCCGGGATAACTTAAGAAGAATGAAGGAGCTGAGGAGCCTGGGGAGGAGTGAGGCTTTTTTATCCCAATGATTCACAGTATTCCCCTCAGAGCTGCCCCACCCACACACTGCCTGTCGTTCACACTGTTTCTGCAGTGAGGTGCTTACACTGCAGCCATCCCTGCACACCCCCAGCCTCACATTTGTGGAGAGGAAAACTTACAGCAACACTATCTGAGTATGACCTTACTCCAACTGTAGGCAATTAAGTATGCATCATAATAACAATGGCTGGATATTGCTTTTTAGAAAGAAAACTATTTCAAAATATAGGCTACAACATTTATAAATTATAAACCTGAAACCATTTCATTATTACAGTTCACTGGAACCCTTCATTGAAAAATGCAGGACAGCATGGGTTTGTAAAACAGACCCACCCATTTCTGTCTAAGAATTATAATTTATTCTTATCAATCATAGCGCCTCATTCTGCTAATTTATTGCTTTCTACTCTCTTTATCCTGTACAGCTCCCTCCTGATCCTCCTGTGATCTATTTTTAAATTACATAAAAGCAAACAGAAATAGTCCGATGGTAGTCCGTGTCAAACGCAAGTCTGTTATAAAAAGGGTTTGGCTGTCATGCAGCCAAGATGAGAAGCCTTTAGAAGCTACTTAAACATGAAAAGACAGGATGTGATCCAAAATTATCAAAACTTCTTACATGGATGTGAGAAAATCTTTGTCATTTGTGCTTGTCAGTTTTCTTCCTCTCCAATTTTGCGTTGAAATTTCTGTTAAAAAGCATGTCTTTCTTTGAATGTGTTGCTGTATTCCTGATTAAAACACAGTGACTGACTCCGTTCCTTGTGTTGGTTTAATGTTAACTTATTTTACATTACGTTTATAGATACCATGTAATCGTAAATATACCTTATCTCTGATGCCTTGCCTCATGCCTTCCCTCTCAGCCTCCATCTTGGCATATTTGCCCTTCCTCTCATCCTCCTGCTGCCTCAGCGCCTCCTGTCTCTCCTCCTCCTTGCTGGCTGCGTCGGGGTCCTCCTCCTTCTCCTCCCCACCCAGCATCTTGCCCACATCAGGGGGACCTCCTGTTAGAGAGAGAAAGAAATAAAAGAAATAAATAGGACACAACGGCAGCTCCTCTAGGACAGAGATGTCAAAATATCAAATGAGTCTGTGAGACGCTGCAGAGAATTTGGACACAAGATAAGCAGGCACATACACTTATGGGACTCACAGAAAGAGAGAAGCTTAAGCCATTTACAGCATTGAAACTGTTCTTATATTGTGCCAATATCCCATGGTGTTTGTTGCTTTTTTTACTAAAGCCTCATCACATTTCACATTTTCTATATTTCAATAAGTTAAAATGTGTTTTTGTTCAATTCATTGCCATACATCTAAATCCTTTCTCAAAGACCACTCCACAATACTCTTTATATAATTCTAATGGAAAAATAATCCCTTTATTTAAAGAAACACGCAGGGTGAAAAAATGATATTGAAATCAATTGTTTTTATATGAACTAATTATTTCATTATTAACCTCCCCCACACATTTATAGAAAGACACGACCTTGAGTTCCTCATTGGCATCTATAGCCCTGGTGGTTTGGAGGTCAAGAGATGTGAGAGAGTAACAACATGAATGGGACTATTTGCTGATTACACAACAGGGCACGAGCCTGGAATATGTCTTACGCAAGCCGTTTTACTGTCCCTGTAGAAGTCGTACATCCCGTGAAATAACGCCTTGTGATACAAAAGCAGGAAAATGCTGAGCTTTGCGAACAAGAATAAGCTGTCACCGAGCATCAACAGAAAAGAAAAAGATGAGGAGAAAAGCCAAAGGTCTTAGGGATTTGGGCAAATACAGGAGCAGATGAGTAGCAAAGAAGAGGTGGGGGGGGGGGGTGAGAGGAGCAGAACAAATAAGGACTGGAGCGATAGTGAGTCAGTATAGGGCTGGATTTTGCGACAAAAAAAGCATATTTAGGAAAA